AAACAACAAGAAAGTCATTGGCAAATTCAAAGATGAGACTGCCGGTGTAGCTCCTTCTGAATTTGTCGGACTGAAGCCCAAGATGTATTCCCTCTTGGTCGATGGTGAAGCCAAGAAAACGGCTAAAGGTGTGACTAAATGTGTCGTGAAAAACACCATTACCCACGATGATTACAAAAATGCTGTCCTTAGTAGACAACTAATGCTGTCGACCATGAAACAATTTCGGTCAATCAAACACGAAATCTTCATGATAGGCATCAACAAAGTCAGCCTTAATCCCTACGATGACAAACGATTTATTCTGGATGATGGCATCACAACTTTAGCCCATGGACATTACAAAATAAAAAGGTAAGTATGATGTTTATTGTCTATCTAATCAACTCATATCCTCTACAACCCTCAACCCACATTCCTCCTTATCTCCTCCCTACATCCTTGCCTCTTCTCTACCTCTGAGTTCTCCCTAATTCCTCCCTCCCGACCTCTATCTCCCTCCCGACTCCCCTTATCCTCCCTTTCCTCTCCAAATGATTCGATTCATTATCCTCCTTAGAGTACCCAAACTTCTAAAATTGTTAGCCAATCAGATTACATTTCATAAAATAGATACTTTCAACCAAAATATATTAATCTACTTCTTAATTTACTTCATTGCGAAAAGTTTGTTTCAAGAGGCAACATGTCTCATTATTGTTCTGAATGTAAAATGAGCTTTACCAGACGGGATAATTTACAGCGTCATACTAGAAAATACCATAATAGTATTGATAACTTAGGAGGTGATTCGAGTTTGATATTGCAGCATCCATTTACAATGATAGCAGGTATATTTATGATACATTATCATTGAGAAAATAATAGACTGGACACCAATAATCATAAATTTATAGTTTATATTCTCTACTTTCAGCGGGGCCGACGTCATCGGGCAAAACATGGATGGTTAGACATCTTATTAGGAATGCTCAACATCTTATAAACCCATCTCCTAGAAGAATCATTTGGTGCTATGGTCAGTGGCAATCAGCGTACGAAGAAATGAAAAACATCCCAAATATAGAATTTGTGAAAGGTATACCCGATGAGTTGGATGACCCTACATACTTAGATATCGAGATACCCAACCTTATTGTCCTGGATGATCTTATGACTAAGGCAACTAAAGATTCGCGTATATCAGATCTCTTCACAAAAGGTAGTCATCATAGAAACTTATCGGTAATATGTTTGATTCAGAACATGTTCCATCAGGGGAAAGAGAATAGAACTATGAGCCTCAATACACACTACATGGTTTTATTCAATAACCCCCGAGATCGCCAACAGGTGGCGTTTCTATCAAGACAGATGTATCCTGAAAATGCCTCAAAGATTACACGGGCCTACAACAGCGCCACCAATCGACCATATGGTCACTTGTTGATAGATCTTAAACAAAATACATCAGAACATCAGCGTTTGAAACCAAATGCCTTCAACATAAACGAATTTCAGCAATATACACCCTCTACAAAAACTGCAAAAAAATTCGACAGTCAGGAAGAGCATAGAAATCAAGATATAACCAATATAAAAGCGGGCATATCATCTCATTTTCCCCATTTAACATCTAACACAGAAGATATCGACATGGTCTCGTGTGACGATTGTGGTTTAGTCTTTGACAGCATTCACGATTTGCAACGACATATAAAAAATTGGTGTCAGGATCAAGGCTCATTACCCAAGAGGAGGAAGTTAGAATCTACTCCTCCATTAGACGAGAAGTTTACTCATGAAGACGATGATGATTTGCAAGCAAATGAAACATTTGCCTATTTTAAAAAGTGGGCTATAGAAAGAATCAATAAAGAAAGTTACCGACAAAAAGTGACTGAGTATACGGAGAGAGGAATGGATGAGAGGGAGGCTAAGGAAAAAGCAAAGAAGAAACTTTTCGCAAAGTACAAAAACGAATTTCTTGAAAACTACAAACAGTTGGTCGAATTTTTTTTAGGTTTGAAAGACAATGCATTCCACAAATATGTTGTAGATACTATAGACAATATGATAAGAAGAGGTGTTTCTAGAAATCGTGCCTTTAGAATCACACTTTTTAAAAACAATCACAAATTTGACGAGCTCTTCCTCAATGACACAGACCAGGAGGAAAGTAGCTCCGAAGAAGAAGAGAGTGAATCTGAAAACGAGGCCGTTGAATCTGAAAACGAGGTCGTTGAATCAGACAGTGAGTGATAAATATTGACGATTTCAAGAGATTTCATCATTCGCGAGTTAGATATTAATGGTATAAGATGGCATATCGAGACTATTTGAAGAAACTATATTATGACAGTCAGCATTCTGGAGCATTTGCCGGGCCGGAGAAACTCTATAGGACTGTGCTGAACGATGGAAAATATCAGCTGTCTCGTTATCAGATAAAGAAATGGTTGGACAATCAAGAAGCTTATAGTCTGCAGAGACCTTATAAGAAACGATTCGCTCGTAACAAAGTATATGTCTCGCATATTGACGAACAATGGGATGCAGATCTTATGGATGTCTCTAATATATCATCGCAGAATGAAGGGATAAAGTATATCCTGGTTGCGATTGACATTATGTCTCGCTTTGCCTGGGTTAGACCGCTACACTCCAAAACTGGAAAGGCAGTGGCGGAGGCTTTCGATGATATATTGAAAGAAGGTCGACAACCAGATGTCTTTAGGACGGACAAAGGTCAAGAATTCCGCGCTAAGGTTGTACAAACATTGTTGAATAGATGGGGAGTCCGCCATTTTGTTACGGGTAATACCCCCAAGGCCAACTATGCAGAAAGATTGATAAAGACGTTAAAGACTAAAATAATGAGGTATATCACGTACAAACAGAACCATAGATTTATAGACAATTTACAAAACTTTGTGAAGAGTTATAACGCCACTTGGCATAGGGGTATAAAAATGGCTCCTAAAAATGTATCTAAAGACGATGAATTGGTTATTTGGTGGCGGATGTATTATCCTAAATCAACTATCGTTAAAACCAAATCTAATCACATCTTTAAATTCCCCATTGGAGCTCTGGTAAGAATTACCCAGTCGAGACATGTTTTTAGTAGAGAATACGACCAACATTGGACAGGGGAAATTTTTAAAGTAACGAAACGTTTTATTAGGCAGGGCCTCCCATTATATCGTTTAAATGATTTTCAAAATGAAGACATTAAGGGTACTTTTTACCAATCGGAGCTTCAAAGAGTACAAGCGAATGAAGATGATATTTGGAAAGTAGAAAAAATCTTGAAAACACGAACTAGACGAGGGCAACGGGAACATTTAGTGCGTTGGCAATATTGGCCAAAAAAGTTTGATTCGTGGGTTAAAGATTCCGATTTAATACCTTTGTAATTTGTGTATGATTCAATGAAGAATTTTGAATGTTATAATGTAAATATGTATTATAGTTGATGTATTTTGAAAAGAAGTGTGTTGACGAATTAGCAAATAAATATTTATCCCAACCAAATGTAACATCCATTAAACGGTATGATCTTAAATCGATGAAGGACGTTACACTAATTAAAGTTGATGGATGGTTGATTGATAATCGATAATCGAGCTAGGTCCGCACTTTAAAGTACAGTCCAGAGTAATTTGTTTTGTAAACTGACAGCTGGATGACCTTAAAACGATAAGACCTCGCGAGTACGAAACGCCTGGTTGATAGGTAATCGATAATCCGCCTGGGCCGCACTTTATAAATAAGGCAGTGACATTTACGACGCGTACTGGTTTATCGATTTATTGTTTTTGGCGGGAATTCGAATAGTATCCTTACAGTAAACGTACAAACGTGGGGTAGGGCGTCCGTTACCTTAGGGCCCGAGATTCCCGAAATATGTACACGCCACCACGCCGAGGGGGGAGGGGTGGGGTCCCCGTATGTGCCTCCCGAGCTCAGGGAGGCTCACAGATGTCCCTCCCCATTGGAGCCCATGTTAGGGAGGGTAATATGAAAAATCGTGTCCCTCCCCATAGGACTCAATGTTAAAGGTGCGTCAGAACTCTCGTTTCTGTAACTACTAACGTTGCTGGCGTTGTGGAACTGACGCGGAAGGTACAAGTTGCTGGAGTTGTGCAACTGACGGGGAAGATACAAGTTGCTGGCGTTATGGAACTGACGTGGAAGATAAAAGTTGCTGGCGTTGTGGAACTGACTCATGGGTAGGTACAAGTTGCTGGCGTTTGGGAACTGACGGGGAAGGTACAAGTTGCTGGCGTTTTAGAACTGACGGGGAAGGTACAAGTTCCTGGGGTTATGGAACTGTCGGGGAAGATACAAGTTGCTGGCGTTGTGGAACTGACAGGGAAGGTAAAAGTTGCTGGCGTTATGGAACTGACGGGAAGATACAAGTTGCTGGCGTTGTGGAACTGACTCATGGGTAGGTACAAGTTGCTGGCGTTTTGGAACTGACGGGGAGGGTACAAGTTGCTGGCATTATGGAACTGTCGGGGAAGATACAAGTTGCTGGCGTTGTGGAACTGACGGGAAGATGCAAGTTGCTGGCGTTGTGGAAACTGTCGGGGAAGATACAAGTTGCTGGCGTTGTGGAAGTGACTCATGGGTAGGTACAAGTTGCTGGCGTTTTGGAACTAACGGGGAAGGTACAAGTTGCTGGCGTTATGGAACTGTCGGGGAAGATACAAGTTGCTGGCGTTGTGGAACTGACGGGAAGATACAAGTTGCTGGCGTTGTGGAACTGTCGGGGAAGATACAAGTTGTTGGCTTTTTGGAATTGAAAAAGATGGGAAATAAATAACACCACTGGCTTTCTTTGACACTATCTTTTGTTCTGAATAATATTTTTCACCATGAAAGCCCCTGTTTGAACATTACTTAAGAATGAAGGCCAATAAAGGATAATGCAGTAGAAAATCGTATAATCTGATTTTGCTTAATTCTTCAAGACCTTAACACAATGGCGATAATTAATGAAATAAGTACTCCACCTCCATTTATCAAGTATGTGGCAAAAACAGCGGAATATGAGCCCCCAATTAACATGTTGATGGAACCAAGTGTGAACTCGTGTTTCTCCAAGGCTGGGGTGAGCCAGCGATTTGGCTGACATTTCCAATCTTCAGACTGCAAGAACAAAGTTAAATAAATCACAGCTCATTTTAACGATCGTGGCGATAAGATAATTCAACACAAGGATTCATCTGAACTGAATGGCAATGATATCGTATGCCAGCAAAATTATACAAAACAATGAAAGATTGAAAAACAAACTATTGTGTTTTGATATTTATACAAGACCTCCGAAAATTACTTACATTTTCTTTTTGTTTGAAGTAAAACGTGTATTGCAGCACGCCACCCAGACCGTAATAACTAAGGAATGTAAAAAGTACGGAAAACATCCATACGTATTGCAAACCTTGCAACCGATACTGCTCCAAGAATGGTACATCGGTAGCATTTGATCCAATGTTAGTGCTGTTTTCATTGGAGTTTATTGTTGCATCAAGTCGAATGTCTGAACCTGATTGGAGATGCCCAAATTGTTTCAGGAAGTGCACAAGAATAAGTAGCCATTCTCCTGGAACACATGATTAGATTTTGATACATGTAGTTCGATGTAAGAATGCATAAAATTAATGTGTTTCATAAAGTAAAGTCGAAAGATAAATTGTCAACGTGACCAGTAATGGAAATATAGAGAAAAATGAAATATAGAGAAGGAATATTCTCAAAAGCATGAATATTTTCAATAGATAAATATTCTCAGTGTATTAGATTAGAGAATCAAAGACATCTGATCAAAATGGAACTATTTGAAGATATGAGATGCACTTTTCAAATATTTAATAAAAATATAGGCCTTATAAACCTTAGGCCTAAAGTCAGAATACGTTTACAGATAACAAAGATATGATGAAAATGGCAGGGTGGCCAGTTTTTGACCACACTGTTTTTGACGTTTTATGGATCCATTTACATTCGTTCGGCTTCGCTTCTTATTTATGGATCGGTCACATTTGCTCGTATTTTAAATTTGTAGAGACAGAAAACCTGTGGTTGCCACACGACCTCTAAAATTATCGACGTATGTGAAAGCCCAAGTAAACTTGGCTACCCAACTATTCCGACTCATGCCGAAGTGTTCTTACCTGGCCCAAGTATTCCGAGTTTGCTAATTTTTTCAAATACACTCGATAGATGTCTTGCTTTTTTATTGTGGTTTGTAACTTTGCACAATCAGCCTCCTCGGTCTTGCTTTGCAGCACAGGTTTCTCATATTACACATGACCTTAGATCTTGTGTCTCATGTTTCCAGTTACAAAATCTTGACTCAGACATAACATGTTTTCAACAATGTTTTAGAAGTGTTAATGTACTAGATTATAGTATTCATTGGGTGTATTGAAAAATCTAAAATACATAAAGAATGCTGAGCAGGCTGATGTAGTGACCAAAATGTTGAAAATTCAAGTAGCTACATGTACTTTTACTGAATTTCAAACATATATAATCTGTATATTCAACGCCGATTGAATGTTTTTTGTCGACTCTGACCTTCTCAGGTTTGATGTTTCTGACAAGCTCAGCCGATTTCTCCCAGAAAAACAGATCCATTTTGTTACAAGAAAGTTTACGAATTATTCCCTAAATACCAGCGAATAGGTGCACGTTATGGTTAAAGGTTTAATTGATACGCATCGACGAGTGGGAGTCTACAATTGGTGACATATTGTTATAGTCTCCAACTTTTTTGTGGACGGTGTTCAGTGGTTGGCGTTCGGCGTCTGTAACAAATGCCAGGTACTACATTTTGCATGTTACATGTTAATGCCTAGTTAAAATATGTTGCTGTCACTGCCGCTAGCAAAGATGTCATAAAATCATAACGAGGAAATCATTTTATCACTATTGGATTTTTGTTTTCAGGAATACACTCATGTTTATTTACACGAATAAAGGATCTTGTGCGCCCTCCATTATGATCTTCCCATGAACAAAGATAAATTCATCTGATTTTTCAAAATGAATATACTGCTTTTATTATTACATTTATATGTACAATAGTATCTTGTTGACCTATATTCAGCACTGTATTGGTGAATGGGCCACTTATTAGGGCTAATATTCAATCATAAAGTGTACAGGGGTAGTGATGCCAAACCAGGAAGTATTTTTGTGTCTGTCATAAATCCATTTGCATCCTACACATCCCTACATCTTATCCAAATATGTTATGAATTAATGAAACATAACAGTATAATCTTTGGATTTACAAAGTTGTATTGCATTTCATAAGTGTAAGAGATGCTTTTGAAGCATTTTTCTATAGCCATTTTGTAGGAAAAAATGATGAAAAAATGTATAATCTTTTAATTTGAAGTATGACCTGAATCGATTGCAAACTTTATATTTGCACATCTGATGCGATATACCACTATATCCACTGTCAAGTCAATACACCCTTGCTTAACTCAATTACCTCAGCCCATGTGGGTCCAAATGCTTAGATATTTTCCAAAGTATTATGTGACATTGTATTCTTGACATTGTGATTCATTTTGTTCATGGGGAAATCATAATCGAGAGTGCACTAGATCCTTTGGTCCAAATTTACATAAAAAAGTAAAAAACGCACAGAAGATATACAGTGGCTGTAAAAATACTTACGTTCCAGGGGCGTATCTGAAAATCAAGAGCCCAGTTTAGGCTCAAAATTAAAATAAATCATGACCTGTAATGCCGAGTTATTACCTTAATTGCTCAATTTATGTTTGCCCTATACGTTTTTTGGCCCTCACTTTTTGGGGCCCTCCAAAGGGGGAGGGGCGGGCCCCTGCCCTCCGCCAGATCGGCGATTCCGTTTACCTTATGTATGATTCAACACGCATATTCAAAAATTGGGTCCTCCGCCCTTGTAATTTTTCTTAAATCAATGATAGTACGTTTTACATACCGACCGGAGGTAGTCATCAATATCATTTATAAAAACATTAGTGGTTTCCAAAGTACTTTCAGGAGCCATCTTTTGCATATACGTGGAATCCATCGACAAATGATTAAAAAACTAAAGCGGACATCTATCGAGTGTATTCGAAAAAATAAGTAAACCCAGAATACTTGGGTCAGGTCAGTATACGTCGGCAAGAATCAGAATAGATGGGTAGCCAAGAATACTTGGGCCTTCACAGACGTACGGTCCATGTCAAGGTTTTGACAAACACCAAAGTAGACGCAACTTGGCCACAAAGGGTTGATCATACGTCGACTATGGGTATTGCCATCGCCAGAGAACAAATGTGACTGAGGCCCGGGGACTGATAGTATGTATCCAACAGACTGACTAGAAGTCAGTCTGTTATGATGTACTACTTTCCTGTGGAAATTGCAGTGAAATATTTTGCACAAAATTATCAATTAGAGGAACCATTTCTTCAATAAAATAAACATTACAAAATTTCAATTAAGTAGTAAGGTACAATTAAATGCAATAAAAAGTAACACAGCATATTGTCAAGTTGAAATAAGGCTAGTTGAAGTAAAAATGTGCAAATTAATTTTACCAAATCGGCCATTTTGAATAGCACTTCCTATGTAAACAAATATTGAAAATTACCAAACTTTAACATAGGTGCCTTATAGTCTGAATATAATTCAGACTAAATAGGATATAGTCTACGGGGACTGAGGCCTAGGTTCAAAGGATTGCATTTGGTTGTACATAAATTTCAGAACATTTTTACGAAGGGTCATTACATGTACTATTAGCAGACAACCTGTATTAAAAAACTTTTGTAAATATAAGACGCGATAGATATGACACAAACGTCTTTCCACACATTTTGTAGGTGAAAGGTCCCCGATATCTGATATAAATAGCTTAGACACAATACTGCATCCTTGGCCCAAGAGTAATTGCTATGAAAGCAGTGAAGGACCGATCTTGAAGGATGCAATATCTGAAATGCAATATTATACTGCGGATCGTATGCTTTAATTCATCCAAACAACGCTTTTCATAACATTCTCTAAAGACCCTGATAAACCATGGGCTTAATAATTAGTTAATTTCTAGAAACTACCAGACTCTAGCTAAAAAAAACCCAGAAATTATGAGTATCAGAATGTCATTAGAACTCCGTGACCCAATACGAAGAGATCGGGCCATAACGGACGAGAAACTTACAAAAATGACGAATTCAAATTGAATCTTTAAACGTGCTAAGTGTTGGTTTAGTACATTGAAAAATTACATTTGGCACAGTTTCTCGTCCCGTGACATCTTCGTTCACTCGGCTCCCGTCGGAAGGGAAGAAGGGAAGACCGACGGGGCGAAGATGCAGTGCTCGATTTTACATGGTCTCTCGTTATGATTCAGTTTATAAGACTATATACCTATTACCTACCTCTGAGGGTTGCTCCAAGTGCAACGATTCCTACTGTGGCTGCACATGTCCCAACAAAACCAGGTACATTTTTAATTAGCGTTGACTTGATTCGGTCTAATTTTTCTTTCATCGTTTCATTAATTGTTTGCAATCGTTGATTACAGTCTGCCACTTCTCCATGTCTTGGTTTGACTGTCATGTTTTTTATATTTACCGTATACACTAAAGTTGTATCCACTATCCAGTCGTGAAACAATATTACTGCAACAAGATATGCCTATTCCTACTGTTGTGTAGCTTGATTATTTTCTAAGCCTGGGCTATTAACTAACCAAGAAATCGATATAACAAGATCTGCATGCAGTTTAAAACGTTTACATCATTGTATTGATATATATGAACTTATGAAGTTCAAGTATAATGAAATGAACCTTTGACCAGTTATTAATCAACACCGAGAAAGAGGTACACATGTACTTGGTATCTAGCAAAGTGATTCTAATCTACACTGCTGCTCATAAATATGGAACATTAGATTTGGCAGCTCAGAATTCAAGTTTTGGAGTAGGAGAACATTTATTTGGAGTCTGATCAGGCATTTATTTTCTATGCAAATCATCACCACAAACAGGGATACGCTAAGATTTTTGCATTTTCAAAACACCCCGATCCAAATTTTCATGTAAAACATATCAAAGAAGATAAAATTCTGGTCATGAAGATTGAAGTGTCCTCTATCCAATAATAGCACTAATGTGCGTTATGTCTTCCTTGTGCAGAGCATCAATCCTACGGGACCAGTTATGAATGAAACATCCGACCTTTCTAAGTCAAGTAATGCCGCATTCCTCAATCTAGGCAGTGCGTAACGTGTCTAAACTTTGAGGTGAGGATCCAAGTCACGAATCTCCGTATCAAGGTCGTCCCAGATTTGCTCTCCAGGAGCCTGATTGGGTGACGACTTTTGTGCCCATGGTAGCTGGTCCACATTGCCTACCCTGGGGTAATCCAACACTATTTTTGCATGTTGTACTTGATGTATGTCCAAAAGATCAAATTACTCTGAAATTATGTTTGGGAATCACCAAGGGGGTGTAACTTCTGTAGTATTGCTCCAAACATAAATAGAGTCGCCTTCATGGACTACCACATCAGAAAGTGTTCTTATTGTTTCTTTCCCCTGGTCTACGACAGAAACGAACACAATAATCAACTTTTTGTGGAGGACACATGTTCTTTCATCATGATGTCATATGACACCAGAGATTAAGTCCAACGTTTTTGGTACTTTCTTGCCCTTCTAGATCTAAGGTAGCTTTCTCTGTTATGATCCGTAAGCTTTGGTCTCTTTAAAGGTCTTATGGCCTTGCAACCAAGGGGGTGTAACTTCTGTAGTATTGCTCCAAACATAAATAGAGTCGCCTTCATGGACTACCACATCAGAAAGTGTTCTTATTGTTTCTTTCCCCTGGTCTACGACAGAAACGAACACAATAATCAACTTTTTGTGGAGGACACATGTTCTTTCATCATGATGTCATATGACACCAGAGATTAAGTCCAACGTTTTTGGTACTTTCTTGCCCTTCTAGATCTAAGGTAGCTTTCTCTGTTATGATCCGTAAGCTTTGGTCTCTTTAAAGGTCTTATGGCCTTGCATCCATTTTAAAGAAAAAAACTGGTTGTCTATAGCTCTGAAACACAGGTTTTGAGGTGAGACAGACATTCATCTCGTAGACTACTGGTTGACTTTAAGCAATGACATAAATGCAGCAAGTGGTCGTCTTGCATTTCCTCTCTTTTGGGCTACTATTGGTGTGACCTGGAGTCACATTCCTTTGCCTTTGGTACCACTGCAGAACTTTAGAGACTGTTCCTGACACACCCTTGGGGTTCTGGCAATGGTAGTTGGATTCATGCCAGAGAGCGCCATCCCTGTGACTTGCCATGCTTTTTTATGGGCAAAACTGATGAGGGCATGAGGGCACATTACACATTTTCAACAAAATGGTATTATTTTGTAGAAATTCCAGCAAACAAGTCATATCTATAAAATATTCCATATTTATGAGCAACAGTGTATATAAGTACAACTCATGATGTTAATTCTTCAATTAGTTCATAGTTCAGTGTTCATTTGGTTACTCCAAGGACGTCTATCTCTACCGCGATAGACGTCGATAGACGTCCCTGCTGGTTACTCATAAAGTCAACTGAGTATTTTGGAATTTAGTCTATAAAGTAGGCCTAAGAGCTGTTAATGTAAATACTAGTATTTCAATTTATTGTAAGGTTTTAAAGCTCATTTGGATTTTCATAGCATTTGAATCTGGTGCCAGAATAGTTTGACGACCCCTTAGCATATTAGCCAATCAGAGCAGGTTTTACAAAAAGTGGTGTTGGGTTTAGGCACACTTGAAAAACATAACTAAGATTGAAATTTAATATAGCTCGCTAAGTTATCTTCAAATGGGGACTTTAAAAGTCCAAACCTAAGATATTGATGATAGAGGAAGAAAAGAGCCTTAAAATGCTTTTTATTTGAAGCTTCTAGCTCAATTTTGAAGGAAGTTACATACATTTTTGTAAATTCAAAACAAATCTTAAGGCCCGGTCACACCGCCCGGACGTTGCTGGAGCGTTCCTAGAACGTTGAAAAAATCCATCAACGCTCGTCAACGCGCACAAAATGGGGAAAAAAACAAAAACACGGGCGTTGGCTTAGCAGTGCACCGCTGAAGCCGGCGTTGCTTTAGCGTTGGTTAAGCGGTTGCAAACGGTAGCTAGCGTTTGTTTAGCGATAATGCGAGCGTTGGTATAGCGGCGTTCTGCGCAAGAGAGCGTTGCCTCGGCGGGGGTATAAATAGCAGCAGCGTTGGTTTAGCAGCATATCGCGTTTGACTACTGAGCGGAACGGATCTATTCAGTTGAATAATTGAAGTTTATTATGCCACGTATTTATAGCCAAATTCTGGTCCCGCTCCGACACCTCTATACCAACGCCAAAGCAAAGTTCATCGCCGCCATGGAACGCTGCGACAACGTCCGACACCGTTCCAACAACCCCATGTACGCTGATAAAACGCTAACAACCGCTCCACCGACGTTTGTGCAACGTTTAATCGCCGCCCGGGCAACGCTGGCGAAGCAGCGGTGGTCCAGCGTTTAAGATTTCTGCGTTGGTCTAGCGGATTCAAGCGTCCACGAACTTGCGTCTAGCGGTGCCAAACTTTGACTGGGCGTTGGTGGAGCGGTGATAAACTTTGCCAGGGCGTAAAATTGTCCCTTTTCAACGCTCGCAATATTTTGAGCAGCTCAAAACTTTTGGAGCGTTCGGATGGCCACTCGAGAAACATCCACGTTGGCCGAGCGTTTACAGCGTTGCTTTAACGGATGCCAACTTTTGTTAAACGGTGGTGAACGTTTACGAGCGTTGGTGATTTTTTTCAACGTTCAAGGAACGCTCCAGCAACGTTTAGGCGGTGTGACCGGGCCTTTACACGTTTTCCAATGATCTTATTATGCTATATATTCGTATTTTTCGTTTTTTCGGTACCATGTTTTTTCGACCGGGTACCGGGTACCAAGTTTGAACCAAGCATGGAGGATTTACTACCCGGTACGCGGTTTTTTCTACAAACCCTACCAAAGGTGCATGTGCAGTATGGCAAGTGATTTTTAGACGGTCATATCTTTCACAATGAGTACTTTGTGGTAAAAAATACAGTGTTTTTATTAAAACAATATGTTTTCTTGAAGTCCCCATGATTTACTCACTTCGAGAGCCATGTTAGATTTTGAAACTTACATGTATATCAAAATCCAAATAGCTTTCGCAGGAAGTAAGCTAGAGGGGATTTCATCTGGAATGCTGTGAACTCCATTTGAAAAAAGCTGGCCGCCGTGTCATAAACGATACAGTGGCCTTAGAAGAAGGTAAATATTAACAACTTCTGAAAAGGAGATTGATATTGAAATGCGTTACTTAAAAAGCACGTATCCCGATGGGATAATCCCATGTTATTTTCCCATGGGGGAAAACTCGTGCTATCCATTGTTTTCAGCATAATTTTGGTCATCGAAAATTGACTTCAAAACTAGACGTTCAATACCATTTTACTTTTGAAGAAGTTTTAGACCCCCTTTTGAATAAATTGAAGGGGGTGAATTACCAAACCTACATGTATGTATGGAAACATTCCCACCAGCCTAAACCCTCTACCAAGCCCAACGCTGCATGAAAGAACTCTGAATTCCCTGAGGAATCCTTAACACGGCCAGAATGGTCAAAAATCCTTCCTTCCAATAGAATACACGTGAGAACTAGTACAATGGAATGAGGCAATACTGTCAGACATACATGTACATGTAAAAATGCTGAAATTAATTGCATTCTATGTTGTGTGATGAAGGTAAATCTGAAATCAAAAATGAAGTTACCATGACAATGAAACATGGTTACCATGGCAACCAAGTAAATTTTAACCTCCAAAGTTTAATACAATACAAAAATGTAATTATTTTTAAAATCTGAAAATATGATATCTGTTTCTGCTGAATTCAAGTTATAATCATTTATCAATTGTGGAGGTCCAAATTTCAATAAAACCCTAGTTACCATGGTAACCAATTAAATTTCAGCTCCCAAAGTCTGATTTTATGCTTAAAATCAATCATTGTCTAAGATCTGAAAAAATGAGACATGTATCTCCCTTATTTCAAAAATTATGATGCATCCATCCTATGAGGGGGTCAGATTTTCTCTAAAAACCTGGTTACCATGGCAACCAATCATATACCAGCTCCCAAAGTGTAATACAATACTTAAAATCAACCATTTACAAAAATCTGAAAAATGGGACCTGTATCTCCCTTATTTCAAAAGTTATAGCATCCATCCAATGTGGGGGTTCGAGTCTGTGAAATATACCCCTGTATAAGTCATGGATCCGGCCATATAAGGCCAAAATCTGAGATTCTATGGACTGATCTTTACATAAGATTGTTGCCAATATATCATAGAACTTTTCTATTCACATTTTAACCATTCCTAACAGATTGGTGAGAAAATATGCACGGAATGACTCTGTCATTCCTGAAAAATTGGCCTGAAAATTGACACCTGAAGGGTATGTTTTATCCATTTCCATGACAACCACTTAACTATGTGACATGAAATTTTTATCATATAGCCTATACAAATATACCTTAGTAATTTGGAAAAATTCCACTGAGTATTTTTTTGAGTTCTTGCCCAATGTTATAGTGGGGGTCAAAATTATAGCCCATGGGGGGTAAAGTAGCCACAAAATATAAAAGCTGAAGAACTAAGATCTAATAATCCATACAAATATTTACAAAAACACAAATGTGTACAAAATGTCCCCACCAATTGGTGATCCCGTCATATGGTTATTCTGAAAATGAGTATAAACAAGACTTTTTTACCGACACAATTTGAGGACGGAAAATCCAAAATGACCACCTAAATATTTACCCAGAATACCAAAAAATTAGTCAGTTCTAGATACTGAGAACCACACCTGAAAATTTGAAATTGATCCGTCACACAGTTAACCAGAAAAATGTAAACAAGACTTTACAGTCAAAAATTTAGGATGGAAAATTCAAAATGGCTGCCTTGACATTTACCCAGAATGTCAAAAAACTAATCTGTTCGAGATTTTCATACTAAGAATCATCCCTGAAAATTTGAAATTGATCTACCAAACGGTTCACCTGGAAATGTGTAGACAAGACTTTACAGACAAGATTTTAGGACAGAAAATCAAAAATGGCTGCCTTGACATTTACCCAGGATGCCAAAAAACTAATTAGATCTAGATTTTTATGCAAAGAATCATCCCTGAAAATTTGAAATTGATCTACCAAACGGTTCACCTGAGAATGCGTTGACAAGATTTTACAGACAAGATTTTAGGATGGAAAATCCAAAATGGCCGACAATAAAAAAGTGATTATGAGTTTTTGCTGATTTCCTTTTACAAAATCATCACATATAACTACTGTAAACAATAATATAAGGCTTTTACAACAAAGTACACCTGAAATTATTTATAAAGCTACTAAATAGTTAAAGTATGAAAGCTCAAAAACACCATTCAATATGATAGAAAGTATTATCACGCGCTAACTTTTCTTAAGACATTCAAAATGGCTGACATGACTGAGCTAACAGGTCCAAAACCTAATCAGATGTAGAATGATAAGATAAGATAAGTTTATTGTTCTTTATAGTGGTAGGTTACACAAATCAACCCAGCCCACCTGGGCTTATCAACCACTTAACAAGTTTAAACATTTTAAATTATACAATTAGTGAAATAAATATCAATCTGTGTCATACATATGGTTACAAGATGTTCAAGTTTTAAAAGCAACTGTGAAGCCGTTTTTCTGAAAGCTTGCAGACAAGGATTTTAGCATTCGACTTCAAAATGGCCGACAGGAAGTAGGTATCGAGTTAAATTTTTTCATCCACATCTGTATGCACTCATAAGTTATACCTGAAAATTTGAAGGTGATATCTGTAGCGGTTTTGGAGAAAACTGCCGGACGTACGGACAGATGGACGGACGGACAGACGGACAGATGGACGCACCTAGGCCAACAATATGGCCCCACACTATGTGGTGGGGACATAAAAACCATACTTGGAACATGAAAAATGATGTCCTACAAAACCCCTCTGAACGCACGCCTAAACCCTCATTCTGACTCAACTATAGGTATTAGTGAATTGAAATTATATTTCACAACAAAGACATTTTTACAATTTTTTTTTATATTTTTACTCATAGTATCTTTTTCACTGCTTATAAATATGTTTCTTGACTTAAATTCCTTGCTTATACAGGAGAAACAGGCTCTTGTACATTCCTATAGAACTACAACTTCATGCCAAGTACAATGGCTTCTTTTGTACCTGAAGAATTTAGCGAAAAATGATGACTAACATGTAATACGCAAACTTAATAAGTTATAAATATAAGAGATTGATACAAAGGTTTATAAGCAATGCAAACAAACTAATATGTGTGTTCATAACATATAACTTGAGGGACAAAAAACAAAAATTCCATCCATTAAATTAAATACCTTATTGTTATAATAACTACGCAGATGCGAGTAGGTAGTTACCAGATTCACCACCAGATGGCTCGTTCGGGTCAGATAGCATGGCGGGTATAGTAGAAAGTTCCCTTTAACTTAAATTACATCTATTTGCGTGGTTCAATTTTCATATAACCCTTATGTATCTAATAATTATGCAAATTAAAATATGTCCAGTAAAAGAAAATGATATCTGTCCAATACAAGATAAGATAATTCACTTTTTGTGATTTTGTAACATGGGATCTATGGGGAATCAACCCGAAGAAGAAGTCACATTTTCAAAAAAAATTAAATTTTCAAACCATATTTCCAGATGTACAAATATGACATCACTTTGACTGAATTTTAAATATTTAATGACGTAAATCAAGATTATTTCTACTCGCATCTAGTCTATTGATTGTTAATATCAGGTTATTAGATTTTCTTTGTTAGTCACAAGTACAAATACAGTTTTTATGACCCTTGGGTGCTATATTGTGATCAGTTTGTTCTTTTCTTCTGACAAATGAAACAATTATAGACCTCTCCTTTTGGTTGGGTTTATATCCTTTCACTTAGTCCACTGTGAACCTCTACAGTGCACCTACACTTGCAGTTTACTGTCAGTGTATGACTATGTATGTACAGCTGTAAATGTTTGTTATTTTCTACTCTTGAATCAGTGGCGTTGCGTGGGTATTTTGTGAGTGTATGCCACGAGTTAGCAAAGCTTTGAGGGGGCTTTGAGTTCTCCCCCCGAGAAAATTTGACAAGAATACAAATGTGTACAAAATGTCCCCACCAATGGGTGATCCTGTCAAATGGTCATCCTGAAAATGAGTAGAGAAGACTTTACCGACACAATTTGAGGACGGAAATCCAAAATGGCCACCTTAAAATTTACCCAGAATGACCTGAAAACGTGTAGACAAGACTTTACAGACAAGATTTTAGGACGGAAAATCCAAAATGGCTGCCTTGACATTTACGCAGAATGCCAAAAAACTAATTAGATCTAGATTTTCACACTCTGAATCAAATTTGAATTTGAAATTGATCCACTAAACGGTTCATCTAAAAATGCGTAGACAAGACTTTAAAGGCAAGATTGAAGACAGAAAATCCAAAATGGCTGCCAATTGACATTTATCCAGAATGCCAAAAAAGTAATCAGATCTAGATTTTCATACTAAGAATCATCCCTGAAAATTTGAAATTGATCTACCAAACGTTTCACCTGAAAACGTGTAGACAAGACTTTACAGACGATTTTAGGACGGAAAAATCCAAAATGGCCGACAATAAAAAAGTGATGATTATGAGTTTTTGCTGATTTCTTTTTACAAAATTATCACATATAACTATTGTTAACAATAATATAGGCTTTTACAACAAAGTACACTTGAAATTATTTATAAAGCTACTAAATAGTTAAAGTATGAAAACTCAAAAACACCATTCAATATGATACAAAGTATTATCGCGCGCTAACTTTTCTTAAGACATTCAAAATGGCTGACATGACTGAGCTAACAGGTCCAAAACCTAATCAGATGTAGAATGAAGTGAGCTGAACAAGATATTAAAGTTTTAAAGCAACTGTGAAGCCGTTTTTCTTAAAGTTTGCAGACAAGGATTTAAGCATTTGACTTCAAAATGGACGATAGGAATTAGGTATCGAGTTAAATTTTTTCATCCACATCTGTATGCACTCGTAAGTTATCCCTGAAAATTTGAAGGTGATATCTGTAGCGGTTTTGGAGAAAACTGCCGGACGTACAGACAGACGGACAGACAGACGGACAGACAGACGGAAACGCCTAGGCCGACAATATAGCCCCACACTATGTGGTGGGGACATAAAAATGAAATTGAATTTGATGCGTTCGAAGGCGTTTTAAAATATGAAATTCCGACTAATTTGGACTAATAAAATGTAAATTATTGGCCATTTTTATCCAATATTAATTACATGAACCTTTTTTTGAATGATGGGATGACAAAATACATATTTGTATTAGTAATTTTATCGTTTCTAATAACATTCTATAAAAAATCAATTTTTCTATAAATTTTACGCCATGGCGTTTTATGCATATATGACGCTACGCCAGTGTGAATTATCAAATACGGAACTCGATTAAATTATACATGTAGGAGTGTTTTAAAAATAACAACTGCCTCTAATTCTACATACTGAGTCAAGTTAATGAACTACCATACATTGTATAAAAAAGTGTCACTTTGACTTGCTATGGGTAAGTTCTAAATATGCCTGTACATGCTGCAACTTGAAATCTTTGTATACTGTAATTATCTGATGAAATTCCCAAATTTAGGGTCAAAAGTCTGATATGTACTGACGCTTTTTGCATCTATTCTTGAGCTTGGTGAATTATTTGGTGAATCAGGTCCATCTTCTGTATCGTCAAAATATGGTGGTCTGACTGGTTTCTGTGCTTGGAAGAGAGGAAGTGATGCAACACCAACTCCAGGAAGTGACATCACTTTTGAATCATAGCTAGCTTTGCTGTTATACAGAGTGTTTTTATAGCTCATGTCTGAATAGCTAGGAGGATTAGAACGCCTTTTCCTGCAAAAAAATACCAAGAATTAATAAAGGATCGGAGAAACCAAATGAATTGATGAAATATATTAATTACAGTAATCCATATAAATATATCCTCTTGAAGTAGGAATAAATTGAACTTTTATACTGGTGTATGGATTAAATACAATACATTTTTCATTCGCCATCAATCCCCGCATCAATCAGAGAATTAGAGGAATAGGAGCATTTACCTGTAAAACTTTGCAGTGCATGCTACAATTATAAGGACAGCCAGTATGATGAGGATGGGAACACCTACTGCTGCACCAATTATCAAATCTGTCCCTAGCCTCGCACTGGGATCTGGAATAACATAAAATACTGTCAGAGGAAAATTCTGAAATAACAGATAAAATATTGTTAGTAAATATGACAAGGCATTAACATGACAAAATGTCACCACCTAAAACAATTCGGTCAATTTAAAGCAAGTTGAAAAAATACCTCTTTGACTTTTTTTTGACATTGAGAAGGTCATTGAAGGTCAAATGTCAAATGTAAAGTCAGATTTGAACTTCTGAGAACATGTAGATGATTTTGAAAAAAAATTAAGTAAATTTGAAGCAAGTTGAAAAAAGACCTTTTTGACCTTGAAAAGGTCATTGAAGGTCAAATGTCAAATCTAAAGTCAGATTTGAACTTCTGAGAACATGTAGATGATTTTGAAAAAAAATTAGTCAATTTGAAGCAAGTTGAAAAAAGACCTTTTTGATCTTTTTTGACCTTGAGAAGGTCATTAAAGGTCAAATGTCAAATTTTAAGTCAGATTTGAATTTCTGAGAACATGTAGATGATTTTGAAAAAAAAATTAGTCAATTTGAAGCAAGTTGAAAAAAGACCTTTTTGACCTTTTTTGACCTTGAGAAGGTCATTGAAGGTCAAATGTCAAATCTAAAGTCAAATCTCAAGTCATATTTGAATTTCTGAGAACATGTAGATGATTTTGAAAATTTTTTTTAGTCAATTTGAAGCAAGATGAAAAAATACCTTTTTGACCTTTTTTGACATTGAGAAGGTCATTGAAGGTCAAATGTCAAATCTAAAGTCAGATTTGAATTTCTGAGAACATGTAGATGATTTTGAAAAAAAATTTTAGACAATTTGAAGCAAGTTGAAAAAAGACCTTTTTGACCTTGAGAAGGTCATTGAAGGTCAAAGGTCAAATCTAAAGTCAGATTTGAACTTCTGAGAACTTGTAAAGTCAAATTTGAACTTCTGAAAAGATGTAGATGATTTTGAAAAAAAAATTGGGTCAATTTGAAGCAAGTTGAAAACAGACCTTTTTGACCTTTTTTGACCTTGAGAAGGTCATTAAAGGTCAAATGTCAAATCTAAAGTCAGATTTGAATTTCTGAGAACATGTAGATGATTTTGAAAAAAAAAATTAGTCAATTTGAAAAAAGACCTTTTTGACCTTTTTTGACCTTGAGAAGGTCATTGAAGGTCAAATGTCAAATCTAAAGTCAAATCTAAAGTCATATTTGAATTTCTGAGAACATGTAGATGATTTTGAAAAAAAAATTTAGTCAATTTGAAGCAAGATGAAAAAATACCTTTTTGACCTTTTTTGACATTGAGAAGGTCATTGAAGGTCAAATGTCAAATCTAAAGTCAGATTTTAATTTCTGAGAACATGTAGATGATTTTGAAAAAAAAATTTAGTCAATTTGAAGCAAGTTGAAAAAAGATCTTTTTGACCTTTTTTGACTTTGAGAAGGTCATTGAAGGTCAAATGTCAAATCTTATGTCAAATCTAAAGTCAGATTTGAATTTCTGAGAACACATAGATGATTTTGAAAATTTTTTTTAGTCAATTTGAAGCAAGTTGAAAACAGACCTTTTTTGACCTTGAGAAGGTCATTGAAGGTCAAATGTCAAATCTAAAGTCAGATTTGAATTTCTGAGAACATGTAGATGTTTTTGAAAAAAAATTTAGTCAATGTGAAGCAAGTTGAAAAAAGACCTTTTTGACCTTGAGAAGGTCATTGAAGGTCAAATGTCAAATCTAAAGTCAGATTTGAACTTCTGAGAACATGTAGATGATTTAGAAAAAAATTGAAGTCAATCTAAACAGTATTTGTTAAGTTATAGGAAGTTGTAAGAAATTGTTACAGACACCAGACGCCAACCTCCAACCACCAACCGCCAACCACCAACCGCCGTCGCAAAAAAACGGAGACCATAACAATATGTCACCACTTTTGGTGGTGACATAATAAACAATGCCCCTGTTCTACTTCATTAGTTATATATAGAGGACCCCCTCCTAAGTTTCAGTAATTTACTAATATGACCCCATGCCTGATCTTGGCTGAACTCGGAAGAAATTGTTTTTTTCTAGGTCGAAGGTCAAAATCTAGGTCAAATTTTTTTTCTTCTACTTTCTCAAAAATGGTCAACAAATATTCAATATTTAAAGCCAAAATTTGGTATACTAATTGAGGAGATTATGCTAATAGTCATCAAAAAATCTCGACGGCAGACTCTCAACGCACGTCTCTAGGGGTCCTCTTTGCAATCTTAGATCTCTAGTTATTTATAAATGATGTATGCTCACAAATGTAATAATAAAGAGTACTGTAGGTATAAAAAGTCCAACTAGAAAAACTCTCTGGAGTAGCAAATTCTACCACACAAAAAATTTTTTTTATCAAATCCTTTGTCATTTGTCACTGCAAATTGGAAAGTGATTTCTATTTATCATATTTAAAGTTCAATTTTTTGATGAAGGAAAAAGTGACATTTATATTTCATCAGGGTATAGTTCTTTTGGGACACCCAGTATATGATATTTTATAAATTGAAACAATACTTTGGAGTTCAATACAAATGATTGAAATGAATGTTCATCACCAGCTTTCTAGACAACCCTTTATCACTCCTCTTCACAATGTTGTTCATCACATTTAAATTTTACATGATACATTCAGATCGAAAGACATGCAGCACCTACCTTCTGGTAAGCGTATTTCACATACATCTCCAGAATATCTATCTGAGCAAATACAATTGTAGCCTTTTCCGAGAGTTGTCCTCTCACATATGGCTTTGTTCTGACATGGGGAGTTGACACATTGATCTGAAATTTTAATTAATATACAGGGTTACACAAAAGCAAACCTCAGATTTTTGGGATAACTCTCAATAAAAGTTGATATTTGATTTTCACTTGTACAGTGTAGATAGAATCCATAATGTTACAAACAGTGGTGTGGTTACTGTATATTGCATAAGTGAATTTGTGCTAAATGAAATTAACCTTTTCTAACCTGTATACCAATCATCTACACTTATAAAAATTAGTTGTTTTTATGACATGACTAAATTATTTTGACTTATAAAGATATAAACCATTTTTTAAACCAACACAAACAACTCCTTATCATGTAATGCACACAGAATACATGGAGGTAACTTACGTGTACATGTGATTCCATCTCCCAGGAAACCAGTGTTGCATGCACATGTGAAGCCAGGTGATCCACTTACATCTGTGCATGTTGCATCAGGGTGACAGGTAGCCTCACCATTAGTACACTCATCAGACGCTAAGTGGAAAAATCAGTATATATGTTAGGATATAAAGCTTCATACATTCATTGTAGCTTTGAAAGCCCTTGATTGAGGAAAATTGGATGGATAATTGAAAAGTTTTTTTGTTATATATCGAGTGTATATTTTTTCGGAAACTGATGAATCAAATTCACTGGAAATTTGTACAGAGTAGCCAACGAGTATCATTAGCAAGTTATAAAAATATGAAAAAGATCGAGTGAATCTTACGTGAGTACTAAGAAATTCAAGATAGCATGTCAGAAGATCACATACTGGAGCAATGCAATGAGAACTTCATAGCGTTTGTACCAAAAATGGGAAGCACTTTGACAAGTAATTTTTCAGCAATAGATAACCTAATTTTTTGAAAACTTTACTTGAGGTACTTTGGGGTATCTCCTGCAAGTGCGATGAATATGAAAAAGATTGGTCTCATATTATGTGTGCATTTTTTTGAATTAAAGACAGTATGTCAAAATTACCAATATTAATGTCAAAGTCACTTAATAATCCATATCTAAGCAAAAATACTTTTCCATATTTATTCTAACAATATCAACTCCGATGAATTTTGAGAATGAATGGATTTTGGATATTTGGGAAGTAATGAAACAAATTAATTAGACATTACACACAGACAAGCTATTTTGACTGATTGACAGATGGTATCACCTGATAGCTGATACAAACACTGTAGAGGTCTCATTGCAGGGCTCCGGTATGGGAATTTTTGACATGCTATTTTCAATTTCTTAGTACTCACAGAATATTTACTTAATCTTTTTAAATTTGTACAACTTGCTAATGATACTCTTAGCCTACTATGTACAAATATTAAGTGAATTTGGCTCATCAGTTGCCAAGAAAATACTTGTCATAAAGTGTCTCATTTTTTTGGGACACCCGATATAAACATACATGCATGTACAATATTAAATAAAGAATTTGTTTGCAGCATAGGCAGATTGAAGCTTCGTTTGACACTGGGGGTCTAACTGCAGATTTACATATATATGTAACTGGTACATTGTCTTTGTTGATTGAAGGATCTGAATACACCTTTGATAATACCACAGGAACATAGAACATGTAAATCTAAACCTTGCAACAGATAATATATATAATGTATATAATATCATTTAAGGCAAGTATTCATTTATGATTGGTAAGATATACAAATGTACTTACAAATGCAATCTGATGAGTTTGTAGAGCTTACGGCCCAGACCTTGAGGCCTGGTCCACATGGTTTACAAACTGACTGTCTAGCTTCATCCTGGTAAGTATCCCATGGGCAATTTAAGCATGTGTTTGAAGGCTCATGCCTGTATGTGCCAGCCTGGCAATTTGCTGAAATATTTCAAATATAAAACATCAAAAACTGATTTCAAAATATGCCAAAGTTACAATACTAATGTTAACAGGTACATTTTGATAATAATTTGTAGGCTTGAGGCAGGTGAGGCAACTAAATGCATACCTTGCTAATAACCTTGTAGGCTTGAGGCAGGTGAGGCAACTAAATGCATACCTTGCTAATAACCTTGTAGGCTTCAGGCAGGTGAGGCAACTAAATGCATACCTTGCTAATAACCTTGTAGGCTTGAGGCAGGTGAGGCAACTAAATGCATACCTCGCTAATAACCTTGTAGGCTTGAGGCAGGTGAGGCAACTAAATGCATACCTTGCTAGTAACCTTGTAGGCTTGAGGCAGGTGAGGCAACTATATGCATACCTTGCTAATAACCTTGTAGGCTTGAGGCAGGTGAGGCAACTAAATGCATACCTTGTTAGTAACCTTGTAGGCTTGAGGCAGGTGAGGCAACTATATGCATACCTTGCTAATAACCTTGTAGGCTTGAGGCAGGTGAGGCAACTAAATGCATACCTTGCTAATAACCTTGTAGGCTTGAGGCAGGTGAGGCAACTAAATGCATACCTTGCTAATAACCTTGTAGGCTTGAGGCAGGTGAGGCAACTAAATGCATTCCTTGCTAATAACCTTGTAGGCTTGAGGCAGGTGAGGCAACTAAATGCATACCTTGCTAATAACCTTGTAGGCTTGAGGCAGGTGAGGCAACTTTATGCATACCTTGCTAATAACCTTGTAGGCTTGAGGCAGGTGAGGCAACTACATGCATACCTTGCTAATAACCTTGTAGGCTTGAGGCAGGTGAGGCAGGTGAGGCAACTAAATGCATGCCTTGCTAGTAACCTTGTAGGCTTGAGGCAGGTGAGGCAACTAAATGCATACCTTGCTAATAACTTTGTAGGCTTGAGGCAGGTGAGGCAACTAAATGCATACCTTGCTAATAACCTTGTAGGCTTGAGGCAGGTGAGGCAACTAAATGCATACCTTGCTAATAACTTTGTAGGCTTGAGGCAGGTGAGGCAACTAAATGCATACCTTGCTAATAACCTTGTAGGCTTGAGGCAGGTGAGGCAACTAAATGCATACCTTGCTAATAACTTTGTAGGCTTGAGGCAGGTGAGGCAACTAAATGCATACCTTGCTTATAACCTTACCAAAATGTACAGTAAATCATTTATACAGGCATTTTCAACTGTAACTGTAAAATAAAGTCCAATTAATAGATTTATGTAAACGTAAGCTTACAATTGCCTCACCTATTTAGATTTGCCTCACCTATATGTGCTTGTAGATCCTGACTACTTTTCCCATAAATATCCCACTACATGTAAGTGTGTCTTAGCAAATCAGTTGAGTATTTCAGTGAATTAATTCAAGGTACAGTTTATATGGTCAACTGAGCAGAAACTATTTTCAAAGCATTAATACATGTACTTACCCATGTAATAATGTACTCAGGCTCAACCCTTTTGCATTACTCCTCTGGGTTAGTACATGTACTCATGCTTTAAATTTCCATTTCAAACTAGAAAAACAGCAACTCCATGGAGTAGCAAATCCCAACGAACAAAACAGGAGCCATCTTGAAAATTTCTTCTTGTACAGAGTTCCCTTGCTCCTAGATATCAGCATATAAAATCTGAACCAAATCCATTCACTGGTATTTTAGTTATCAAAGATTACTTTTTACAAAAAATGGCAGCGATTTGAAATTCAGCTATCATCTTAAAAATTTCTTTTCAAGCAGAGCTCCTTTATCCTTATCCTTAGGAATCAGTATATGAAATTTGAACCAAATCCGTCCACTGGTATTTGACTTATCAAAGATTACGTTTTTTACGTATTTTGAAATTCCGTTCCAATCTTGAAAAATGTCTTCTCATGAAGGGCTACCTTAACTCTACAGTAGGCATCAGCATATAACATTTGAACCAAATCCTTCCACTGGTATTTGATTTATCAAAGATTACAAATTTTTATGAAAAATCCCAGCCATTTTGAAATTCAGATGCCATCTCGAAAATCTCTTCTTAGGCAAAGGTCCTTTAGCCCTAAGCAGACAGCATATAAAATTTGAACCAAATCCATCAACTGGTATTTGAGTTATCAAAGATTACGTTTTTTTATGAAAATGGCAGCTATTTTGAAATTTAATAACCATCTTGAAAATATCTTCTTGAGCGGAGCTCCTTTTTCTCTGGGTATCAGCATATAAAATTTGAACCAAATCCGTCTACTGGTATTACATATTCTTTAAAAAAATGGCTGCCATTTTTAAATTCAGTGGCCATCTTGAAAATCTCTTCATTGGCAAAGCTTCTATGTCCCTAGGCATTCACATATAAAATCTGAAACAAATCCGTCAACAAGTATTTGAATTATCAAAGATAACATTTTTTACGAAAAATGGCGTCCATTCTTAATTGAGCAGCCATTTTGAAAATTCCTTCTCGAGCAGAGGTCCTCCATCCATAAGGCATGAGCCTATAAAATATGAATCAAATCAGTTGACCAGTATTTGAGTTATCGCCCGGACACACAAATGGACGGACAGCTTTCCTATATCCCTGCGAACTTCGTTCGGTGGGATAATAAAGAAGGATACAGGATTCCTTATTTCATAAGTATGATAAATGTTTGTAGAGTGTCATTCATGTACCTATGTTGCAGTCAGCTACAGATGTGGAGCCATTCCCAGCTGTGTAAAAGGCTATAGGGCAGACTGTACATTGCAGACCTTCTGATTTGTCCCTATATGAACCAACAGGGCAAGCTACACAAGTCTGTAACTCTGGGCTGTACTGTTTGCCAGCATTACAGTCATCTAGAATAGAACAATCAAAGATAAAGTTATTGACTGGCTTCAAAAGGTAAACTGCATTGACTGCATGATGGGTTTTTTGGGACTTTTTTCGACTTTGAAACATTTTGGTTGAGTAATATTTAGATGTTTACTTGAGCTTCTACTGAGAATTGTTTGCATGGCTCGTGAAAATACATGTACAGTACTTTAGTTGTACTTTTCATGAAAATACAGTGTGCAATACAATATTTTCCTCTGTTATACCCTTCATCTCTATGACATCATTGAAATCTCCGCATAATTGTGAAGTATTCAACTCACCAATGTTACATTGACTTTGATTAGTTGCTCCAGTTGAGGGTGTTATTTTTTCAGTCGGGCATTGAGTACAAGGATATGCCCCCTCTGTGGTTTTATAGAAACCTACAGCACAATCCTGGCATGTCCCTGTAGAGTTTTCCATACCTATTGGACAGTGCACTGGAAACAAATAAATACATGTACTGTTAGTGAACATTTTAGTACATCATTTCAAGGTATCTGAATTAGGTTTATTCTTGTAATTTGCTGTTAGTTCACCTGCAATGTAAATAAATGTAATGTAAATACATGTAAATAAAAGTTTTATGTAGAAGCCAAAACTGATTATTTGTCTAATCATGCATTTTCATCAATACTTACAGTAGCAATCAGCGAGGCTGGTTGAGCCACTCCCGGCAGTGGTTTGATACAATGGACATTGGTTACATGTGTCTGCTAGGCTGTTGGCCTGGTACTGTCCCACAGGACATGGTTTGCACATACTACTGCTACTGTCCAATGACTCACCTGGCACACAGGCATCTAAAACATTATGCAGAAATACATTATTGAATTTTTGGAATAATATAGTTCTTTCCAAAAATACATACAGTCCTTTATGAAGAATTTTCTTTCATAATTCTAGCTAAATGTCATTTCACTTCTGATACAAATACACTAAACTGTGAGTCTATCTGGTATAAGAACAAATACATTTACATGAAGAGATGAAGCATACACTCCAGAAGATGTTATTGTAATGTAAAATGTAATGCAGCTGCAGCTAAATCATCTTATAACTGTGACAAATCTAGAGTCGGGGCAATCTGCGCGAGGTTTGGTTTTTACTTGGTTCGGTTTTTCATGGAAGTACATGTACTTCATTCCCATATGATTCAAATTGCTTTCTGCGATCAGTTCGCTTTAGATTTGTACACCAAACATCTACAAATTATATTCTGTCATTTCACTTCTGTTGGGGGTATACTTTTTGTTTTCATACCAAACAAAAATATTCCCGCAATGAACGGTGCATTATGGGTAGAGACTGCTGTGAATTAATGAACGTAAGTGACATCTATCTTAAATTATAAGCTCTAACAAGTTATTTATTGTGCATGTGTTACTGTATAATAAATTGAAACAATTAAATTCACCTGGATTCAATGCCCATGAGCGAAAAACCGAACCTAAAAAAGGAACCTCACGCAGATTGCCCCAAGTGCAAATCTACCCAAATACGAATATGTGTCAATGTGAATTCTTTCTGTGAATTCTTTCAGCGTGACCAGACTATGGTTCATATACAGGGTGTTCAGGAAATAAAGATAATAATGTCATAACTTTTTTCTTTATTCATGGATTTCAATAAAATTTGCAGGGATTATATATTGTAGTTTAAACATATTTAAATTTACTTTTGGAGTTTCAGCCTCAAGCGATTTGATTTGTCATTTCTGTGGTTGGCATAGCAACGTGAGTAGCGCTAAGGCGGGGCACATGGAATAACTGCAGTAGTTTCTGTGTAACATTTAGCATGGCAAACCGATTTTGACTCCATATTTAAAGCTTTCTTGGTGCATCTCCATGATAAAATTCATCTATTGTTTTGTTTTATGATATAAAAGTCAAATAAATGCTTTTTTAATGATATTCAATGGGATTTTCATGACTTAATGCAGGCATTACATAGAAAGTGACCCGGGATGCAATTTCTCTTCCACTTGGACAATTCCCCCTCCCATGCTGCTGTCATAATCACTAAAAAATTGAGCAGCTGAGATTAGAGCAACTCAAGCATCCACCTTATTCACCCAACCTAGCGCCAAATGATTTATACATGTACTTCTTTGCTGAATCAAAACGGGACTTAAGAGGACATGCATTTGAGAATACTCATGCCATACGTTCACATGTGTTAAACAGACTTCGGGAAATGAGTCAAGATGAATTCTGTGACTGGTATTTGAAGAAGGTTCGAGAGGCAAAGAGTTGGTGTCTAGAATGGGGGAAATTATGTAGAATAAATTGATAAATTGGCAAAGAATTTCAGGCTTATAGTTAGTTATAACTATGTTTAAGCATCCATTTTAGATTTGGACATGATAAACATGATAGAATCTCTTTTTAAAACATTTAAAACATGCAAATATACTGCAGTTATTCCACCTGCCCCGCCTTAGCGCTACTCGCGTTGCTATTACAACAACAGAATCAACCAATTAAATCACCTGAAGCTGAAACTCCAACAATAAGTTAAAATATGTTACAACTATAATATCTGAAACTTTCAATGCAATCCATGAATAAATAAAAAAGTTATGACATTATTATCTTTATTTCCTGAACACCCTGTACATGTAGCACAAAGTGTATATTCAGTGTACAGGTGCACAAAAGTGGGATCTTGATAGAGAGGACTTTTTAGATGCATGTAACTTTTTCGAATGATCATTGAAAATTCTTTCTCAAATAGAGATACGCCCATACAAGGCAGCAGTCTATGAAATTAAATATAATCAAATCCGTTAACTGGTATGGCCTGAACGGATTGAGGGACAACAAACATGTCTCTATAACGCTACCAGAATTCATTCAGTGGGATAAATAATGTCCTCACCAATATTGCAGTCTGCCAATGAAGTGGAGTTGATACCCCTGGTAGTATTGCCAGCTGGACATGGAGTACATGAGCCAAATGTATCAACTGTGTTGTCCTTATACTCTCCCCTTAGACACCCGCTACATTGTCTTGTTCCAGTCACTTCATAACCACTGGAGCAGTAGACTAGAAAACAAATAAAACAAAGATTTCATGATAATTCAAATGTGTATGAAATGTACATACGTACATGTACATGTAGAGAACACACTGTCATCTTTTACACGCATATGAGATACAACTAAGAAAAGCAGCTTCAAGGAGTAGTAAATCCCACCAAGCAAACTTATTTGATCAAATCATTCATCATTTTGAACATACATGTAACAAATTGGAAATAACCGGGTGCAGTTACATCGTAGCATTGCCTACTTTAGTAAAAATCTTAACCCATGATGTAATGTGATGCTATGTTACAAATTCCTTCTCAAGTAGAGGTCTTATGATCAGCATAAGATGAACTTTAACCAAATTATTCTATTGATGTCACTTGCATTATTAAAAAATCATATTTTTCTTGAGATATGGCAGCCATTATAAATTTAGTATTCCTTCTCATATGCGCAGAATGCCAAGTCATCTGCACTTAAAATCGGAACCAAATCTAAGGACTGGTATTTGAGTCATCAAATATTACTTTTTTTACAAAATATGGTGGCTATTTTGAATCCAGCAGTCATCTTGGACAAATATGTTATATACCCTCGTGAGATATTTCTATGTCCCTATGGTATCACTATATAAAATATCAACCAAATTTATCAAATGGTATTTGAGTAATCAAAGTTTGCAGTTTTTGCAAAAAATGGAAGTCATGTTGTATTTAATTTTTTTGGCAAGCAACACTTCGTTGTCATATTTCCATAGTTTATGTATTTACACTCAAAGACAGAAACCCCTCTTTGGAGGAGCCCTGGGTTCTTTTTATGTGCACAAATATACAGACATACATGTATACAAGTACACACCACAGCCTTTTATCCAATTTGTCGACCACTCAGTCAAACACCCAGAATAACATAAAGCACATACAAATTTCTCTGAACTGGGAATCGAACCTAGGGTCAAGCCATAGTGGTAACCTTTGCTCTGCCAATGAGCCACAGTGGGTGGACTAAAAAATTAAAACTAAAACACCTTCTTGAGTAGAGGTTCTTTGCCCTAAAGACATTAGCCTACAAATTTTGGACCAAATTTGAAAAATGGTGGCCATGATTTTGAAATTCAGTGGTCATCTTGAAACTCTTTTGTTGAACAGAGCTTCTATATATATCTCTAAGACACCTTCATACTTATTGCCCAAACATACAAATGGACGGACAGTCAATCGACTTCTATATATCCCTCCCAAACTACCTGATTGTGGGATAATTACCATTCATTAAAATTGAACCTAATTGTTAACATTATGCATTCAATAGAATGGTGAAGGGAATTGAGCACTTACAAAGACACTGTGACTGGTCTGTTGAAGCTTCTTGTGCAGTAGTTTCACTAGCTCCACACTGCAGGCATGCATCCTGCCATATGGTAGGCTGGTAGAAGCCTATAGCACAGCTTTTGCATGTGTTGTTTACAGTGTCTCTATATTGACCAGCACCACATGCAGCTATAACATAGAATATTAACATTTTATTGACATATGTTTGACAAATTATTTTCAGCAGAGAACATCAATATAATGGCACATATAATTAATCTTAAAAGTGATTACTGTATCTAACTATCCAGAGCTTGTTTACAAAATTTGAAAATACCAGTTGACTTCAATGAATAATTTCAACAGCTATACATGCCTTGGTTGCACCCTGCTTTGGAAGTTGTATTAACATTCTCAGTTGTTGTGTCTGATGGGCACGTCTGACACACCCCAAATATGTTGTCAGCATTGTCTTTATAACTTCCACGTGGACAACCTTGACACAACAATCCCTGACTCTCATATCCAGATGGGCAGTAAACTAAAAAATTAAGTATAAATCATATAGACATCAAGATTTCAAGCAATCTAAATGGAAGCCCAAATGGCTTTTAATCCATGTACTGTACATGTAAATACTGTAATAACGAGTTAGTAATCGAGCAAAAAATTAGTTACTAGTACATGTAAGCTAGTTAGAGCAGGTTAACTACTTACTATAAGTTTACCATGGCTAATCATTAAATCTTAGTAGTTACTAGATTATCTTATTCGTTTCTTAATAAAAGCTATATTTAGATTGATGAAAATAGTAATACAACAGTCTGTCTCAAAGATTAAAGGAATAGTGCAAGAAAATATACAAGAACACATATGTGTACAACATGTCCCCACCAATGGGTGATCCTATATACTGTAAATATTTCATCCTGAATGCCTAACACTAATCAGTTGAAAAGACAAGATTTGAAGGGAAAAATCCAATATGGCTCTTTGAAATTTAGCAGGACTGCCCAAAGACTTAGTAGTTTCAGATTTTCATACAAAAAATCATTTCCATAAATTTGAAATCGATCTGTCAACTGGTTTGCTAGGAAACGTGGAGACAAGACTTTACAGAGAGGACTTCAGGATGGAAAATCCAAAATGGCCACCATAAAATTTACCAGGAATGTGGAGAAACTAATCAGTTCCAAGATTTTTATACTAAGAATCATCCCTGAAAATTTAAAATTGATCCCTCAAATGGTTAACCTGTACAGCTCTTTTTTAGTCACACACACATACACAGGAAGTGTTTTATATTGTATCTTTGATCTATTTATATATTTATATATTATTTATATCATATGTCATTTTAATATATATAAAGACATGGCTAGTAATGCCAGTATGGCACAGCCATTGAAATAAATATGTAAATAAAAAAAATTTAAAAAAATCCATTAAATAGTTAACCAGAAAACCTATAGACAAGATTTATGAATGGAAAATCCAAAATGGCTGCCTTGACATTTACTTAGAATGCCAAAAAACTATAATCAGTTCTAGATTTTCATATGAATTTGAAATTGATGTACCAAACAGTTCACCTGAATGCGCGTAGACAAGACTTTACAGACAAAACTTTAGGATGGAAAATCCAAAATACCTGCCTTGACATTTACCTGGAATGCCCAAAAATTGATGTATGTATTTTAAAATGTGTACAAATGAGACAAGGGCTAGATGGATTGCGAGTTTTTAAGAAAGATGTCTTCTACCTTTACACTAGCACCCTCTTCATACATGTAGGTCAGCCATTTTTAAATGAGCTAAAAAGTACACTGGACGAAAATCAATGATAATTTTCCCAGGGATGATAATTTTCCCAGGATTCCTTCAATAATGAATTATTTGAAGGAATGGCTAGTGTAACAATTTGTATACAATCCTTTATAAAAAATAGTACCGTGGGTACTGGGCTCACATGGTGTTGCTCAAAAGTGAATGATGGCTAAAATGACAGAAAATAAAAAAAAAAACGATATAATTTTTGCTGATTTTTTGTAACAAAATTATTTCAAGCCACTTGGCACTATTTGGACTGACTGAGAGACAGATGGACAAATCGATGTTAAGTAAAATGGCTGAAAAAAAACGGATATAATTTTTTGCCAATTATTATTGTAACAATATTATTTCATACAACTACATTACTCTTAACAGTGACATGGCTTTTTGCAATTCAGGACACCTATTTGTAAAGCTAGGAACCGGGCCAAAATTTCACGAGACAAAAATGGCAACCATTTTGAAAATAGGCAAGCTTTTGAACGAGGAGTCATAGTGGAGATTTTTGTATTGATGTTGAACAAAATTAACTTAAAACGGGAATCCTATCGACAGAGGGTTTAAGGCAAATGGTCCAAAAGTGGATTTTGCGAGACAGATGGACAAATCAATGTTAACTAAAAATGGCTGAAAATAAAAGAAATGGATATAATTTTTTGCTGATATTTCGTAACAAAATTATTACATACATCTACTCTTTATATTGGCATGGATTTTTACAATGTAGGACACTTGAAATTATTTGTAAAGCTAGGAAATGGGTCAAAAGTGAATTTCGTGAGACAAAAATGGCAGCCATTTTGAAAATGTAAGGAACTCAAATCAAATTTCTGTGACCCGACCCGAATAGTTCAATTTCGACCCGTCCCACCCCTATATTTGAGTTATTAAAGATTAAGTTTTTTCACTAAAAATGGTGGCCATTTTGAAATTCAGCATCCATCTTGAAAACCTCTCCTTGATCAAAGCTCCTTTGTCCCTAGGCATCAGCATGCAACATTTGAAACAAATCAGTCCACTAGTATTTGAGATATCAAAGATTACATTTTTTACGAAAAATGGTGGCCATTTTTAAATGAGTGGCCATATTAAAAATTCCTTCTCAGGCAGAGGTCCTACACCCATTAGGCAAAAGCCTATAAAATTTCAACTAAATCCTTCAACCAGTACTTGAGTCATTGCCCAGACACATGGACAGATGGACGATAATCAGTGCAATAATTATTCCACAGTGGAAAGATGAAACAACCCACAACCCAATCTTAAACCAACTCATAGAGAGTATGACATTAACCCACAACTGCTCATTACTATGCTGGATAAAAACATTAAACTAATGAGCTTCACTTACATGAGCAATCTGCCTGCTGTGTTTTGCCCGTGGAGTTAGTTGTGTAACTGGAGGGACAAGTTGTACATCCGTCCTGCCACTTTGATGATTGGTAGGTTCCCACTGGACAATCTTCACAAATATTGGTGGTGGTATTACGATATGTTCCCGCTTTGCATGCCACTGGAAAGTATATTTCTATGTATTATTTTAATTTTTCTACTCATATAATATGAATGCCAGTAGATGTAACACCTTAATTTTCTACTTCACAAAAACATTTTCTGACAAAACTTTTTGGCAATATCACGGAGAATCTGTGTTAGTTTAAGTATGAGGAAATCATCATGTTGAAAACGTCATCAGAATGGACTGTTCTCTCATTGGCTTTTAATTATGTGGGCAATATGTCATTTTAAAAGATCGCTGCTCTATTGGTTAATGTAAATGTGATTGCAATTTGATTGAAAAACTTTTGACCATTCATACATACATTATTGACATATTGATATAAACAAAGACAAAAATGGCTGACGGTCAAGATGTGAGAGTACAGATTATGAAATAAAGAAAGTATAGGTTGAACAATAATAAATTAGCGTTAATATCAGAATATACCAAAAGACACCGAACAGTTTCGATTTTCATATTTTTTATTAAAAGTTTCATGAACTTTATTCACTGTATCTCTTTTGCTTGTATCATTTGTATCTTATTGTGAGGTAAATACAGTATCGTTGCTCGTATTAATATTCTTTGCATGTCTTTGAAGGGTTTAATTTTTAAAGTTTAAAAAGATTATTCAATCTTAGTTAATGGTAACTTAGATGTATTAATGCACTCATAGCATTAATTGATGTTAAATTCGTCTCGTCAAAGAGAGATAGATAAAATTAGTTTATGTTATTTAATCACAGTGTTATTGTGGATGATGATTCGCTATCTTGTTCCAAATTGAATGATGGGGAGAGTAGTACATCTATGAAGACAAGGTTGTAGTACAATCCCAATGTGGAAATATACAGGTAGCTTCATGTAGTGACAAAGATAAACAATTTTCTGGCCTTGTTTTATGACTAGACAAAATGTAAGATCATGGGCTTTCTCTCTTCAAAGCACATGGTAAGATCTATAAGACATATATGTAGGTCAACAAGTGCATTGATGCACCTACAATTTAGCACAGAAGATTGAATAATCTTTTTAAACTTTAAAAATTGAACCCTTCAAAGACTGTGTCACGAACCAAGTACGTGGGTACGAAGTTTTTTATACAAACACTAGGGCAGAGCATTTGTACTGAAAGGAGCGTTTTCAGTACAAATATGTACTGAAAAATGTACTGAATTTTTAAGTATATTTTTCAGTATAAATATGTATTGGAAAATATACTTAAAATTTCAGTGCAAATTTCAGTATAAATATGTACTGAAAAATGTACTGAAATTTTAAGTACATTTTTCAGTATATATTTATACTGAAAAATATACTGAATTTTAAGTGTGATTTTAAGTGCAAATATGTACTTAAAAATATACTGAAATTTAAGTGTGATTTTAAGTGCAAATATGTACTGAAAAATATACTGAAATTTAAGGGCATATTTAAGTGTAAATTTATACTGAAAAATATACTTAGATTTTGAATTACGACATCTTCTGACTTTGACATCTATATAAAAGCCCACAACAATACATCCATAAATACCTATATTACAGTTTGTTTGACTGACTGCTCCTGGTAAAGGTGTTATAAAGCCTAGAGGACACATCTGGCAGTCACCAAATACATCATTAGAGGACCTGTACTCTCCAACAGAGCATATAACACAGCTGTTGTTCCCTACTTCTTTCTCAAAGCCAGCTGGACAGTAAACTGTAATATTTAAACAATAAATTGAATGCCCTCAGGTAGAAATGATAGAAACATAATGTACAGTTACCAGGCAAGTACACATATTTCATTTCTGATGTTCTATTTAATACATTTTATCCCATGGATACTAAATATATACCGCTCAAAAAAGTTAATTCTCTCCATTAGTAATTCACTGTAGGTCAAAAATTGATGCCAAATTTGATGAATTTTTAAAAATGGTAAATCCCATGTAAACCAATGGGAAATGGTGGGTAAGGGGCAAATCAAATTTTTGGATATCTACATCTGTATTCAGCAAAAAAAAATGAAAAATAAAATTGAATTGTTTTACTTTCTGCATGCTAAATATTTTGTGAAAATTAACGATACAGAGCTCCATAGTATTTTTGGGAACTCATTTTTGACCCCCTGTTTATTTCAATGAGAGGTTTAAGAAAAATCATAACTTCGTAAATCCCGGAGAAACAAATCAATTTTTTGTTGTAGACAAGTTAGCAAATTCAATTGTCTATTTAAATTCCATTTTTGAGAGCAATTGGATGTATGGATATTTTCTCATATGACTTTTAGCAAACAAACCATTTCCAGTTGGTTTACATGGGGTCTACCATTTTTTTAAATTCACCAAATTTGACATCTATTTTTGACCTGCTGTATCGGAGACAATAAAATGAAATTTTCTGAAATATAGAGAACAGAGTCAAGGTACTGTACATTTCCATTAACAGAGTTCAAGAATACATGGGGTTTAACATGTAAACCTATGAAGAAAAAGAGTGGTATATTTTTTGAGCTGAATATATGGGGATAACGACACAATATAATTTTGGAGTGTACCACTAAAATCATATCCGAATGATATGACGTGATATCCAGTCGTATACAACTTAATTAGACTCAGGCTATCATCTTTATTCATTCCTAGATATTGCCCATCTCAACTCATTTGCTACGCTCACTCATGGAAATAGGTGATATCTACTCATGGATAAAAATGGTAACTCTCAAAAATCATAGGATATCCTCTATGTATCGTCCAATACAATTGTCAAATTTACATTATCATTAACTTACATTATACACGCACAACTTGCCAATTTGTAACTATTAGTACTGTATATTCTAAATTGCAGTCATGAATAACATGAGATACTGTAAAGTATTAGTATTAATGTCATGAATAAAAATTGTCTAAATCAGGATGCCAAATACATGTAATTGATAATCTGAACATTAAGATACCAGCTATGCACTTATCTATTTTTTAAGGAAACATATTGTGAAAACAACCAAGATAATTCTAAATGATTAGCCAAATAAACTGCTCTTGAACACATCTTACAAAGTATGAGAGAGTGCTGATGTACTTACACAAGCAATCTGAGGAACTGTTACTTCCCATAGAGGATGTTGTAAAATTGGTGCTGCACTGAATGCATTGTGTCTGCCACTTTGATGGCTGGTAGGATCCTACTGGACACCCCATACACATATTGGAAGATATATTCAGGTAACTTCCTGGGTCACATGCGGCTGTAATAAAGAATGTAATATTCTTAAGTTAATGATACACTGAACCACTAAAACTGTCGAATTATTGTGTGAAATGAGCATAATTAAAGCACCATTCCATGCAATGGTAACTCATATACTACTCTAATATACAGTATATTGATGCAAACAATGCATGTCCTTTTGCTACCCCTATTACAAATTTACTTGCTGTGGCAGCCAGCTGTCAAAGCAAATATTTCCATAAGGAAGCCTACCAATATTACATTCAGCCAAAGAGGCAGCTCCAATGTTGGTGGTGGTAGTGGCTGGAGGGCACATCTCACAGACTCCAAACACATCAACTGTCCTGTTAGAGAATGAACCCTGAGGGCAGATATCACATTGTTCAAACCCTGATCCTACTTCATAACCAGGTGGACAGTAGACTGAAATAAAGACAGTATACAATTCTGTTCAAATACAGGTTAATAAATGAATAATAATAACAGGGGCGGATCTGGGAACCAACAAGGGAGGGGGCCAAATTTCAGGTCAGAGAAAAATACTTCCACGCTTGCGCTGACAAAAACTTGGGCCCCTAAAACCGAAAAGTGGGCCCAAAGTTTGAGGCCCATTTTCTTCAAAATTGGGCCTGAAATTAAAAAAATAAGGACTTACAGGGCAACGTAATGACCAAAAAGGCCCACTTTTTGGGGCCTTAAAAAACTGTACTGTGAGAAAAGATGTAGATTGGCAATTACAAAAGATACATGTAACTCTTTTTGAGCATACAAGGCTTATTTTGGGCATCCTATATAGAGTATTAATCTGTATAATTGATCATTAAACATGAAGGTATCAATTTCTTACATGCGCATGCTGTTTGGTTGACATTTCCCTCATGTGTTGTTGTATAGTTTACAGGACAAGCTGTACACGATGTCTGCCACTGGTCAGGCTGGTATGTTCCCACAGGGCAGAAGACACATGTATTATTGCTAACATTCCTGTATGTCCCTGCCTCACATGATACTGGAAAAGAAAAATATTTCCCTTAATTTCATCTAACCTCTTTATTAAAGGAATTCTGGGTGATAAAAATAACAAAATGTTGCTTCTGGGACAAGATCAAACAACTTTTACATCTTCTTTACCCTTCCTATTTTGTAATTCAACAATCAACACAAGTATACATACCATATTTCAGCAGATATCGGACAAATTCATAAAAATATTTTTGATTGATCAAATCATCGATTATAAAACTGAAAGTGTTTTCTCAGAGGTCAGTGTGGAAATATTTAAATTATTTCAAATTTTGCTGTGGATTCGATTTTAAATGCTTCTAGGCTAAATGATCTTCAAATGCTTACTATGATTTCTATTTGTAATGTTTCGACTTCCCCACTTCATAAAAACAACATTATCACCATTTACTTCCCGTTCATCTTAAATAAAGATGATCTGAAAGTTGTCATGAACTACTTTCAATCCTCTAATCCTCTAAATAGAGCTTTTTAAGGTTCAATAGCCAACTTTGAATGGATTTTCATGCATAGTTTGGAAAGAGAACAACTAGAGAAGGTTTTAAACCATGAAACGACTCTAAAGCCAGAAGAAAATTTTTTTGAATCATTTTATTGACTGTGAAGTACAGTGTGCCTATAATATAAACTACGAATGGGGAATAGTTTACGGTTCTTCCCGAATGATTTAATGCTAAGTTTCTATCATTTATAATTTATAATATGCAATAATGCATGCTTAAGCAGCAAGTCAAATTCATTTTTCTTCTGACCCGACCCGAAATTACCCGACCCAAACACTTTTTTCTGGCCCAACTCGACTCAAAAGATATCCGACCCGTGACACCCCTACTATTATTAACACATACACACTAATACAACAAATTCCTGACACAAGAGCACTGTAGACATGGACTTACGAATGGAACAGTCTGCACTGCTGGTTGCTCCATTGTTAGGTGTGATATAGCCTTCGGGACAGGCCTGACAAACACCAAACACATCCTCAATGTTGTCCTTGTATGTGCCTCTTTCACACATCATACACGTCCTAGTTGTTACATTGCTTTCATAGCCAGATGGACAGAAAACTAAAATATAAATCATTTAATTACATGTATTGCAAAGAACTTGTATATGAATGTTTTAACCTTCACACATGTAAAAACCTATTTTCAGATATATGTATTTGTGTGACATTCCCAATAAGATATATATTTATATGAGTCATATATTTACATGTCTTGAAGCAATTTAAACTTGCATGTTGAAGGTCAAGTTCATATCAGTGATTTCTAGAGACAATGTACATGTATTGATGCATATCAATAAGAGATGGTGTAACATTAATGCAAACATCTCAATACACAGAAAATGACAACAATGTTCAAAATATGACAACTACATCCCCTCTACATGTACAGCACATTTTTCTTTATACAAAATCATCATGGTGCTTTTTCCATATATACATGTATATTCAATGCAATGAATATTCAAAACTTACATGTGCAGTCGGCTTGTCGGGTGCTTCCCTCAAAACTCGTTGTGTAGTTCACTGGACAGCTGGAACACTGCGTTTGCCATTTAGTGGACTGGTAGCTCCCTATACTACAGTTCACACATACATTCTCTGAAGTGTTAAGGTATGTGCCTGGACCACAATCACCTGCAAGGTTACGTGTAATTATTCTTATATTCCAGTAATTTGTTCTAACTCAATAGTTGCTCAAATGGCAGCAAATGTCTTGCCTATGGACTAATGGAGGATATGTGAAACCAAGTTGTCAATTTAGGGACTTATCTACTTACGAACAGTACATTGCTGCTTATCAGTAGCACCCTCCTGAGTAGCTATGAAGCCTGCAGTACATGGCTGACAGGAATCAAACAGACTGTTGTTGTTGCTTTTATATGTTTCCCTTGGACAAACCTCACAGCTCTGTGCACCAATAGTAGCATTGTGCTCATAGCCACTTGGACAGTAAACTGGAAAGACACACAGTGATAAATAGCATACTTTCCAGAACAAAATTGAAATCAAAATAAAAGATTTTTGAGTTATGTATTTTAAACTTGCTTCAGTGTGACAGGAAACAGCTTCTCTAACTGAAAACTGGGTAAAACATCAACATAAAGGATTGGTATGGATATGGTGAACTTTTTGAAGTAAAGGGACATATAAGGGACGTGTGGGAGGCCTACTAAAAACAATTCAGCATTTTGTAGCATTGTATAATCAATGTCAAACAGAGGTCATTTTATTCAAAATTAAATAGACTTTATTTAGATAAATAGTTTGTGTGGATGATTTCCTCGGTATTGGCTGTGGAGGGGGGTCACAGCGCAAATTGACACCCTGTACATTTACAATGGGAATTGGTGCAAATTGACACCCTGTACATTTACAATGGGAATTGACTTACATTGGCAATCTGCAGCTTGTGAGCTACCATTGGAAAGGGTTGTGTAATTGGTAGTGCATACTATGCAAGTTATCTGGTTCCTTTCTGACTGATAGCTTCCAACTGGACAGTCCTGACAACTATCACTGCTGCTATTATAGTATCTACCAGCTGAGCATGATACTGGAAAACAGAAATAACTCAATATTGAATGGAAATATGGTATTGCAGTATGTACATTTAATTGTACCTTATCATCAAATTGAAGTTTTACATATATGTTTATTTTTGGGAAGTAATGCTTTTCAAAGGACGATTCTCGGTTTGGAGAACAGTCTCCTGGGCTAATAATTTTTTCATGAAAAATATAGAAATATTACCCAAATCAAACTATGAATATCCGAAAGAGGACATTTAAATCTACAAGATGTAAAAATAACAAATTGGTCTGAAGCAGGGATAAGGTTCAATTAGACTGATTCAATAAAATACAAGTCTCGATTTGGGGAAAGAAGTTCATCAGTGTACTGCGCTAATATTTTTTTGCGAAAAATCTTGAAATATTACCCAAATTAAATTATGATTATTCAAAAGAAGACATTCAAATCTATATTATGTAAAAAAATCAAATTTGTCCGAAGCAGGGATAATGCTCATTTAGATTGATGAACTTCGTTCTCCAAACCGAGAATCGTCCTTTACAATTTTGTGAACAAAATTTCACCACAATTTCCTCAGAACAGAATATGTGAGATTGACAGACTTGATTTGATTTGATTTGAAAACTATATTTATTCAGGGTAGCTCTATCAGTACAAAACTGGTCTTCCTAGAGACCCAGTAATAATGTACAATTGTTTACAATATGTACAGTAAATATATAGAACATACAAATATATACAGTGCGTATAAAAAAAACGCAACATATCGGAAATCGCAACATCTCGGAAAAGCACAAAACAAGTGATAGCAACATTGATTTTATTTAATGTACCATAAAGCCAAATATATCCTCTTTCCAATGGTATATCATTCGTTGATATTGGGTCATGGTTGGGTGAGAATCATTCCTTTTGCAAAGTGGGCCAAAATTGCCTTTAGACCAAGTTATAAACAATGTGAAAGTCAGTGTAAGGCGCCCGATGCAATATTGGAAGAAAACATTAAACCAACGATGACTGCATCCTTTTCATTCAATGTACCAAAAAGCCAAATTATTCCTCTTTGCAATGGAATGTCATTCATTCACACGGAGTCATTCATGGCCGAATAATCATGAATTTTGCAAAGTGGGGCAAAATTCAGCTTGGTCCCAAGTTTTAAAAATCGCAAAAGTCAGTGCACAGGGCATAAGGGCTGGAAAAAGGTGTAACAGGTGTGGTAGGCAGTAAAGTGTTCATACTCATAGTCTTGCAAGAATATATCCTATACCCTCCAAATGGCCACCACTTCTTTGCACACAAAGATGCGCTCATCTCACCATGTCATGCATGGTTTAGCCCTAAGGCATCTGTTGGTTTAGGCAGAGAACGGCAGCCCATTAAGGCAATTCTTTCTTGAAGTTTTTCAATATCATTTGGAGAAACGGTTAACACTCTACTCCTGAGATAGCTCCAAAAGAAAAAGTCAGGTCAGGAGGACTTCTATCAGCACTAAGCTCTTGAACTGACCTTTGAAATATCTGAAACTTGGTCAGGAGCCGACTTTGACCTGCTGTGCAAATGAAAGGATTTCTCATCCAACCATGACCACATGTGAAAGAATGACATATCATTGCAAATGGTACATTGAATGAAATTAGTTTTGTGATTTTATGAGATAACTGCATGTTGTGTTTTTTTGATACACCCTGTATAGGACCATGGGCCATCTATATGGATCGTCAAAGTATGCATTTACATGAAACATAGAGAACAACTTATACGAGAATTACATGAATATATGGAACAATGTCTTTAGATAATGCATTTATATCATTTTTATTTTCTGATCTGATACAATTGTTTATATGTATGCTTTCTTAAAAGATACATAAAGTGAATAATTAAAAACAGTTTTGAATATATGGGGGAGAGATGCCTGAAATGGCCTGGTACATTAAAATTGATTTCCTGTATCTAATCATTTCCTGGATTGGAGTCCAATTTAGGGAGTCTGTTGGATACAGACAAGGTTGAATAATAATACAAATGCATTTTAAGAATACAACCATATAATTATAATATCAAGCAAGGTAAAAAAATAAAACATTCAAGTAATACTAGCAATTAGATTAGTCATTAAAATCATTTATAATTTATAACAGATAGATAAATCAATATGGAGTAAAGTAGGTTTCATAAAATTTGCATACACCATGCCTAATATCTAATAAATATGCCATTTTTTATTTGGAAGACCCAAAGATCCATAGAATGTATCACCAATAGGCCTTTGTACTAGCTGCATCTACCAGCATTCTACGAAAACACCCCCCCCCCATCATTTCAAAGTCTATTGCAATTGAAAGTATACATTCTGTACATTAATGAACAAATTGACAAATAACATAGATGTTACAAGAAATATACATGTTACAATCCTAAACTCAAGTAAACCACACTACTTACACAAACTACATTGTGCCACTGATGTAGATCCATTTCCAGTTGTTATTCTGTCCTGTGGGCAACCAAGGCATGAAAACCTATCAATTGTGTTGTCCTTATAGAACCCCTGCAAACAGTCTACACACGTCCCATTAGATGAGCCCTCTTCTGCACCATCAGGACAAACATCTGTAACAAATCAAATATCTTTGCATTCTTTCAGGTAGATACTCTTCTCAAAATATCTAGATACATGAGATACTTGGGTGAATAAGTGGGCAACAGATGGAAAATTAGTGGGCAACAGATACTTGGGTACATGTAAATGAGTGGACAACAGATACTTGGGTGAATGAGTGGGCAACAGATACTTGGGTGAATGAGTGGGCAACAGATACTTGGGTGAATGAGCGGGCAACAGATACTTGGGTGAATGAGTGGGCAACAGATACTTGGGTGAATGAGTGGGCAACAGATACTTGGGTGAATGAGCGGGCAACAGATACTTGGGTACATGTAAATGAGTGGACAACAGATACTTGGGTGAATGAGTGGGCAACAGATACTTGGGTGAATGAGTGGGCAACAGATACTTGGGTGAATAAGTGGACAACAGATACTTGGGTGAATGAGCGGGCAACAGATACTTGGGTGAATGAGTGGGCAACAGATACTTGGGTGAATGAGTGGGCAACAGATACTTGGGTGAATGAGTGGGCAACAGATACTTGGGTGAATGAGCGGGCAACAGATACTTGGGTGAATGAGTGGGCAACAGATACTTGGGTGAATGAGCGGGCAACAGATACTTGGGTACATGTAAATGAGTGGACAACAGATACTTGGGTGAATGAGCGGGCAACAGATACTTGGGTGAATAAGTGGACAACAGATACTTGGGTGAATGAGCCGACAACAGATACTTGGGTGAATCAGTGGGCAACAGATACTTGGGTGAATGAGTGGGCAACAGATACTTGGGTGAATGAGCGGGCAACAGATACTTGGGTGAATGAGTGGGCAACAGATACTTGGGTGAATGAGTGGGCAACAGATACTTGGGTGAATGAGCGGGCAACAGATAGTTTGGTGAATGAGTGGGCAACAGATACTTGGGTGAATGAGTGGGCAACAGATACTTTGGTGAATGAGTGGGCAACAGATACTTGGGTGAATGAGTGGGCAACAGATACTTTGGTGAATGAGCGGGCAACATATACTTGGGTGAATGAGCGGGCAACATATACTTGGGTGAATGACCGGGCAACAGATCATATAACAAAGAAATGGTGAAAAGGTTCTGTGGAAATCATGAATGTTTTATTAGAAATAAAGGAAACAGGTAGCAATGTAAGAAATGATATGTGATCATACTGTAATGACTCAGCCACATAGAAGCACTTCATTCACAACAAATGACAAAATTGAACTTTTTAAATTACATATATGAGCCTGGCCATAGGGAAACAGCTCTTATCACAAAAATTTAAATTGTTCTACAGAGCCAAAAATGTGCCAAAGATTAAAAGGGAAATGTGCTAAATTCAAATCTGACATTTTGGTCTATATGTGCAAGGAAATATTGTTAAAACAAATGTCATGGCTCATTTGAAAGGTCTCTTTGTGCTTTTTAAGATAAACAAAAAATAAGAATATTGAATAAATCTGTGATAAGACCCCTTTTCCTGTGGCCTGGCTCATATATAGAACTTCATAAGCCCGTCTTGATTTACATGAAACTACCATGACTCACTTACATTTACATTGAGAAGAGTTGGAAGCACCCTCTCCCACTGTTGAATATTTAGCAGGGCAGGCCATACAAGATATCTGCCATTTCTCACTCTGGAACTCCCCTACTGGGCATGGCTCACATGCATTGCTGGAGACATCCAGGTATGTCCCAGGGTAGCATGATGCTATAAATATGCATGATATGGTGGTTGCTATACTATTACTAGTAATACATATATTGAGACTTATGCACAGTGAGTACTGCATAGATGATGGCTGATATGGCTAATTAGGTTGGTTTGGTTGTTTTGGTTTATATCACAACCCAATAAGGTGTGTATCAATGATTAACTTTCCTGTTATCTCAAAATCTGCTTGGAATTATACCATTGGATTACTATGGGAAATTCCTCAAAGAGAAAATTCTAGGGATTAAGGAATGGGTACCATTTACACAATTTGAGAAATTATTGGCATACATGAAATCTATTTAAAACAGCATTTATATTATTCAAGAGCATTCATAATCAATGATTCCCAGCCCTCTGAAGTTTGAAAAATAAAAATACCATAATCCTTGAAAATGAGAAATATTTTTCGGGGTGCATTCTTAAAGTAAATAAAATGTTTTAAAGTGTATTGATATTTTTTAGATGAAAAACACAAGCGAAATGCATGGAAAACTCTGCCGATCCATTCTACAAACAACTCACGGTCCTTTATTCAAACATCATTTGGTGATTTATAAATACATGTAAACACTGAATTATTATATGTACTTACGTAGTGAGCATTCAGCAACTGATGTTGCACCAACAGTCCCAGTTATATTACTCCCGGGACACAGCTGGCAGGTGCTAAAAATGTCTAGACTGTTGTCTTTATAGAACTCCCTCCCACATTTGCGGCATGATTCTGTGTTTGGTATAATTTCTGAGCCAGATGGACAATAGACTGGAATTAACCGTTATTTTAATGAGTTGAAATAAAACATCACAAGTGAGAAAACTAAGTGTGTATTCACTAGAAATTTTCAAAGCATTTCTACTTTTCAAAATGGTATATTAAAGCCCAAAACCAGATTTTAACAGGATGTTACGCCTTTATGTACAATATATGACATTGAATCAATACATTTAATGTATGTTTATTAAAACACAATTTTGAAATTCTAAACAATAAAGCAAATATAACACTAACATGTGCAATAAGAATTGTTATCTGCCCCTGTCGTGTTGGTGGTATAGTTGGTGCTACAGCTGATGCAGCTGTTCTGCCACACATCTGTCTGGTAGGTCCCTACAGGGCACAGCTGACAACTGTTCTCAGTCTCATTCAGAAACTGGCCAGCTTCACATGCAGCTAAAATTTTAAATTTCTGTTATGTAATACTTCAGTATAAATATTCAGTTTTGATTGGTACATCAAAAGTTGACAATATATTAAATTGCTATTGAAGTACATGTACTATTGACCCCTACTGAGGTACTGCTGACCAATATTGCAAAGAAAATGACAACTTCTACATGTACATTAAATCTTACTGTACTCTAGTTAGGTATAAAGCAATGAATGTTGTTAAGCAGAAGATGCAATATTTTTTGGTAATGTGGTATTTGTGATATTGGTTCATGCGATACCTGCGGGATATGCAATATCCTGCAACTATTTCTGTGGTATATTGCACATATGAGAGGTTAGTGTGGCATATGATATTCCGTAAGGTGAGAACAAGGTACAGACAATGTAAAATTAAGCCTCAATTGGACTGATCATGAGAATCTACACTAAATAGAAAACATGTATATCTTTACAAAACATTTGTTGAAATTGTTGACCTTTCTCTAATGTCAACGAGAAAATTGTTTACTTGAACTGGTAACCTTGAAAAAAGCTCATCTTAACATACTGCCTTTCTCAATAATTATTGGAAGTTATAATCAAGAAAATTCATAAAATATTCAAGGCATCTCTACCGGATATTGATGAGAAAATTACAAAGAAAATATATACAAGAACACAAATGTGTACAAAATGTCCCCACCAATGGGTGATCCCATCAAATGGTTATCCTGAAAATGAGTAGACAAGACTTTACCAACACAATTTTAATTGATCCGTCACACAGTTAACTAGAAAACATGTAAACAAGACTTTACAGACAAGATTTTAGGATGGAAAATCCAAAATGGCTGCCTTGACATTTACCCAGAATGTCAAAAAACTAATCTGTTCCTAGATTTTCATACTAAGAATCATCCCTGAAAATATGACATTGATCTACCAAATGGTTCACCTGAAAACGCGTAGACAAGACTTTACAGACAAGATTTTAGGACAGAAAATCCAAAATGGCTGCCATGACATTTACACAGAATGCCAAAAAACTAATCAGATGTAGATTTTCACACTAAGAATCATCCCTGAAAATTTGAAATTGATCTACCAAACGGTTCACCTAAAAACGCGTAGACAAGACTTTACAGGCATGATTTTAAGACAGAAAATCCAAAATGGCTGCCTTGACATTTATCCAGAATGCCAAAAAACTAATCAGATCTAGATTTTCATACTAAGAATCATCCCTAAAAATTTGAAATTGATCTACAGAACGGTTCACCTGGAAATGCATAGACAAGACTTTACAGACAAGATTTTAGGACAGAAAATCCAAAATGGCTGCCTTGACATTTGCCCAGAATGCCAAAAAACTAATCAGTTCTACATTTCCATACTAAGAATCATCTCTGAAAATTTGAAATTGATCTACCAAACGGTTCACCTGAAAACGCGTAGACAAGACTTTACAGACAAGATTTTAGGACGGAAAATCCAAAATTGCTGCCTTGACATTTACCCAGAATGCCAAAAAACAAATCAGATCTAGATTTTTATACTAAGAATCATCCCTGAAAATTTGAAATTGATCCACCAAACGGTTCACCTGAAATCACGTAGACAAGACTTCACAGACAAGATTTTAGGACGGAAAAATCCAAAATGGCCGACAATAAAAAAGTGATTATGTGTTTTTGCTGATTTCTTCTTACAAAATTATCACATATTACTACTTTTAACAATAACATAGGCTTTTACAACAAAGTAGATCTGAAATTATTTATAAAGCTACTAAATAGTTAAAGTATGAAAACTCAAAAACACCATTCAATATGATACAAAGTATTATCGTGCGCTAACTTTTCTTAAGACATTCAAAATGGCTGACATGACTGAGCTAACAGGTCCAAAACCTAATCAGATCTAGAATGAAGTGAGCTGAACAAGATGTTAAAGTTTTAAAAGCAACTGTGAAGCCGTTTTTCTTAAAGTTTGCAGACAAGGATTTTAGCATTTGACTTCAAAATGGCCGACAGGAAGTAGGTATTGAGTCAAAATTTTTTCATCCAGATCTGTATGCACTCATAAGTTATCCCTGAAAATTTGAAGGTGATATCTGTAGCGGTTTTGGAGAAAACTCCCAGACGTACGGACAGACGGACGGACAGACGGACGGACAGACGGACGGACGTACGGACGGACAGACGGACGCGCCTAGGCCGACAATATGGCCCCACACTATGTGGTGGGGACATAATAAAAGAAAGATATTGAACAGTAGTTTGGTAATTGCGAAAATTTTGACTTACTTAAAAAGGCCATAGAAGTCAACGTAGATCTCACTTGCTCAGATTCGGAATCCTGAGCAAATTTCCTATTAAATTGATACCAATTTTGATAGATAGAACACTTTGAAATTCATCCATTTTTGGGTGTCAAATAAATTGATATAAAATGAAAAAAATTGACCTAGATTTTGACCTTTGACCTAGATAAAAATTTGACCCCATTTCTGGGTACCCTAACTCACTATATAAATAGACTTTTCCAAAGTCTTCTAGTTTATAGTTACTGAGAAAACAGTTTGAGATAAGATTTTCAATCTAGAGTCTAATTATGATTTAGAATAACATCCTCATATAAGCTTGATTTCTCAGACAGGCATTGAAGATGGAGTACTTACGAATGGTACACTGGGCTTCAGATGTGGCATTTGTGCCTGCTGTTATAAAACCACTAGGACATGTTTGGCACATGGAGAGTTCATCTACATTGTTGTCCTTGTATGTCCCCCTTGGACACCCTGCACAGTTTGTGGCATTCACCTCATAGCCAGATGGACAGTAAACTACATACATGTGAAGATAAAAAGACTATTACTGTGGGGATAAAAAGGCTATTACTACATATACATGGCGATAAAAAGGCTGTTACTACATGTAAGTAGTAATAGTTAAAAGGCTATTACTACATATACATGGCAATAAAAAGGCTGTTACTACATGTAAGTAGTAATAGTTAAAAGGCTATTACTACATATACATGGCAATAAAAAGGCTATTACTACATGTACATGGCAATAAAAAGGCTATTACTACATGTAGGTGGCGATAAAAAGGCTATTACTACATTTTAATGATGTGTTTTGTTGTAATACTTGGCATAAAAATGAAGGTTTTCATTAACCTAAATACCATACCAAACAAAGATACACTCCCCTCCATAATTTGGCAACCTTAGCTCCCCATTGAACTACATGTTAAAGCCCCTTTACCTTTGAATTTTCATTTACTTAACCTGCGATGAAAATACTTATAGGTCTTTAAAGTCTTTTTTTTTCAACAAACCCCTCCCATTGAAAAAACACAGGAGGCAAAAAATGATTTTCAAAAAACGACTTTGAAGCCAACCCTCATTACCATTTTCAATGTTTTGTAGCAAAGCATCATGTCAACGATGTTTACTAAAACCTTTTATATATATGCCGCATCACCTTCTTTGAAGCATTATGCAGTGTTTTTATTACTTGAACAACAAAAACATTGCGCCATGCAGATTTTCGCAGATGTATTGCAGATATTTGCACCCTGTGGGCACCATATCATTGACATTTTTCAAATTCTATATTCTTTTGTTAATCTAAAGAACTTATTTTTTACCCAAATCATCTGATATCATACTTAAAATGCAGTTATGTGGTAAAACGTAGAAAATACACATTATTAATAGAAAGCAACCTTGTTTTAAGCAACCTTTCTAAACCTTTTAGAAAGCAACCTTATGAAACCCCAATTTAGAGGGAAAGGAAAAACGAAATGTATTTTTCTGAATAAGGGAAGTCATTACTTTCAAACGGTATGTTCTTTTTTGTGGTGGAGTGGACAATGACACTTCATTTTAGGAGCAGCTCAGGGACTATTAGTGTTCAAAGGGGTAATACCTCTAAAATCAATAAATATATAGAGAAAAGCAAGAACAATTACAAAGAGTCATGAATTATATAAATATGTGATGTTAGAAATACTTTATCTGTTTGTAAATAACTTTAAACGTAACTTATATCATATACTTATGACACATATTTAAACTTTAAAACAAATACATTAAATTTTGATCTTTTTTAAAAAATATCATTGATTTTCAGAGAAACAAATACCTTGGCACTTTATCATACATTGAACCGTGATTATAATAAAATTAAGTAAAAGAATCAAAGTCCTTTATTTTACCCATACTATGTGAAGATATGTAGTATAACCCTGCTTTTTAACCAACCTTTTGGAATCAAAGGGTTAATTATTCAAAAATGCTAAAAAAGCTAAAAAAAACAACATTTCTATTCAAGAATATTAATTTGTCACTACCATAAGCCAGATGAAAATTTATTTTGAAGCCACCCCTTTAGAGCAACAGGAGCAATATGTTTAAATGAGCAAACTATTTTTAAGGGTATTTCAAGTAAAGAAAAAGAGTAAGAAACACTGGAATAATTTTAAATATAAAAAAAACGTTTATGGAATTAGAAATGAGCACAACCAGGGTAACTACCATGCAGTGGCCATGATGATAATAACCTCCCACGAGTTTGATAAAAATGTGAACTCACATGTACAAGCAGATGCATTGGTGGCCTGAAGTCCAACAGTTGTATAAGAGGCATTACATAAGATACATTCAGTCTGCCACCTTGCTGGCTGGTAACTTCCCTTCTCACAAGGGAAGCACTGGTTCAGTGTCACATTCAAGTAGAACCCTTTGCCACATGATACTGCAATGATAATGTAAATATCATGATATACACATATGGTCTATTTGTTTTGTCTTCCTACATTGTAAGTACACATTCAATTTTGCAAGTGATAATTGCTAATTGCTAATCACATAAATATGAATCTCAAATAACAATCGATGCTGTCATAGTGTGTCGATTTAATCAGGTCAAACAATGTAATGTAAACAATGTCAAACAATGTCAGATGTAAACAATCATTAATCCTTTTTTGTGTAAATAAGACCAATTAAATTGTCAACCTACATATGTTACACTGGTCTAAGGAGGTAGAGTTACGCCCATAGGTGATAAAATTAGGAGGACAACTCTGACACATTCCAAGGTCGTCTTCTAGATTGTTCTTGTATTCTCCAATTTCACAGGCCTGGCATGTGCTTCCGTTCACCTGGTAACCACTTGGACAAAAAACTGAAAACACATGAATACCATGAGTACCATGGCAATTGGGCTCACAAAGTGAAACAGCATTCAAACAACCCCTGTGGAACCTTCAAAAGCCATGTTTGCATTTACAACTCAAAAAGTAATATTTCAATAATAAAAGTGGTGGCTATCTTGAATCATTGCAACATATTATGTTGTCAAAAGTTGTAGACATTATTTTTAAAATAAGGCACATGTAGATGAACCTGTACAATTTCAGGCATATAGATGGGAAAAATGAGGACCCAAAAAGCCAAAAACCTGATTTTCAGTAATATTACTGACATTTTTAACCCATCCATCCTTTTGATATCAAGAAAAGTAGAATTTAGGAGCAGCCCTTATGACTCCCTATGACTAGGGAGTGGACTTACTGAGGCAGTCACTTGAAGCATTAGAGCCAACACCAACTGTTGTCTGATTCATCATGCATGGTATACAGCTGGTCTGTAGAGCCTCTGGCTGGTAGCTACTCCTGGGACATGGTTCACAAACATTGCCACTTTCATTCCTGAACTCACCAGGTCCACAAGAAACTATGAAATAAAAGTTAAATTATAAATAAACAAGTGAATCTAACATTTTTCATAAATTGCCGAGCAGACAATACACTATGAGTACATGTATAATCTTTAACTGTGCAACAAGTCAAAGTATTTTCCTTACCTATGCTACAGTCACTGGCTGAGGTTGAATTCACAGAAAGAGTTGTATAAGAGTTATTGCATGGCTGACAGACTCCAAATTCATCAATGGTGTTATCTTTGTATTTGCCCACTGGACACCCCTGACACAATGATCCATTCACCTCCTCTCCAGATGGGCAGTAAACTACAAAAAGACCATGGCCAAAAAATTCATCATCGACATTGATTATGGAACCCTGTGTATGAACCATATGGATTTGGAGCCTTGTTTTGGACATGGAGACCTGTGTTCCGACTTCTGAAGCCCTGTGTTTGATTTGAAACCCTATGTTTGGACAGAAGTCCAATGTTTCATCCCTGCAGGAGTCCTCGACTTTGAGACCTGTGGATTTATGGAGCCCCATGTTTGGATTTGGAGTTTTTGCATTCTAGAGCGCTGTTTTAGATATATTGTTACTCTGGAATTAGACCTGGATTCCAGTGTTTTGACTTGAGGCCAAGTTGTTTGATTTGAAACCCTGTTTTTGGTCATGGAGACCTGTATTTTGACTTATAGACTCCCGTTTTTGACTTGAAGATCTGTATTTGATAAAGTCCTCAGTTTGGACCTCTGAAATTCTGTGTTTGAACTTGGAGACCAGTGTTTGTATATGGAGACCTATGTTTGGACTAACCCAACCTTTTGTGTTGAAACTTTGAGTATTTGGACTTCTGGAGCTCTGCATACAGGTATATGAGGAGCAAAATTAAGTAAAATTGGGCAACTCTTATATACAAACGGTGTACAAGGACACTATATCAAAGTAATTAAAAAAAAGTAGAAGCGTCTTAACTTACATATACAAGCTGTTACATTCACAGAGCCATTGGTTCTTGTTGTGTAGCTTGAATCACACAGAATACATGTCTCTTGAAGAGAATCGGGTTGGTAGCTCCCCTTGCTACATGGGTGACATGTATTAGAGGTGACATTGTGATAAGACCCTGCACTGCATGCAACTGAAACACAAAACATTCATTCTTACATTTACAGTGACCAGGCCAATCCCTTGCTACATGGGTGACATGTATTAGAGGTAACATTGTGGTAAGACCCTGCACTGCATGCAACTGAAACACAAAACATTCATTCTTACATTTACAGTGACCAGGTCAATCCCTTGCTACATGGGTGACATGTATTAGAGGTGACATTGTGATAAGACCCTGCACTGCATGCAACTGAAACACAAGACATTCATTCTTACATTTACAGTGACCAGGCCAATCCCTTGCTACATGGGTGACATGTATTAGAGGTAACATTGTGGTAAGACCCTGCACTGCATGCAACTGAAACACAAAACATTCATTCTTACATTTACAGTGACCAGGTCAATCCCTTGCTACATGGGTGACATGTATTAGAGGTAACATTGTGGTAAGACCCTGCACTGCATGCAACTGAAATACAAGACATTCATTCTTACATTTACAGTGACCAGGCCAATCCCTTGCTACATGGGTGACATGTATTAGAGGTAACATTGTGGTAAGACCCTGCACTGCATGCAACTGAAATACAAGACATTCATTCTTACATTTACAGTGACCAGGCCAATCCCTTGCTACATGGGTGACATGTATTAGAGGTAACATTGTGGTAAGACCCTGCACTGCATGCAACTGAAACACAAAACATTCATTCTTGCATTTACAGTGACCAGGTCAATCCCTTGCTACATGGGTGACATGTATTAGAGGTGACATTGTGATAAGACCCTGCACTGCATGCAACTGAAACACAAAACATTCATTCTTGCATTTACAGTGACCAGGTCAATCCCTTGCTACATGGGTGACATGTATTAGAGGTAACATTGTGGTAAGACCCTGCACTGCATGCAACTGAAATACAAAACATTCATTCTTACATTTACAGTGACCAGGCCAATCCCTTGCTACATGGGTGACATGTATTAGAGGTAACATTGTGGTAAGACCCTGCACTGCATGCAACTGAAACACAAGACATTCATTCTTACATTTACAGTGACCAGGTCAATCCCTTGCTACATGGGTGACATGTATTAGAGGTGACATTGTGATAAGACCCTGCACTGCATGCAACTGAAACACAAGACATTCATTCTTACATTTACAGTGACCAGGTCAATCCCTTGCTACATGGGTGACATGTATTAGAGGTGACATTGTGATAAGACCCTGCACTGCATGCAACTGAAACACAAAACATTCATTCTTACATTTACAGTGACCAGGCCAATCCCTTGCTACATGGGTGACATGTATTAGAGGTAACATTGTGGTAAGACCCTGCACTGCATGCAACTGAAACACAAAACATTCATTCTTACATTTACAGTGACCAGGTCAATCCCTTGCTACATGGGTGACATGTATTAGAGGTAACATTGTGGTAAGACCCTGCACTGCATGCAACTGAAACACAAGACATTCATTCTTACATTTACAGTGACCAGGTCAATCCCTTGCTACATGGGTGACATGTATTAGAGGTAACATTGTGGTAAGACCCTGCACTGCATGCAACTGAAACACAAAACATTCATTCTTACATTTACAGTGACCAGGCCAATCCCTTGCTACATGGGTGACATGTATTAGAGGTAACATTGTGGTAAGACCCTGCACTGCATGCAACTGAAACACAAAACATTCATTCTTACATTTACAGTGACCAGGCCAATCCCTTGCTACATGGGTGACATGTATTAGAGGTAACATTGTGGTAAGACCCTGCACTGCATGCAACTGAAATACAAGACATTGATTCTTACATTTACAGTGACCAGGCCAATCCCTTGCTACATGGGTGACATGTATTAGAGGTAACATTGTGGTAAGACCCTGCACTGCATGCAACTGAAACACAAAACATTCATTCTTACATTTACAGTGACCAGGTCAATCCCTTGCTACATGGGTGACATGTATTAGAGGTGACATTGTGGTAAGACCCTGCACTGCATGCAACTGAAACACAAAACATTCATTCTTACATTTACAGTGACCAGGTCAATCCCTTGCTACATGGGTGACATGTATTAGAGGTAACATTGTGGTAAGACCCTGCACTGCATGCAACTGAAATACAAGACATTCATTCTTACATTTACAGTGACCAGGCCAATCCCTTGCTACATGGGTGACATGTATTAGAGGTAACATTGTGGTAAGACCCTGCACTGCATGCAACTGAAACACAAGACATTCATTCTTTCATTTACAGTGACCAGGTCAATCCCTTGCTACATGGGTGACATGTATTAGAGGTAACATTGTGGTAAGACCCTGCACTGCATGCAACTGAAACACAAGACATTCATTCTTACATTTACAGTGACCAGGTCAATCCCTTGCTACATGGGTGACATGTATTAGAGGTAACATTGTGGTAAGACCCTGCACTGCATGCAACTGAAACACAAGACATTCATTCTTACATTTACAGTGACCAGGTCAATCCCTTGCTACATGGGTGACATGTATTAGAGGTAACATTGTGGTAAGACCCTGCACTGCATGCAACTGAAACACAAGACATTCATTCTTACATTTACAGTGACCAGGTCAATCCCTTGCTACATGGGTGACATGTATTAGAGGTGACATTGTGATAAGACCCTGCACTGCATGCAACTGAAACACAAAACATTCATTCTTACATTTACAGTGACCAGGTCAATCCCTTGCTACATGGGTGACATGTATTAGAGGTAACATTGTGGTAAGACCCTGCACTGCATGCAACTGAAACACAAGACATTCATTCTTACATTTACAGTGACCAGGTCAATCCCTTGCTACATGGGTGACATGTATTAGAGGTGACATTGTGATAAGACCCTGCACTGCATGCAACTGAAACACAAGACATTCATTCTTACATTTACAGTGACCAGGTCAATCCCTTGCTACATGGGTGACATGTATTAGAGGTAACATTGTGGTAAGACCCTGCACTGCATGCAACTGAAACACAAGACATTCATTCTTACATTTACAGTGACCAGGTCAATCCCTTGCTACATGGGTGACATGTATTAGAGGTAACATTGTGGTAAGACCCTGCACTGCATGCAAGTGAAATACAAGACATTCATTCTTACATTTACAGTGACCAGGTCAATCCCTTGCTACATGGGTGACATGTATTAGAGGTGACATTGTGGTAAGACCCTGCACTGCATGCAACTGAAATACAAGACATTCATTCTTACATTTACAGTGACCAGGTCAATCCCTTGCTACATGGGTGACATGTATTAGAGGTAACATTGTGGTAAGACCCTGCACTGCATGCAACTGAAACACAAAACATTCATTCTTACATTTACAGTGACCAGGCCAATCCCTTGCTACATGGGTGACATGTATTAGAGGTGACATTGTGATAAGACCCTGCACTGCATGCAAGTGAAATACAAGACATTCATTCTTACATTTACAGTGACCAGGTCAATCCCTTGCTACATGGGTGACATGTATTAGAGGTAACATTGTGGTAAGACCCTGCACTGCATGCAACTGAAACACAAGACATTCATTCTTACATTTACAGTGACCAGGTCAATCCCTTGCTACATGGGTGACATGTATTAGAGGTAACATTGTGGTAAGACCCTGCACTGCATGCAACTGAAACACAAAACATTCATTCTTACATTTACAGTGACCAGGCCAATCCCTTGCTACATGGGTGACATGTATTAGAGGTGACATTGTGATAAGACCCTGCACTGCATGCAAGTGAAATACAAGACATTCATTCTTACATTTACAGTGACCAGGTCAATCCCTTGCTACATGGGTGACATGTATTAGAGGTAACATTGTGGTAAGACCCTGCACTGCATGCAACTGAAACACAAGACATTCATTCTTACATTTACAGTGACCAGGCCAATCCCTTGCTACATGGGTGACATGTATTAGAGGTAACATTGTGGTAAGACCCTGCACTGCATGCAACTGAAACACAAAACATATTGATTCTTACATTTACAGTGACCAGGTCAATCCCTTGCTACATGGGTGACATGTATTAGAGGTGACATTGTGATAAGACCCTGCACTGCATGCAACTGAAACACAAAACATTCATTCTTACATTTACAGTGACCAGGTCAATCCCTTGCTACATGGGTGACATGTATTAGAGGTAACATTGTGGTAAGACCCTGCACTGCATGCAACTGAAACACAAAACATTCATTCTTGCATTTACAGTGACCAGGTCAATCCCTTGCTACATGGGTGACATGTATTAGAGGTGACATTGTGATAAGACCCTGCACTGCATGCAACTGAAACACAAAACATTCATTCTTACATTTACAGTGACCAGGTCAATCCCTTGCTACATGGGTGACATGTATTAGAGGTGACATTGTGATAAGACCCTGCACTGCATGCAACTGAAACACAAGACATTCATTCTTACATTTACAGTGACCAGGTCAATCCCTTGCTACATGGGTGACATGTATTAGAGGTGACATTGTGATAAGACCCTGCACTGCATGCAACTGAAACACAAAACATTCATTCTTACATTTACAGTGACCAGGCCAATCCCTTGCTACATGGGTGACATGTATTAGAGGTAACATTGTGGTAAGACCCTGCACTGCATGCAACTGAAACACAAAACATTCATTCTTACATTTACAGTGACCAGGGCAATCCCTTGCTACATGGGTGACATGTATTAGAGGTGACATTGTGATAAGACCCTGCACTGCATGCAACTGAAACACAAAACATTCATTCTTGCATTTACAGTGACCAGGTCAATCCCTTGCTACATGGGTGACATGTATTAGAGGTAACATTGTGGTAAGACCCTGCACTGCATGCAACTGAAACACAAAACATTCATTCTTACATTTACAGTGACCAGGTCAATCCCTTGCTACATGGGTGACATGTATTAGAGGTGACATTGTGATAAGACCCTGCACTGCATGCAACTGAAACACAAAACATTCATTCTTACATTTACAGTGACCAGGCCAATCCCTTGCTACATGGGTGACATGTATTAGAGGTAACATTGTGGTAAGACCCTGCACTGCATGCAACTGAAATACAAGACATTCATTCTTGCATTTACAGTGACCAGGTCAATCCCTTGCTACATGGGTGACATGTATTAGAGGTAACATTGTGGTAAGACCCTGCACTGCATGCAACTGAAATACAAGACATTCATTCTTGCATTTACAGTGACCAGGTCAATCCCTTGCTACATGGGTGACATGTATTAGAGGTAACAATGTGGTAAGACCCTGCACTGCATGCAACTGAAACACAAGACATTCATTCTTACATTTACAGTGACCAGGTCAATCCCTTGCTACATGGGTGACATGTATTAGAGGTGACATTGTGATAAGACCCTGCACTGCATGCAACTGAAACACAAAACATTCATTCTTACATTTACAGTGACCAGGCCAATCCCTTGCTACATGGGTGACATGTATTAGAGGTAACATTGTGGTAAGACCCTGCACTGCATGCAACTGAAACACAAAACATTCATTCTTACATTTACAGTGACCAGGGCAATCCCTTGCTACATGGGTGACATGTATTAGAGGTGACATTGTGATAAGACCCTGCACTGCATGCAACTGAAACACAAAACATTCATTCTTGCATTTACAGTGACCAGGTCAATCCCTTGCTACATGGGTGACATGTATTAGAGGTAACATTGTGGTAAGACCCTGCACTGCATGCAACTGAAACACAAAACATTCATTCTTACATTTACAGTGACCAGGTCAATCCCTTGCTACATGGGTGACATGTATTAGAGGTGACATTGTGATAAGACCCTGCACTGCATGCAACTGAAACACAAAACATTCATTCTTACATTTACAGTGACCAGGCCAATCCCTTGCTACATGGGTGACATGTATTAGAGGTAACATTGTGGTAAGACCCTGCACTGCATGCAACTGAAATACAAGACATTCATTCTTGCATTTACAGTGACCAGGTCAATCCCTTGCTACATGGGTGACATGTATTAGAGGTAACATTGTGGTAAGACCCTGCACTGCATGCAACTGAAATACAAGACATTCATTCTTGCATTTACAGTGACCAGGTCAATCCCTTGCTACATGGGTGACATGTATTAGAGGTAACAATGTGGTAAGACCCTGCACTGCATGCAACTGAAACACAAGACATTCATTCTTACATTTACAGTGACCAGGTCAATCCCTTGCTACATGGGTGACATGTATTAGAGGTAACATTGTGGTAAGACCCTGCACTGCATGCAACTGAAATACAAGACATTCATTCTTACATTTACAGTGACCAGGTCAATCCCTTGCTACATGGGTGACATGTATTAGAGGTAACATTGTGGTAAGACCCTGCACTGCATGCAACTGAAACACAAAACATTCATTCTTACATTTACAGTGACCAGGTCAATCCCTTGCTACATGGGTGACATGTATTAGAGGTGACATTGTGATAAGACCCTGCACTGCATGCAACTGAAACACAAAACATTCATTCTTACATTTACAGTGACCAGGCCAATCCCTTGCTACATGGGTGACATGTATTAGAGGTAACATTGTGGTAAGACCCTGCACTGCATGCAACTGAAACACAAAACATTCATTCTTACATTTACAGTGACCAGGCCAATCCCTTGCTACATGGGTGACATGTATTAGAGGTGACATTGTGATAAGACCCTGCACTGCATGCAACTGAAACACAAAACATTCATTCTTACATTTACAGTGACCAGGCCAATCCCTTGCTACATGGGTGACATGTATTAGAGGTGACATTGTGATAAGACCCTGCACTGCATGCAACTGAAACACAAAACATTCATTCTTACATTTACAGTGACCAGGCCAATCCCTTGCTACATGGGTGACATGTATTAGAGGTGACATTGTGATAAGACCCTGCACTGCATGCAACTGAAACACAAAACATTCATTCTTACATTTACAGTGACCAGGCCAATCCCTTGCTACATGAGTGACATGTATTAGAGGTGACATTGTGATAAGACCCTGCACTGCATGCAACTGAAACACAAAACATTCATTCTTACATTTACAGTGACCAGGCCAATCCCTTGCTACATGGGTGACATGTATTAGAGGTAACATTGTGGTAAGACCCTGCACTGCATGCAACTGAAATACAAGACATTCATTCTTGCATTTACAGTGACCAGGTCAATCCCTTGCTACATGGGTGACATGTATTAGAGGTAACATTGTGGTAAGACCCTGCACTGCATGCAAGTGAAATACAAGACATATTCATTCTTACATGTATGGTGTTCAGGTTGATAACTTTTTAAAACGCATTAAAATAAAGACTCAATGTAAACCAAGGAAATACAAGATTGATGGCAATTACAAAGGTGCCAGTATTTGTTTATCTATTTATTTTTTATCAAAAAACTATATTTCAAATCAAAAACATATATACATGTACAATACAATTAATACATTTACATATAAAGGATTTCTCCCTATTCTTCAATAATTTAACTGTTTCCTATCTGTGTGCACTTACCTATGTTACATTGGTCAATTACACTGGACCCATTATTGGCTGTTGTCATGCCCATCGGACATGTCAAACAAGTAGAGAATATTCCATCGAGGCTGTTATTCTTGTATGTACCACGCGGACATATGCGACATGTCTCGTTTACTGCTCCAACTTCATAACCAGTTTGACAGTAAACTGTTAAAACATGTAAAATAAATAGAGAAAATCTTCCAGAAAACAAACCATAACTAATGGGAGCTTAATTCTACAATAACTAAGATGATTGTTATTATTACAGTACAGTATATAAGCATATGGAATGTTCATTCCATTCTTTTTTAATGTTTGACATATTTATCAAATTCTATAATGTATAATGGTATACTTCTACAGTACTTATGTTCAAGTTTAACTGATCAATGAAATAAAAATATAGAACTTATATAACTAATAATTTAACAAGAAAATAAGGGATAACACCGGGCTTCAATGTGCAGAAGGATGACTTGAAAGCACTGTTTTTGCACTAAAGTCTATTTGTTTGTCAGTCAATCTAATTTCCAAAATAATTGTATGACGTTAAGCATGAAATACATCTAAAAGCAAGAAACCTTAGAGACAATCACTAATAAGTTGCCACCTACATTGACAATCTGACAGAGCCGATGAAGCATTGTTGGTAGTTGTGTAATTTGCAGGACATGACTGGCACATAGTTTGACGTCTGTTCTCATTGTAAGATCCTATTGCACAAGTTTGGCATTCATCAGTAACAGCATTATAGAAATAACCTGGACTACAGTCTCCTGTAAAAGCCAAAGTGCATATAAGTCAGGGTGAGCAAAAAGTACATGGAATGTACAGTAAAAAATAAATATATACTTTGGAATGTGGAAATTCTACATTGTAATGAATTAATAAACATTAAAATTGACTAAAAAATTAGATTATACAGATGAACATGCTAATTTAGTGCATATATTTATGATAGTGGGAGTCGGGGCAATCTGCCCGAGATTCAGTTTTTTATTAAAGGAAGTACTTCATTCCCATGATTCAAAGTGCTTTTTTGCCATCAGTTTGGTCTAAAAATCCGGGGCAGGTTGATATTATGTCATTATATTTGTTTTGGGTGTATACTTTTTGTTTAGACACTATTAAAATATTCCCGCAATATATAGTGTATTATGGGTAGGGACTATTCCTATTAAGTTATTAATTGCGTATATATCATAATAATTTGAACCAATAAGATTTAATGCGCGTGCGCTAAAAACAGAACCAAAAATGGAATCTCGCACAGATTGCCTCTCGTGGATAGTGGCCTTTACAGATCCTGAATGACCTAAGATCCAGAAGTCAAACTTAGAAATAACTGTAGTATCATATTCTGGTGGATAAAGGGATATTCTTTGCCAGACCATTTCTCCCCAAATATGGTAGCTAGTTGTAATCATTTTTATTTCCATATTTAGCAAAACATTGAGAAATGAATTTGAACAGTGACCATATCAAAACATATTCCCATGTTTTGCTGAATACGGAATTGTATGTTTATAGCTTGGTGATTGAATAAAAAAGTAGCATCATAAATTCAAAAGAGCCATGCATATGTAAGTACAGGGTGGTCAAAAAACGGCAACCCTAGTTTTTCTTAATATCTCTGTCATTCTAAGAAATAACTCCCTGATATTTTACACATTTGTACATCATTCAATTTCCTACCAGCCTACCATATCTCATGACCATCGGACTGATAGTCACAATATTACTGCATTTTAAGCAACATGCCTCATAAGGCCACTTTCGGGCTGTCTGAGCTGATCTGTTATTCAAATGAACTCCATTTCCAACTTGATGCACTGGTAAACTCTAACAATTATGTATTTTTGGGAGCCAAGCACTCGATCATGATAAAGTAGTGGAGATGCACCTTCACACAGACAGATGCACAGTTCAGTGTGTTCTCAGAAGATATGGTCCTTTACCTTTAATGATGCCAATGGATATGCAATAACTGTCAACATCAAACTCTATTTTGTGGTTCCCATTGAGTTCTTGGGGACTTTAGGTGAACCCAGGGAAGTTGAAAGGCAGCAGCAGTGGTTCCAACAAGACAGAACCATACCCCAAACACCCAATGATGCACAATAATGGCTTTGGGACCACTTCAATGACCACATTATCAGCAGTACAACAGACAATGAATGGGCACCCCATAGCCCAGATATGGCCCCATTTAATCTTTACCAGTGGGAATACCACAAAGATAGAGTGTAGAGTAATAACACAAGAAAGACATTTGACCTCAAAATAAAGATCACATGTGTCGTTCAGGCCATACTTGCTGAGGAATGCAGTTATGTCATTGACAGGTTTGGAAAACGTGTGCAGGTTTGCCTACAGCACGATATTGGAAAACTGAGGCACCTTGTTTAAAGTGCTGTAAAATTGGGACTATCAGTCCAATGTTCCATGAAATAATACAGTCTAGTATGAAATTGAATGATGTACATGTGTACCAAATATCAGGGCAAAATTTCAAAAATGACAAAGATATGAGGAAAAATTAGGGTTACCGTTTTTTTTCTGTATCTTACAAAATGAGTTTGACCAATGAACTCCACTTACTGAGTCCACAGTCAGTGACTGTGGTAGAGTTGACATCTAAGGTGGTGGTATTATCAGGGCACAGGAGACACATCCCAAACACATCAAATGTGCTGTTCTTATAGAAACCCAATGGGCAGCCTCTACATGTCCCATTGGCAACAACCTCCTCCCCATCTGGACATGTAACTGAAACAAAAAACAGGATAGCAAACATCACTTTGAACCAATGAAATGAGAGACTAGAGACATTTTGGATGTAAACTTAATGGAGCCTATTTGAATCTGAGACCATCATAATTATGTTAGTCTCAGATTTGAATGAACAGGCATTTTAGTTCTCTACATTTTGTGAGTCACGTACTACTTACATTCACATTGAGTAATTAATGTTGCACCAGAGCTTCTTGTTGTATAGCCAGAGTCACATGACATGCATGATGTCTGCCATTTCATTGGTTGATATTCTCCCAAGGGACAAGAGTAGCAACGATTCTCTGTGACATTTCTGTATAATCCAGGACCGCAGTCAGCTGTAACAAATTATAATTGTTGCTATTTTCCTTGTTAAAGGATGTATATAACTATCAATGGCTTAGAACATAAGATAATGATTAATAAAGCACTATAGACTATGCATGTTCATTTTAATTGAAAGAGGGTGTATGTTTGGTCCTGTTCATTTCAATAAAATAGCTGTATTACAGTTTTTGTTAAATCTGCTGAAGTCAATATCCATATATTTAAGCATATTCCTAAGACATGTATGAAGCCCATCCTTACCTATGTTGCAGAGGACAGAGCTATTTGCAGCAGAAGATGGTGTGATGAATCCTGTTGAGCATTCCTGGCACTGGTCTTCATCTTGTCTGTAGAAGCCAACAGCACATGCGATACACGAGCCATTGGGTTGCAGCTCATACCCAGGAATACAGGGATCTTCATGAAATTTAAAATATATATTTGCAAATTATTCTCATTGGTGAAATGAAGACCATGCATCGTTTGCTGATTTTACACTTTCATGACTTCTTTAAGAATGGGCTAAATTAGTTGGATGGCAGAGGCACATCCAGAAACACAATGATTGAAATTTGTAAGAATTTTTCAATTGAAATTGCAGATAATACAGAATGGGTGAATAATATTTTGGGACAACCTCCTGTGCGATAAACCTGCTACTAGGTTGTACTTACCAAAACAGAGTGCAGCTGATATTGCTCCAGATGACACTGTAATTTTCCCAACTGGACACGGCTCACATGTAAACTGACCAGTGATGTTCTGATGAAAATCTGACTGACATAGCTCACACTGCAGTGATGATGTATTGAAGAAACTGCCAGCTGGACAAACCTCTGCAAATGTAGACAACATTTAATTGGTATTCAGAAACTAGAAATTTTGTGACAAATAAAGGGGTAAGAAAGAGAGGTAATTATTATAATTATGAGGTCATGTTTTTCTTCCTCTTGTGTGTCTTGATTTATTTCAGATATACCAATGCTGATTTCATAATGTACTGTAGTGTATGTACACTTTTATATGAGATGGAGCATTACTCACCATAACAGAGGCTTTGGCTCCCCGTGCCTTTGAACTCAGTGGTAGTATTAACTGGGCATGTTACACATTGGAACTGACCAGTCTGGTTCTGGTAACTATCAAAGGGGCAGTCTAGGCAGGTTTCAGTTGTCACATCAAAGTATGTCCCAAGACAACACTCAGCTGAAAATATAAATTCCATATGTTGCTGTGATTTATTTCAAGTAGACTTTGAATTGAATTCATTGTGTAGATGATTACAAAATGTAAGTTGCTTCATTCCTACGTGATAAATTCAATGCAAGTATTAGGTCATGACATCTAAAGAGTCGATAAAAGATATATACACTTTAGTATATACATATATACACTTTAGTGTACTTACTGCACTGTCCAGCATTTGACTGTTGCCCAGGTGGGCAGGTGCTCTCATCGAGTATTCTAAATGTGGTTAGGTCAGGAACCCACTCTGGAGTACTAGGGATAGAAGTCTGAGGAAAAATAGAAAGAAAAAAAACATTTAACAATTTTTTATTAATACCATTCAAAATAAAGTTCTAGAGTTTAAAATTCAAGATTTTACACAATGGGATAATCTAGAGGAAGATATAATCATCAGAAAATGTTTTAACACAAAGAAATAATTTAGTGGATATGACTGAGATATATCTTTGGTATGCAAAGTATTGTGCACTTTAAAGATTTTATGCTGCAATGATCCCAAATGTAACGTTATATGGCTGTAATGGCTAATCAAAAGACCTTATATGGCTGTAATGGCTAATCAAAAGAACTGCACCGCATAGAATGAAATCTATGGTGATCTTAAAATACTATGTTCATTCATAAATGATTCTGTGAGTAGGAGTTTAAAAAAAGACTTGCAGGAAAATTTCTTAAAAATTAGGCCCAAAATTTAAAAAAAATGATGCCTACACAGGCAAACTACATCGGACCCCGTACAAGCCCGTACGGAGCTCATGGTGTCAACTGACCCTGTACAACCTCGTACGGGCCTCATTACGAGTCTCGTAATTGCTTGTAATTTTCGAGCATCGTAAGAGCTTGTGATTACAAGGCCCGTAATAGCTCGTAATTTTCGACCCCCGTACTTGACCGTAGGGTGCCTGTTACGAGGCCCGTAATAGCTCGTAATTTTCGAGCCTTGTACTTGCCTGTGTGATGCCCGTAACAAGGCCTGTAATGGCTTGTAACTTTTGTACTTGCCCGTATGTGGCTCGTAACGAGGCTCGTAATTGCTCGTTTATTTTGATGAACACTTTTTGCTCGATAAAATAAAATACAGCGTTCTTGAGAAATGACATTTCAATGATATCTAATTGTGAATTAATATGTCTTCAATAATGTCAAAATATTCGCATGTCTGTATCAACATGATAAACAGTATAAAAGCTAGGAAACAAAATAAACGGGTTACCAATAATAGGAGACACCATATTTCTCTACAGGTGAAGTAAATGCATATAAAAACATTTGCGTGCAGTATTGGAATAAGTTGAAATGTGATGTAAATAAATGTTATCGTTCTTGAATGTTTGAAGAAAAAAATGAATGTGAATTACCCAAATGCGAGTAGGTAGTTACCAGTTTCACCACCAGGTGGCTGATTCGGGTCAATTAACATGGCAGGTATATAAGAAAGTTCCCTTAAACTTGAATATTATCAATTTAAGTGGCTCAATTTTCATATAACCCTTATGCGTCTGATACTTATACTAATGAAAATATGTCCAGTAAAGCAAAATATTATCTGTCCACTAAAAGAAAAGATATTTCATTTTTTGTGATTTTATAGCATGGGGTCTATGGGGAATCTCCCCGAGCTAGAAGTCACATTTTCAAAGAAAATTAATTTTTCAAAGTTGATAAACACTTTTTAAAACCACATTTCTAGATGTAATTTTACATGTAGATTTCAAATATGATATTACTTTGACTGAATTTTGAATTTTTAATGACGTAAATCAAGATTATTTCTACTCGCATCTGGGTTATTGTATCTCTCTGATAGGGCCTACACAGTATGTTCTGGTTAGGTGCGCGAATTTTGTAGCGTGACAACAATTATTTTTTTGTTCCGAGTTCGATAACGGGCCTCGTACGAGCTCGTACGGGCCTCGTACGAGCTCGTACGGGCCTCGAAATTACGAGCCTCGTATGTGCTCGTACGGGCCTCGAAAACAACAATAACAAGCATCGTACAAGCTCGCACGGGTCTCGAAAACGAGCTTCATACGAGCCCGTACGAGGATGGTGCTCCTTTTTGTCCGTAATGACTCAAATTCTCGAGGCTCGTACGAGCTCGTACGGGGCCTGATGTAATTTGCCTGTGTAGTAATGATAGTTTGTTATTTTAATAGACTAGGTGTGAGTAGAAATAATCTTGATTTACGTCATTAATTATTCAAAATTCAGTCAAAGTGATGTCATATTTGAAATCTGCATGTAAAAGTACATCTAGAAATATGGTTTCGAAAATTGTTTATCAACTTTGAAAATTTAATTTTTTTGAAAATGTGACTTCTTGTTCGGGTTGATTCCCCATAGACCCCATGATACAAAATCACAAAAAGTGAAATATCTTTTCTTGTATTGGATAGATAACATTTTCTTTTACTGGACATATTTTAGTTTGCATAACTATTAGATACATAAGGGTTATATGAAAATTGAATCATTAAAACAGATGTGATTTAAGTTTAAGGGAACTTTCTCCTATACCCGCCATGCTATCTGACCCGAACGAGCCACCTGGTGGTGAATCTGGTAACTACCTACTCGCATCTGCGTTATTGCACAGCTTTGTGGAGATAAGCCTTTGGGCCCCAATTCTTTTTTTGGGGGGGGGGGGCATCTTAGAGGTGTAAAAATTTAAACTTAAAAAAATTGACTGTTCAAATGTAACCTTAAAATTTCACATTTTCACAATCGTGAATATGGTACATGTAAATAGATTATTTACTAGGCTGGAGCTATCTTCTATATTATCTATACCACATACAGTATCATACTTACAAAACTACAGGTACATAGCACAAGGTCAATTTCAACCATTCAACGATTATTTTACTTACTGAAAAGTCTAGTTTGTTGTTTGTGTAGACCTCTCGTACAATCAGATCTTTGGGAGTTATGGTTTCATTAGCACTCATCAGTTCAACCCTATAACAGACACCAATGAGGTTTATCCACTGGGAGGTTATGAATATAGCATTTATCAAACAAGGCATTAACATGCAAAATGAAAATTCATGAAAATGTGTATAGTAAAGTGCCTTTGAGATGATCCTAAAGATCCTGAGGTACATGTATCAATTAGCATGGTGATTGGTTTAGGATGTTCTCTACTGATAATTCAGTAAATTAAAGTGGACAGAATTACATGTAACACTTACGGGACATAGTTCAACTCCACAGTTATGAAGCAGGCAAGATTCTCAATACAGTTGAATGTAACATTGATGCTTGAGCATAAGGGGTCTTCACAAAGGCCAGGGAAGGTTTGATTAAGATCAACAAAGACCCCTTTTATGCGATTCATCAGCCCCATCTTCTGTGCCTCACCCTGTAGTGTCATCAGAGTATAGTTCACTCCAAACGAGCTCAATGTTTTTAGTGGAAGCAAGTCTAAAAGATAATTTTGAGATGTTATTATATGTTTCTTGTCACTTTGGCAAATAGTTTAAGCTTGTGAATATATGAAACATTCAAAAAACAGGTGTGAAATCAGATTCTGAATTCAAGCTTTCAATGCTACCCTTACTTAGTAACAATCATTGCACATGTTCTGATGTTGAATTACTGACCAACCACCTTAATGCAAAAAGCCTACCTGTGCATTCTTCATATTGAAACATTGAGGGCATCAATGGGTTCCAAGATGCTGCAGCACTGCATGTGTATAAATTGGGGACAGGATTGCAAGAGATTTGTGAGGACAGGAGGCAATTGGTTGTACAGCCATACAGTTGACTATTGTTAAAACAACTCTGGTTGCCACCGACAGGGACAGCTGGAGTGTCACATCTCCAATCTAAAACATGAAAAATATACATCTCTTTAAGATAATAAATATCTAACTAGCCTTTCTGGTAAACCATGCTTTTAATGGATATTCTAATATGATATGTGACATCATAATACAATGTAACAAGAATAATTGATTTACTGGTCTATAATTGAGTATGTATGACCATTGGCTTTTGTCTCTCTAATTGAAAGCCCATGGTATGACCACTAAATTTCGACTGCGCAATTTCGGTCTTATTCAAATTTTAAAAATCTTATTTCAACTTTAAAACTTCATATATTACCAAACAAAGTTCTTAGGGGTATAGAGAATCATCCATCCATTCACTGGTTCAAACTTTAAAGCCTGATGCCTTATTATATGGATATAAGACCTCTCTATAAGAAGGAATTTTCAGTATGCCTACCAAAAATATTATTCTGTTTATTGTTAAAAGAACGGAATTTGACAAAATTTTAAATATTTAAGGTGCAACAATTAGTGCAGGGGGCCATTCAATGACCATCGACCAGAGTCAAAATATATTTAAGTTTGGATACTTCATCAAGACTAACATATGTTTTTATTATCTACAAAGAAACCCCATGGATGAACATTATTTCAGCTCATACTCCTCTTGAAACGTGGTGAATCTTAAAAATATATAAGTGGGACTCCCTTTATAGAAGCTTTGAACTTAATTTACACTTCTTAATGCTGAAATTGATAGTTTATCCATACATTTTAAGAAAATAGGTATGTCAAAGAAGATGTTAAGCCAAATATTGACCTGAAAATTAAAAATTTTCAAATTTTCTCTCTACAGTCCTTGTCGCCCCTTTAACGATAAAATCAAGATCGTTTCTTCATGTATTTGCATCTTGTCTATGATAGACCTCTCATTTGGTTGATTTTCAAAACTATAACTGACTGCACTGTAAACCCCAACCTGTAAGATTTAGTGTATATAATATGACAACAGTAAGCTTATGGATGTAGGTTAATAATTGTATCTTGTATTATAGTCATAAAGTTGTGAAAAAACTTACTACTGATGTAGACTTTAAAATTGCATTGTGCCACATTGTTGGAAGAATCCTCAGCCAGGTAGACCACGTGGTACTCTCCCCAACTCAAACTCTCATCTGTAATAACAACTAACATTTACCCAGACTGCCAAAAAGGTAATCAGTTCTAAACTTTCATATGTTAAAAACATCCCCAAAAATTTCAGATAAATTCCTTAAACGGTTCATCTGGAAACCTGTCTCAACAAACAAGATTTTAGGACAAAAAATCCAAAATGGCCCCTCTAACATTTACATGTACCCAGATTGCCCAAAATCTAATCAGTTCTGAACTTTTAGGATGAATAAAATTCAGAATGGCCACCTTAACACTTACCCAGAATGCCCTAAAAACTAATCAATTCTAAACTTTGAGGACGGAAAGTCAAAAATGGCCACCTTAACATTTACCAAAAATGCCCTTAAACTAATCAGTTCTAAACTTTCATAGGTAAAAACATCCCTGGAAATTTCAGATAAATCCCTGAAACAGTTTGGCTGAAAACCTGTACAAGTCTTTACTGACAGGATTTTGAGATGGAAAAGCCAAAATGCCACCTCAACATTTACCCAGAATGCCCCAAAACTAATCAGTTCCAAACTTTTGTAAGTAAAAACATCCCTGAAAATTTCAGATGAATCCCTCAAAGCTTGGCTGGAAACCTGTAGACAAGATATATCGGGATGTCCATCTGCCCAACCACCCACCCGACTCCCTACCCGCCCGCTGGGGAAACTGATCACAATTAATATACCATCCAAGGGTGCGATAAAAATACTTGTTCGACAAATGAAAACAATACTGAAAATTTGTTGCTGTTCAAATCCCTTTAAAATAAATGATTGATTTCATATTAAAAATTGTAGCAATTCAAAATATCTATGACTAAATTAACTACAGCTACTGACCTGGTCTATAATTCTTATAGATGTTACCATCTGAGAATTGAGGCTCTGGCCAATTAATGACACTGATACGTTCGTCACTGAAGTGGTAAATATCATCTGGACAAAATATAACCTCAGGAGCATCACGATCTGGACATCAAATAAATGAAAAATCAGTTATTAATAAACAAAACATGTTAGTTATGTCACAGAATTGTCACTGCATATACGACATACATATTCGTACATTCAGTATATTGATACATGATCCAGTGTATATTGATCTATTGGTATAATAACTGATAACATGCAAAATGTCATCACTTACCATTTGTTACAGATGCCAAACGCTGACTGTGAAACACCATTCACAAAAATAACAATATGTCACCACTTGTTGTGGTGACATAACAAGTCATATGTATGTTTTTTCTATTTGAGCACAATATTCATGTTAAACAGTTCCCACCTGTGTTTTCAACCATTTGAGAAGTGGTATCAGCCACTGCACTTCCATTTATATTCTGAACTGCACCTATGCTTTCATAACCAGTCCAGTGGAGAGCCAAACCATTAGTTTGAATAAAGTTACGATTCTTTTCAACTGCTTCCACATCATTATTGTAGTCATATATGCGATTAAGAACAAAAACATTGCTCAGGTAACCATTGAAGCCCATATTCGGTATGGCACTCGATGATGTCAAATTGTATTTACTTCCAAGAACAGTCCAACCACTGAAAGTAGAGTATCACCAAATCTTTATTTACTTTGCATCCTACCATACTATTCTTTATTTTCTATGTTACATTTGAGAAATAGAAAAATCTGATTTTCGATCCTTCAGGAGACAATGTTTACTTTGATTTGATCTTTTACTTTGGCCCATAGTTAAATGGGATGAGAATTAAATTGCCCTTTAGTGTATATTTGAATGTAAATTTATCAATCTTACATACATCATGGGCTTGTCCATGCATACTGTATTGTACTTACTATTGAGGAAGACTGCCACCTATTGCATAATTACGTAAAATGCCATACTTGATGCCATCCCACCAAAGTGACACCTCCCCTGTTACTGTATTCCAAGATACCATCACAAAGTGCCATTTGCCATCATTTATGTGAACTCCTTGGAATTGAGCACTTTTTGAAGAGGTCCCAAAAGAAACATAAACTCCAGTGTCATCTAAACGTATGAGTTCCTTTTCATCCTTGGTATCAACCCCTGAACTGTAGTAAAATATGCTAAATATTTAGTTAAGGTTGATTGTTCCAATAAATTACGACAACTCAAAAAAGTTAAACTAAATGACCGTAATCTGGAAAACAGACTTAGGAAATATTGAGTCTTTCATCCACCCTGAATTTATGCGAAAATAAAATAAAATGTAATAAAAACATGAATATAAAACGGTGAATAAACTACAAATGCAAGTGTATAAATGTGTACTGATGATGGATTTGCAAGAAAATGGCGTCACACAGTAGGGCTGATGATGTAATCTATATCTGAGGGGATGTTATTCTTACCTGCTACCAAATAAGGTGAGATATGTTCCTGTGTCACCTGGTTTAGCATATCGTACTTGAACAAATATGGTTATTTGTGTTGGACTGAGGGTGAAAGGACAGTTTAATATAGCAGTTGCATCCTTGTTAGCTGAGTAAAAGTACATGCTGTAGTCATACACAATTGCTGAAATAAAAAAAATTAGATAACTTTAGTTGTTCCCAAACAAATCATATATCAGCCAGATTTATTAGCAACAAGCAGAAATGAATATTTTTTAAGTTTTCAATTGACCCTATGGTCCTCGAGAGATGCATTTGAAATTTTCTTAAAAGGTGATGATTTGTTTTACACATCAAGCACCCTAAAAAAAACTACATGTACATGTATATAACATATCCCTAAACTGTTGTTGCAATCCTGCCATATAATAATAGCTTCAAAAAATGATAGATCAAAATGTTGACATTGAATCTATAGTTGTACAAGTGTACACTGAATATTTATCAGTTTTTTCTCTCCAAGTGTATTGTGCACATGTACCTTTGTTGCACATCTGTCCCGTCATTGTGACATCATCACATTTGCAGCAGTACTTGCCAGTGCCATCTATACAAGTGCCATTTCCACAAGCATTCACAGGACAGTCATATATGTTAGTCTCACAGCTGAACCCAGTAAAGCCTGCAATAAACTTATCAAATTAAGAGGGATGCATAAATAGATGGGATTTTTAAAAGTATTGTACTTAAGTAGCAAAGGTTCTGATTTGAGAAAAGACCAGGTATTGTTTGACAAATGAATTGCTACTTTCACATTAGTGGTCCCACGATACAGTATGAAATGATACAATACATCTCGATACTTACCTAGCGATACGAGCAACGATTTGATACATTCAATGTCATTCTGTTAAAAAATTTCAAACACTCACCTAAACATTACATCTATAATTATGAACGAAAATTTGTTTACTTTTTATCATTGTCGGATAAAAGACCCAAAGAATTTAATCAGTCATACTAAGAAAGAAAGAAAGGTATATTGAATACAAACTAGAACGTTAAATAATAAATAAATAATTCATATCCTGACTGAGGATCAAGTTTGTCTATTTATATTTATCCTCAATATGGGGTGCTTCAACATGAGACCCTATTTGTTGCAAGACTTATGCCTGGCACAACCATCCACATGTCATATATTATTTTTCATCCCTTGCTATTATTAGTGTATTTTTATGGATTAACCTTGGTTATTGATCGTCATAGAGAGTATGTGTTATCGAATGGAACAGTCTTGAATGAGATTAGAATTATAGTTTGTGAAATGATTTATGAGTTTAAAATGTGGGTTTCATTATTAAAATAATCTACAATTTTATGTATCAACGTACGCAAGTACCATGTACATGTACAGTAGTCTTGATTTACATATTAAAGGTAGTTAAACAGGACGAAATTTTTCATGACAGTATTCTCATGCTACTAAGTGTCATTTAATGTAACCAATGTCCTGGTCATATCAGGCTTAAACATTACCGCAGTCATGACAGGCCTTGCAACCATTGTCATGGGTCATATAAGGCGTTAACATTACCATGGTCATGACAGGCTTGTCATGGTCATATCAGATTTTAACATTGTCACGGTCATGACAGGCCTTGCAGTCCTTTATATTGTTGAAACTTATTTTAAAGTCAAAATAAAGAATTTAAAATTTTGACTTTTTATAACTTTAAAAGGTCACAGAAGGTCAACCAGAACGGATGTCAATTTTGGTTTCAGATTCAGAATCGTATTTGAAATGACTGTGATAATGTATTGCAACCAGGCCTGAAATGACTGTGATAATGTATTGCAACGAGGCCTGAAATGACTGTGATAATGTATTGCAATGAGGCCTGAAATGACTGTGATAATGTATTGCAATGAGGCCTGAAATGACTGTGATAATGTATTGCAATGAGGCCTGAAATGACTGTGATAATGTATTGCAACGAGGCCTGGAATGACTGTGATAATGTATTGCAACGAGGCCTGAAATGACTGTGATAATGTATTGCAACGAGGCCTGAAATGACTGTGATAATGTATTGCAACGAGGCCTGAAATGACTGTGATAATGTATTGCAATGAGGCCTGAAATGACTGTGATAATGTATTGCAATGGGCCCTGAAATGACTGTGATAATGTATTGCAATGAGGCCTGAAATGACTGTGATAATGTATTGCAATGAGGCCTGAAATGACTGTGATAATGTATTGCAATGAGGCCTGAAATGACTGTGATAATGTATTGCAATGAGGCCTGAAATGACTGTGATAATGTATTGCAATGAGGCCTGAAATGACTGTGATAATGTATTGCAATGAGGCCTGAAATGACTGTGATAATGTATTGCAATGAGGCCTGAAATGACTGTGATAATGTATTACAATGAGGCCTGAAATGACTGTGATAATGTATTGCAATGAGGCCTGAAATGACTGTGATAATGTATTGCAAAGAGGACTGAAATGACTGTGATAATGTATTGCAAAGAGGACTGACATGACTGTGGTAATTCTAGCGAGATACGCAACGAACGAAATGAATTTTGAGAATGATTTAGGCTCGGACAACCTCCGGAGATTCACGGAAATGTCCGAGCAGAAAACACCATGTTGGAATTTGCACTCGACTAACAATTACAAGTCTTGATCGAAAAGGAAGTAATTCAGCGCTCCAATACTTGCACGGATTAATGATACTGATGTAAGACACAGTTAGAGACCAAAACTAAGCCGCTGAAATCTGTATCATATTTTAAAGGTCACTATTATTCAGCTGCCCAAGTGTGCCGTGGGAAAGCTATGGTATCAAAATCCACATAGCTTTCGCAGAAAGTAACCCAGGATAATGAAAAATTATCAATTCGACTCTTGAAAACAATAGATTATGACCCTGCCTCAACACATTTACAAAATTTGGACTTATTCTTGAGAAATGAACCTTTCTGAAATTATTCAGAGTGAGGTAAAAATATAATTTTGTTAATATTAAGGTAAATGTTATACATGTAGTCCTGGCAAAATGAGGCACTTTTTAAGTTTATAACTTTCTGATTGAATTATAAAATTAGAGTGAACCATGTTTTATTCCATTATTCCAGTTTTTTTATAGCATACCTGTGTCACATATACATTTGTGATAATTGTCCTCCATGACACATGTTCCTCCATTGAGACATGTTGTGTTCAGACTACACATATCCACCTCATATTCACAACCAGCTCCAGTATAACCTACAAGTGCATGCACCCTATTACACACTGCTACTCAAGTGAACAATTAATGATCTCTCCTAAGGTAGACTTTCAGTTTATATCTTAAGAATATACTTTAGTTATACCAAATTACAGTATACAATTGTTGACCTCTCCAGAGGTCAACCGGCAAAATTGTATACCGAGACTGTAAACTGGTTGACCGAATGGAGGGGTTTTCGGAAAAGACCGACCACCGACCAGTCACTCTCCACAGTTGGGTCCATGAATTAACAAATATAGCTATCACACCAAACAAGTTGTCACTGCGTTCTTTAAAACGTTGCCGAACTGGTTTTAAACTGTGTCCGAACTGGATGATCGTAGCTACAACTTTACAAACTTCATGGACTTGCCCGGACCGGGAATGTGATTAACAATTTAGAATTTTTCTCTTCTGGGGGCCTTGTTACTGTAGCCAATATTGGGACAACGGTATTGGAGTTAATGCCCGGATACGGCGAACAGACATAGGCCTACGTACGGACAGAAACAGGAATATTGTTTTCCTGTAAAATTGGTCAGTGTCAAGGTCGGTCTTTTACATAGTGGTCGGTCTTTTACATATTTTTTCAAACCCTGTTTTGAGGCTACATATGGAAAACACCGACCGGTCGGTGGGGTCAGTCTTTTCCGAAAACCCCGAATTGAGAGGTCTACAATTGTTTTGTTAGTCAGAAGAAACTAATAATACACATACAGACGACAGTCATCAATCATGGCTTCATTTCACAATCTTTTCTCCGAACCACGCCAGCAATAATTTGTTAAGAAAATAAGAAGACAGTGGTAGCTAGACTCTCTGTAGTAAATTAATGTTAATTTTGCATTTCTATTTGTATTTTTGCTATACTCGTCGTCTAGCAAAGTCAAAATATCACTTTCATCAACGTTTACAAAATGTCTTCAATTTTGTTTTCTGTAAACATTGTGACGTCATATTCCCCATAATTCACAAGTGTAGTACAGTAACATACGCGGTCAATAATATGATATCCCATGATGCACAGGTGAGGTACGGGCAAAAATGTTGACCGCTAATTGACCAATCAGATGCGAGTATTTACACTGAGGTACTAACACTACATTTTGTGTTTTTTTCTTCAAACCTCTGAATATATTTTTGCATGCAATTTCAGATCAACCCTTATATACACTAGTACATGTATGAGGAGTAAACACCTGGTAGTTTCCTGAAACATCTTGCTTCTGGGAATGGTACACTTGAACTGTTGTCATAGCAACAGCCCAGCTTATCGATACAGTCAGCCTCCAATATCCCTGCACCACCACATGGTTTCCTGCTTCCAGGGTCACTGTAGTCACATGTGGCTGAAAAAATATATAGCCTAAAAACAACTACTTTTAGGAGGTTTTCTGAAGATGCTGACAAATAAATGTAAAGTATATAGAGATTATCCTATACGAGGTTCAGGATATTGGGATTATCCTGAGGCTAATATGATATATTTGCCCGAGGGCCGCAGGTCCCGAGGGAAAATATATTATATTGGCCAAGGGATAGAATATTCATGTCCAGTTTTGTTATCTTGGCCGTGGGCGGATTTTCCTGTTCTCTCAAATATTCCCACATTTATTTTCTCGAATTTTTGATTGATTAAGTGGATGCTCCTTCCCTTTTTTAAACCATCAAACAGATCCCGATTGTCTGTCTTTTCTCCATTGTCGTTTACAATCATTACGCGAACGTTACAAATTATGAACAAATACGCGAGCGGCGATTATGACGTAGCAGGCAGATATACTATATCTGCCCTCTCGGAGCTGGATGTAAAGCTATATCTGCCTGCTGATAAAAATATAAGTTTTTACAAACCGGCTTTATGTACCTGTAACAAGTATGGGATAAATAAAAATATCTAACTATAAATGTCTATATAGATATATATGTCTAGTTAGATATACATGTAAATATATATTGATACATGAACACAAATGTGTACAACATGTCCCCACCAATGGGTGATCTTATATACACTGCAATTTTTTTTATCCTCAATGCAAAATGGCTGTAAGTAGTAAGTAGGTGTCGAGTTAAAATCTTTCCATTCCCATCTGTATGCATTCATAAGTTATCCCTGAAAATTTGTAGGTGATATCTGGGGCCGTTTTAGAGAAAACTGTTGGATGTACGGACGGACAGACAGACAGACAGATGGACGTGCCTAGGCCGACAATATGGCCCCACACTATGTGTTGGGGACATTATAAAAAGTGTATAGAAATATTGAAGTATAATCAGAGATTAAGAGCTACACACATGTACTTTTCAAAAATCCTTATCCAGTTTCTGTGATTTATTCACGGATATCAACATTCATCATTTGGGTCAAACTGACATTGATATGTGAACTTACGTGCTTCACTACAAGTGCATTTTGTGTCCCCGGCCACCACAGAACACACACCATGGATACATGGGTTAGAGCTAGCACAGAGGTCTGGGGCACTGGAGCAATTACGTCCAAACACACCAGCAGGACAGCTGTAACACATTTTAAGATATAGATTGAAGCATCCAAGAACATCAAATCATACTTCAATATAAGACCTCTAGCCATTTTTGAAAATGAATAAAATGCACCTTCACACTTACCATTACCACTTATTTTCACTCCTGCCAAGATGAATTTACCATGGCAGTTGTCTACAACACTTATACTATGAAGTGGGGCTATAGAGGCAGCACAAGATTTGAAAAAAAAAACATATTTATATGATAATTTACAGGGTTGGCCAAAAAAAACAGAACCCAACTTCAAATCATGATGAAAATAGTTACGTTCAATATGATACATTGACTTATATATCATTTTAAAGGCTAAATATTCTCAAACAATATGGTATATTAAACTATGTCATGAAATCAATAGTAAAGGTATATTATACTTATTTGGCTTGGCTTGGCTGCTATTTAAGGTCTTTAGATTTTAGGGGGAAACAGTAAATCTGTGGAATTATGTAAACTTTTCTTTTATAGAATATCATTTTGTTAGGTGAATACATGCTTTTATATTTGCATCATTGTGTGACTAAACTTATTGAATTTCACTGTTGTTTAATAACATTTTACACTTTATCTATTTTAACAATTTGCTCAATATACCCTCCCCCTCTGCGTCAACAATAAGCTTCAAGCGGTAGTGCCATCTATCAATTGCCTTATTGACAGATGTCTGTTGCAATACATTCCAGTACTTTAGAATTCTGCGTTTCAGCTCATCACTACTTTTTATTGGATGCTCGTGTTGTGTACACCATTTCCTTGAGATGGCTCCATGTATGGTAATCCACCACATTTAGCATCGGGGTTGTTGGGTGGCCAAGCATCTGGATCAATCAAATTGACACCTTTGTTCGTGAAGGAATGCCAATTAAATGTCTCCTTCGATCTGTGGGAAAAGACGCTGTCTCGCGTTGAAAAAAGAAATCCTCACCAAATATACTTTTTATGTCTTTTGACAGACCTGTTTTGAGTACTTACTAATAATAAACAACATCGAAATTCATAAACAATAAGTCAAGTCACAAATGATGCAGATATACAAACATGTATGCACCTAGCAAAACGATATTCTATGAATAAAAATTTCATATAATTCCAAAGATTTACTGTTTTCTCCCTAAAATCTAGAGACCTTAAATAGCAATCCAACCTCCCAAATAAGTATACTTTTACAGCACTTTTACAGTAATATACTTTTACCATTGATTTTATGACATAGTGTTATATACCAAATTGTTTGAAAAAGTATTTCCTTTAAAATGATATATAAGTCGATGTACCATATTGAACTATTTTTATCTTGATTTAAAGTTGGGTATTGTTTTTTTGGCCCACCCTGCATATGCTTCAATAAAGTTATATGCTTCAATGAATCTTTTAGTCCACAAAGGTTTTAGACTGTACATAAAAACATGATATTCTAGTTTTCACACTTACATGCATAAGTAATCATTAAAAAGGTCAATGCAAGTAGCATTGTTGTCACACAGTCCAGGTGTGCAGGTCTGTATGATGTCATCGCATTGTTTCCCTGTCCAGCCCTCCTGACATGTGCAGCTGTAGTCATTTACAAGATCATGACACGATGCATTGTGGCGACATGGAAATGAGTCACATTCATTTATATCAACCTAAAAATTAAATAATGTATTGGAATAGAAATAAGTTAAGCTTGAACAGGTTTAGATTGTCACACATTTTGATTGTGCTAACTTCAGGTTTTGACAAGTCTACTGTAGGTTGTGAATTCAAACTGTGATAAATTCATCATTTCCAACATTACTCCCAATTGTTGAGAACAGATTCTGTTCAAGAGATGCTAAATTTTTCTAATTATGCATCATAAAATACAAATAATACAATGAATATTATTATAGCTGTTATGAAGTACATGTTGCTCAAGTATGCAAGACTCACTTTGTAGATGGAGAATTCAATCACTTTCACAATATACATTTGACAAGTATTTTCTCGGCAACTGTCACTGAAAATTTGTGAAAAGTAACCAGAAAATGTCATTAGCAATGCACAAAAATAAGAAAGAGATCAAGTATACATGTTATGTGAGTACTAATTAATTCAAGATAGCATGTCAAAATATCCCATACCGGAGCAACGCATGAGAACTTCATAGCTTTTGTACATGGGGAAACAATTTGACAAGTAATTTTTCAGCAATAGATGCAATTCTTTGAAAACAATAATTGAGAAACTTTAGGGTGCCTTCTGCAAGTGCTATGAATGTGAAAGTGATTGGTACCATATTATGTGTGCCTTTTTGAGTTAAAGACAGTATGTCAAAATAACCAATATCAATCGTATGATCTGTAAAATGAAGCCCTCTGATTGGTCAGTTATTGTGCTGTACCAATATGTATTGAGACGGAGATTGTCCCCGTTGATCATCTCCGTAGCAATACAGAAAATATTGGTACGGAGGGGACAATCTCAGTAGCAATACAGAGGATCACACGATAAAAACTTTATTAAATGAATAAATGTCTCGATATTCTGTATTGGCACTCGACTTTGTCTCGTTCCAATACAGAATTTCTCGAACAGAATATATCCTGTATTGCAGTTCAAATCATTCAATAACTTATATTATTATATCACTATCTAGCTAGCGACAGTATGATTGGTCAAAACCGGGTCACATGTCGTGGGATATCTGGAGATATTCAATAGCAATGCTAATCAGATAAGACTACCGTGAGATATCTAGCGATATCCCACGCTCCCGGGAATTTTCAAAGAATTTGTTTTCGTTCAGTGTAAATAATTTAGTTCAGTGTAAGTCAAAATGGCAGACGAACCGAGTAGATTCGTAAAAATATCTGAAGACTTAATGACTTAATAATAATATTAGGGATGTTTAGCTAGACAGTGATATAATAAAACAAATATTTCACTCTATTTTCGGTGAATACCTGTAGCACTTTCACAAGGTGATATTCCACTTGCCCTTTGGGCTTCGTGGAATATCACTTGTGAAAGATGTACAGGTATTCACCTCAAAAGAGTGAAATATTTGTTCAATATTTCTGAAGGTGTATTTCCTGTTGGCAAGGGAAATATGACTGAGGGAAAGATGAACATGAATTCACCGAAAATAGAATGGAATATTTGATTTATTATATCATTTGAATGTTCTACAAATTAAGTGTATTTCTTTTGAACATTTAATGCATAGATACAATACATGTGCTCGTCAGAATAGCCACTCTAACTGCAGCCACTCTTAGATGCAAGATATTGCCATCTTTCATCCTCAAAAGTCACACGTGCAAGATGACTTGTGACATCACTGTTTTATAAACATCAAGAACATGGCAACGGATGCACAATTGCTATGAGTACCCATGCTCATACTACAAAAATAAGCTGTGACGTCATCACTCATAACAATAACAATGAAGTTTTGTTGCCGTGCGTATCCAAGTATTTTCTACAATATTGTTGTGACGTGATAACAAAAACATAACATCTGGGACTTTCTACCGTGGTATATACATCGTGGTATATACAGTTGAAAACGAGGCTGCGGCTGGAGACTGCAGGAAACAATGAAATTCACCCTAATATTTTTAATCATGTGATCGGTTCTTATCCAATGAGAAAACGAGAAACATTTCAATGATATAATAAATACAGAATATCACATCATTTTGAGTGATATCATTTTTATCGCCGAGTTGATATCAAATATCAACACGAGTGAGCGAAGCGAATGAGTGTTGATATTTGATATCTACGAGGCGATAAAATGATATTACGAGAAATTATGTGATATTGGGTTTATCCCATGATTACAATCACCTTGTGATATTCTGATCCAATTTCCAGGATACTGGCAGACCTATTTTCTCAAAAGAGAATAAATTATCTGACCTAATTTCCAACAATATTGTGGCGCGAAATGCAAATGTGATATCACACGGATATGCGTGAGATAAACGATATCACACGCATATGAGTTTGATAAACGATTTTCTGGAAAATATCACAAGGATTTCAATAATATCAGAAATATCAATAGCTGTTATTGTACAGATAACACATTAATCGTGGGATAAATACAGATATTAAACAATCACAGAATTCAATATTTGTTTTATTATTTCTTCATTAAAGTAGCACACAATATTTAAGTTAGAAGTACACAATATTGTTATAATTATGATATGACATTAATAGTTTTAACGTCATATCATAACAATATTGCGTACCAATATTCTGTTAGAAGTCACAATCTCTGTCACACCATAACATATATATATATATATCTTTTATTGACTCTTTAGATGTCATGACCTGACATATTAGTCATTACAAAATGAAATTTTACAAAAACTACACTACACTACACTAATATATACAATTTATACAAAAAACTTGTTATTTACATATGTTATAATATACTTTAGGTGTGATGCATCCAAAATGTTAATCCCCAGGCAAGTTTAAGTTTTTGAATGATTTCGTAATAAAACTTCCAACTTGCTTTTGCACATATTTATCTTTTGAAGAAATTAACATAATGAATGTATTTTCAGGATCATGTTGATCAACATTAATTTTGCTAGTGATGTTGTCAAACAATATTCTTCTATTTTCTCTATGTATTTGGCATTTAATCATGAAATGAACCTCATTTTCTATTTCCCCACAAAAGTTACACAATCTTTCATATTCAGGTTTTGGCCGTGGTTTTACATGTCTACCCAGTTCTATTTGTAATCTATGTGAACTTAATCTCAGTTGTGAAATTGATTGCCTGTGATTTTTGTTTTGAAGGCTTAAATATTGTTCTCTTTCGAAAATTGTTTTGAATTTAATGTATGTTCTTAAAACTGGGTATAATTGTAAATCACACTTCCATTTCTCCTTATAATTTTGGTGCAATGTTTCAGTTAGATTCTTTTTGAATACATAGTCATCATCAACAACTTGTTCATTCCAAGTGCTTTCAAGATTACAATCTTTTAAAATATTATGAACCTTACTTGACCAAGTATTTTTAAATCCTAAACTGTACATTTCATAGTCATATAGATATGCTTTATATAATTAGATTCGGATCTTCTTTGTTAAAGTCCATAGACTTTGTGCATTGAATAGTTGACATTTTGAATACATTTGTAAAATCTTTATCCCACGTTTGATTATACAGTTATACAGTGATGTGACGTAATTTTAATTGAATATATAGTGGTATTCACTAAAAATGACGTCACTGCCAGTGAATACACTCTTCAGACGTTTTCTAAACAGGGAGACATGGAATACCTCTAGATATTTCTAGAATATTTACTTGATCTTTTTCATATTTTTACAACTTGCTAATGATACTCTTAGGCTACTTTGTACAAATTCTCAGTGAATTTGGTTGATCAGTTGCTGAGAGAATACTTGTCAAGTGTCTCATTTCTTTTGGGACGCCCAATATATTGGGTTTATCAAGAGGGATGATATCATGTGACACATTGCTTATTGTTTAATTGACCTTTGTAAGAATAATGCAGATGTGGACCATATTAAGAGGTACCCTTGGTGTTGCTCTATTCATCCTGATTTTCGTTATCTCACCTGACAGAATCTGCCTGTATACCCTTGCCTGCAGGTACATTCAAAGTCATCTATTAGGTCTGTGCAGTTCTTTGTCCCATTTGCCACACATCCCCCATCTTGACACTCATTTATGTTTACATTGCACATAGCTGTAAACAGAAACATTTTTGTTTAAACAAGCAATAGAAAGATGGATGAAACATTAAAATAAATACCGTATTCGCCGTAAAAAGCGCCCAGGGCGCTTTTGAAATTGAAATTCCCATTGTAACTAGTGGTGCAACTCGCAAGAAAAATGCTACTCGAGTAGAAAGTGTGAAAATGCCACTGTAATCGAGTACCACTCTCAAAAATGAGGGAAAAATAAAAAATAAATAAAAAACTCACCTAGTCGACTGTTTGAAGACCAAATAGATACAATTTCTTCGTTTCTTCTATATGTTATTGATGTTATACATAGTTTGTATCAATTTAGTGAGAATAAATGTAGTTATTCATGCCATAATTGTGTTTGTTTGTTTGTTTTTAAATATTTTCATTCTGTTTCCGGAATCGATACTTTGTTTCGTTCAGTGCATCCAAAAATGATCATCATTCCCGGGGTTTAAAACACTTCATAATAAAACATGCCTACTCGAGTTTGAAAAAACGTACTCGAGTAACTATCTTGGACAGGTTCAACGAGGTAGTGGCGAGTACTGGCATTCGAGTTGCACCACTAATTGTAACCCATTACAAAGAGCGCCCATATATGAGAGAAGTCAAAAATCCCCGGGAATTTCATGTATGGGAATTTTTCCTGCCAAAATGCCTTATTTGCAACGAAAGTGACAGCATATTTTTATAATAATGATATGTATCGTTATTGGAGAGAATAGGGTAAAGATCGCTTAAATAAAACAAGAATTTAACTATATTGACAGTGATTGAAGAACTCTCCAGCAGAGCCCCTCGAGGTGAAGGAATTGTTTTCCAATTATCTTCAATATTTCCGCTATAGACTGTTAGATATCGATCTAAAGTTATACCTTATTTTTTTAATTTGATGACAGATCATCATTTTTCGTGTAAAAGTCATGTAAAAGTCGAGAAATCTTAAAAAGAAACAAGAAAAATCACGACCTTGACAATCGCTAGTTAGTAAAATGTCGAAACAAAACTCTGAAATGTGATCATTTCCTTCATTCATTATGGATATTTTGAGATAATATTAGCTTAGTATGATGTGGTACGCACCCACTGATAGATATTTATTGGGAGGATGCATCGAATTACAAAATGCGTCATGTTTTCTGCATTTTAGTGTAAGTACTCTATTATCGCCCACTATATTTCTTCGAAAGATTTGATTTTTTTGATATATTCATTGATACTTAGTCATTCCTCGATATTTCTTGATCTCTGTGAAGCGGGTTGGGCGCTTATTACGGTTGGGCGCTTATTACGGCGATTACGGTAGTGTTATTTATTATATACCACACATGTATTCTACATACTCATTGGCTTATCCAATCCATGGTCACATGATATGAAATAGATGAACTTATTCCCTGGAAAGTCCTATATCCCTGCTAAGAGGGAAGATGAAAAGTACTAATCATCAGCTTGGTCATGTGACCAGTCATTATTACTTTTTATCTTCCTTGTTATTTGGGATTATAGGAGTTGAATGGCAAAATGCCTTTAAATGCCAATAAGAACCTGTAAGCATTAAATATCGAAATTAAAATACTTTTTATTTCGATTTTCAGATTACCCTCTGGAATATCCTGGATATTCCCTCAAGAAAAATAATTTGGACTATTTCCCTCAATGGCAGTCACTGGAGTATTTGTTAAACAGTTCATTTTCAGAATATCTGGGTTTTGAGACTCTCAGTCCATATTAGACATGATGAACTCTCCCCATTTTTGCATACAACCCCAGCTCAAAATCCCCCTTCCACTCTTTTTCCACCATTGCTTGAATGCTATATTTAATCTATCTAATCTATTTTTGTGGCAATTAGCACTTGAATTTGGGGATGACTACATGTACCTTATCATGTACTTACTGTTTTCGAAACCTGGTGTGCATGTACATGAATAGTTCCCAATATCATCCACACAAGTGGCACCATTCTCACAAAGATGTCCAACACAATCATCAATATTATGCTGACAGAAAGAGCCAGAGTAACCTGGCATACATGTGCAGTTGTGTGTCCCCGTTCCATTCTCACATATTCCACCATTCTGACAGGTTATGTTTTCACAGTAATTTTGTGGTACACATAATGGACTTTCTCCAGTTACTGAAAGCAATTATGCACAGTGCTGCCATAACAGAACAAAATAAACCATTTCATAGCTTTTCTGTTCTTAAAATCCATGTTACACAATATCCTCTATAGATTGGAACGATTTTTGCAGAACAAAGGGCAATTCCACTTACACAGGTTTTACACAACTATATTAATACTTAAGATGTGCAGCTTTGAATGAAAATTTATTTACATATCTATTGTTCAAATCAAGGTTTCATTGTTCTAAGCTAGGATTTATCCAACTCAAATGCTACTCTTGGATTGTGTTGGGTATGGCCATACATCTCATGGCCATGGTTTAGAATTTTTCTATGTAAACCCTTCAAGAAGAAGTTTTATCAAATATTTAATTTGAATTTTATTTAATGCCAAGAATAAACTAACAGGAGCCATTAAAAGTTTAAAAAAGCCTAACGATTTAGGTTTCATCCACATCATGTAGAGTACATACTTGGCTTTGGATAAAAAACCTCCTACCTCATACCCACCTACCCACATATGTGGAACATGATACAGTCTTTGAAGGGTTCAATTTTAAAGATCTTAGTTTATTGGATCTTAGTTTATGATGAATTATAGATGCATTTGTAACCACCACCCCATACTGTTAAACCAGTGTATTCCTTCAGTTATGTAATTCCTTGATGGATCACGATGTAACTACCCTTGATAGCAAGGTGTTACTACATCCCAGCTGGGTTTCAATTCCCACTGCATCGAATTTAGCACACTTTCTTTCAACTTCTTTATCTGGCTTATTGGACCTATGCTCGCAATCGTTAATTATTCCCCTGGGGCGCCCTCGGGTCATTACACATTAAAATGCATCCATATGCCTTTAATTATGGATCTGTCATATGTCTAGTCATAAAATAAAGCCTGCATTGTAGAAATGTTAATAATTTGAGCTATTTTGAAATTTCATAATCTTTAAAATTGAACCCTTCAATTGTTCCATGTAGGTGGGTATGAGGTAGGAGGTTTTTTATACAAAGCCTACATACAGTACTTACCATTGCATACACAAATTGTGTTATTTGAGGCATAGAGATCAACGCATGAGCCTGCATTGTTGCACATCTCACCTACACATGGGTCCCCCCTAACCTCACATCTAGGCCCACTGTACCCTGGGGGGCAGGAACAGTTAAAGGCATTATGGAAATCATTACATGTTCCACCATTCAGACATGGTGAAGAGGCACACTCATCTGAAAATTACATTGATGCATGTACAAATGTATAACATGACATCCTAAATTCACAATATAAAATCAAATAAGCAATTTTGTCCATGTAGTTAGTATTATGGTTTAGTTTGTTTTAAGTGACTAATGTATCATGTAATTGATATGAATGGGAATAAAATATGTCATGATAATACACACCAGTACTTCTCTCAGCATAGATATATCCAGGACATGTAGTGTTCAGACTCACAGCCTTAGAATCAGCAGTGTACAAGGTACATATGAGCTCATCTACTTTGTAATGAATTGAGAGGCACTGGAAGGTCTCTTCATCATCACAGCGTTGTTTGCACTTAGCTGCATTGTCAATGCCTGTTAAGACATACTCACTGCTTCCCACGTGACATGTGTCACTTATAGTATGCCATATGTAGCCTAGAATATAAGCAATATCTTGATTCTGATAAAAAGAAATTATATTGACCTCATTACAGGTGTTGAAATAATGGCACCATTAATTTACTTGCATTAGAGGATACATGTTCTATGATTTCTACATAATATTCATTCTCAAGAAAGAAACGAAATGCAATAGAACTCAATCTCTACAAAATTATATTTTGTACAGTAAAGAAGGTGTCTTACCTGGATTGTAAGATCCATTCTTTAGCGATAGATTTACGTCAAGATTTACTTCAATAAGTTATGAGAGAAATATGCTCTTATTTTCTTAGTTTTCAATATCCCGTTGGGAATCATAAGGATGGCATATGTACATTTTGGATTAAAAAATAAAAATGAGGAAAATATCAAAAAATGCGATTCGACTTTTGCTAATTAAGTAAGGACTAATTAAAAAATTGATGTATTCCACCGAACAGTTGATTCTAGATGTGAAAAACTTAATTCTTTATATGACAAACTTACCAAAGTCATTTGCTATCTGGCAGGTTGCGCCACTGTAGCCAAGGAAACAGTCACATATATATCTTGCAGGGGATATAGCAGAGCAGTTGCCATGGCTACTACAAGGACTTGTGATGTTACATGGATCATTAGTCACATTACATCTAAAAAACATATCAGGACACATGTCACAAATATATATATATATGTATGTAACAGCTATTTAATATCAGTTTGAAGCAAACAAACCTTGAACTGTTCTCTTAATTACAATGGTACCATTCAAACCCAGAGTGACGTCCACTTGCTTGTGGTATCGTAGCTAACATTTGTCAGTGATAACACAAACAAACAAGATAGGATCTGGATTCTGGATAGAACTGAATATGTAACTTCATGTAGAGGGAAAATTACTTAATTACCTCATTACCTAATTACCAACTACACAAAAGATCTAACTGAGTAAAATGGTAGTCTATTAAATACAATAAAAAAATAACACACAAAACTCCAGTGAGGCCTTCTCCTTGAGGACACAAGCAGTTGTAGCCCAGGTCCAGATCTTGACACATAGCATCATTCTGGCACTGATTGCTCACGCATCCATCTATCTGGTCCTCACATAGTGTACCATTGAAGCCTGGATACAAAACAGTTGTTCTTTAAAGTTGATGGATTAAATTTAAATGCATTGAATATTCTTAAACATTATTCTAGTAAATACATGTATCAAACACACAAACTATTAAAGACGAACACTGATGGAAAAGCAATATCAACCTAATACTGCTTCTACATTACCATTCACTAAGGGTTATATACTGGGAGGTTTTGGATACAAGGTTTATCTTGAGGATATCATATATCTGCCCCATCAGTGCCTCAAGCGGGACCTACATATATACTGGTACAGGTAAAATGCATTGAGCCTGTCAACAAATATGACAGTTATTTCTAGGTACATGTATTATCAACTCAAAACTCATCTTAGTATGAAAAAAATGTGATCTTGTTTTACTTGTCATTTTTTCTCAATATTTCATGTCATATTATCTTAAGGTTTCTGGATCTCCCACTCACCTGGCAAACATGTACAGTTGAATGAGTCAATGCCATCCATACAAGTAGCACCATGGAAACATGGCTGAGAAGCACAGTCATCTATATTCTCAGCACAAAAAGCTCCAGTGAACCCTAAAATACATTCACATACATGAACATTGTAAATATACGAGTACATGTAACAAGATATCTGACCATGTGGCACCTGTGGTGTGCTCATTTCAATCTGGCACTGCATCCTTCCCAACTTCCTTTGGAACATCTCATTACAATTCATTTTTAAAGCTGCTGTTTGCCCCGAAACGCAATCTTGGGTTGTTTCGGGGGTGAACTTTATCGTTTTGAGCTTAATGAAAGATTATAGAATGATGAACAAATGGGGCAAATCTTGTGTATAAATACTTACGATAAATGTGTCATTTCAAAGATTGTTCATTGAATTGCTTCGATTGGTGACGACGATATGATTTTGGAAAGGTTTCTAAATTAAGAACGTGACGTCACTTCCGAATTATAGCATTCAACATAAGTAGCGTTTAATTACTCCTATCATTCATATTAACTAGGTGGCCTTGCGGTAGAGTTCTCGCTCAACACGCACTCACTTTTTTATTTTTTTAACTAAATGATTGTTCTTTGATATTACGCAGAAAAAACAATTTTTATTTACATAAACTTTATATGAGAGCTTGAAAATGTAAAAACAATATATGTCAACATATTGCGTTTTGGAGTGATGTGCAGGTTTAAGTGAAAAGTAATACGCAGCTCAGGGTTCTCACAAAAAAATTTTAGACCCCAGATTTTTCGCGTCATCACGACAAATCCTCTCAATTGTATGAATTTCAACTTATACAAAGCTTTACCTTTGACATCTCAAACTTCGAGACATTTGAGATTAGAGATTGGAAATATGGAAGATTATTCAGACTTGCCAACCTAAAATGAAAATTTTCGGGAGATTTAAAAAAATTTGTGGTACTTTTACGGGAGTTTTTTTCAGGTAAATTTTGAAAAAAACGGGAGTTTTTCGGGAGATTTTGAAAAAACTGGAGTTTTTACGGGAGATTTTGAAAAAAACGGGATTTTTTACGGGAGATTTTTTAAAAAAGGTATTTTTTGCGGTAAATTTTAAAAAACATGACTTTTTTACGGAAGATTTCAGAAAAAACGGGAGTTTTTGCGGTAGGTTCTGAAAAAACGGGAGTTTTACTGTAGATTTCTGAAAAAACTGGAGTTTTTTTGCGGTAAATTTTGAAAAAAACGGGAGTTTTTCGGGAGATTTTGAAAAAACTGGAGTTTTTACGGGAGATTTTGAAAAAACTGGAGTTTTTACGGGAGATTTTGAAAAAACTGGAGTTTTTACGGGAGATTTTGAAAAAACGGGATTTTTTTACGGGAGAATTTTTAAAAAAGGTATTTTTCGCGGTAAATTTTAAAAAACGTGACTTTTTTACGGAAGATTTCAGAAAAAACGGGAGTTTTTGCGGTAGGTTCTGAAAAAAACGGGAGTTTTTACAGTAGGTTTTGAAAAATGGGAGTTATTGCGGTAGATTTTTAAAAAAAACTGGAGTTTTTAGGTAGATTTCTGAAAAAACTGGAGTTTTTACGGTAGATTCTGAAAAAACGGGAGTTTTTACGGTAGAATTCTGAAAAAACTGGAGTTTTTACTGTAGATTTCGGAAAAAAACTTGAGTTTCAACGGTAGATTTCTGAAAAAACGGGAGTTTTTACTGTAGATTTCGGAAAAAACTGGAGTTTTTACAGTAGGTTTTGAAAAATGGGAGTTTTTGCGGTAGAAAAAGGAGTTTTTACGGTAGATTACGGCAATTTGAATCATGGGAATGAAGTACTTTTAAGTTATTTATGAAAGTATCGATAGTGAACCATGGGAGCCAATCCTTCTTGGAGTAAAAGAAAGAAGCGTGCCTGCAATAATCAAGGTCACAAATTTGTCAAATTCCTTTTAAATACAGTAGATTTCAACAGCAAAAAACGGAGATTTTACGGGAGTTAAACCAAGAATACGGGAGATTTTACGGGAGTTATACCAGAAAACGGGAGATTTTACGGGAGTTATACCCAAGAATATGGGAGATTTTACGGGAGTTATACCAGAATACGGGAGATTTCATGGGAGATTTCAGCAAAAATAAGGGAGATATTTTTTTTAAAAATTACGGGAGATTTTAGTAGAAATACGGTACGGGAGTTTACGGGAGTTTTTACGGGAGAAAACGGTACGGGAGTTTGGTATTTTTTTCGGAAAAACAAAAAATTTACGGGAGAATTCCGTAAAAAAACGGGAGGTTGGCAAGTCTGTTATTTGCTTATTTAATCACGATACGCATTTCAAAAAGTGTGTGACTTTCTATTCTTTGTTTGTATCCAGTATTTATGCATATTCTCAGGAGTTTTACCACAAATAATGTGATAAGAATTTCAGACTAAGACTCTCAAATTTTTCTGGAACGCTTTAGCAGACTACGTTGTTGGAGAGTCTGGACTCATCAGAAAAAAAGAGCTCCGTGAGAACCCTGCAGCTTATAGTATTGGAACTGAGCAATAAGATTTCATGATCAATTTCATGATCATTTATACCTTTTATCAATCATATGAGTACTCTGATACAGGTAGCCTCATTTCCAATAAACTTCAATGGTGAGCCTTGATCAGTACATACATGTTAGTGGTGTCAATTAACCGCTTTAGCATTAACCGGTTAACCGGGGGTTTTTACCGGTTAAAGTCGGTTAACCGGCGGGAAATTTGAACTGATAATTTCAAATGAAATCTTCATCTTCGATCTTGAAAGTTGAAAAAATTGGAAAATGATATATCGGCGTTTATTTTTTACGTTCGTGAAGCTTTACTCTATTCTATGTAAGTAAGTGCGGGAAAGCAATGTGGCAGGGATTAAAGTTGCTGATTGGATGTTTGTAAGGAATTATCGGACCTATCACATGTATGAATAGCTCACATGACACTGACGCTTGAAAAACAAACAGATTAAAATGCAAAGTAAGCGCGGGAAAGCAATGTGGCAGGGATTAAAGTTGCTGATTGGATGTTTGTAAGGAGTTATCGGACTTATGACATGTATGAGTAGCTTACGTGAAACTGAAACCATAAAACCAAACGGATTAGCATGCAAAATAAGCGCGGGAATTAACAGAATTATACATGGTCAACTAACCGCCCATAAAAACACAGACCGGTCAAGGCATTATCGGCGGTTAACCGGTTAACCGGTTAATACTTGACACCTCTAATACATGTACTTGTTTAAACCAGTTCTGGTACATATAAAAAACATGGATTTTTCAAACTGAGCCTGATCCAAGATATGGTTCACTTGATTAAATTATTTTCCATAAATGTAGTACTTGATTGCCACAGCAAGTTTGATTTCAATAACTGATCAGAGCGATTTACTTATTCACATTTCAGTGTACATGTACCGTATTCTCTGTAATTAGCGCCCAGGGCGTTTAGAAAATTGAAAATACATTATTTAGACCATTCTAATAAGCGCCCATGTATGAAAGAAATCAGAAATCCCGAGGAATTTCATGTATGGCAATTTTTGTTGACAAGAATGCATTTTCTTCAACATATTTTTATAATAATATGACAAGTGCTGTTATTGGAGAGAATACGGTAAAGATCGCTTAGACAATATTGACAGTGGTTGAAGACCCGTCTATGTCTAATTTATTTCCGGCACGCCCACTTTGTCATTATCGCCGATTACCTTCAATATTTCCACTAGAGACTGCTGGATATCGATCTAAAGTTATACATTATTTCTAATTTGATGAGAGATCATCATTATTCGTGCAAAAGTCGTGTAAAAGTCGAGAAACATTAAAAAGAAACCAGAAAGTTCACGACCTTGACATGCGCAGAACATCTGCGCAGTAGCTTTTGAAATTTCTGAATGCCGATAAAGAACAATTCCTTCATTCATTATGGACTATTTGGAGACAATGTTAGCATGGTATGGTGTGGGAAGCACCCATCGATAGATATGTATCGAGAGGATGCATAGAATTACAAAACGCGTCGTGTTTACAGCAGTTTTAGGGTAAGTACTCTATTATCGCCCGCTCCTGGATTTTGAGAAATATTTTTTTCCTGATATATTCTTCAATTCTTGTTGATTCCTCGATGTTTCTTGAACTTTGTGAAGCGGGGTGGGCGCTTATTAGAGAGTGGGCGGTAATTACAGAGAATACGGTATATGTGAAGTACCTACCTGGCATACAATGGCACTGGGCTATATGATTCACTATGCTACAAACACCATTGTTCTGGCAGGGACTCGGATTACACAATTCTGAAAGAAAACAAAACAACATATGTTATTGGACAAATACCCAGAAATACAGAGGTTAGTATAAAATACATGTAGCCTATGGCCACTGTGCATCCTAGATCAAAACTAATCTTGTGTGGTATTCATCACCGTGGCGACAGTCGTGACAGCGGAACGAGAGATATTTGGAATTCAAAGATTGATTATGTAAATCATGAGATGCGATCCTTTTGTACAAAGCAAGGACATGGATTTACAGATATCAATGAAGTCAATGGATCAACAGTTCGAAATCCTTGCATGAAAGTCTTATACAAAGACATGTTACATTTCAATCACTTGAGACGCAGTAGACTAGTTGACGCTATGATCTCTATAATGAGACAAGAATGCCCCACCACTTATGCAAAGGCTGCAGCCTATCCTTCATCTGTAAACCCTCAAAGAGCTTGGTCTCATGCCAAGTTTTAGACTGTGAGTGTGGTGTAGCATCAGCATCTGATCAAATTAAAGATTATGTCTCTAAAACTGTATATGTTGACACTCAAAGATCTGTACATAATGTAAAAAATGCACATTATCCTGAAACACATGTAAATATTAATGTTAAAACTAGGAATCATATAACATATGTAAATAATAACTGTGATGATTATTCATATTCTGTGTGTGTTGATCCAGCAACACATGTTAAGGAAGGTAGCCAATATGAGATTGATTCAACACTTGATTCTAGTAAATCATCAGAATTGTGTACTGGTTTCAATTTAGAAACACATTTTAACGTAGAAACAGAAACAAATGTCAATTCAGAAACACATTCTAATATTGGAGAAGTCTTATCTGCAGAGAAAAATCTTTCAGTACTCCTTTGGAATATTAATAAATTATCTGACAAATTGCATGATGGGAAAGATGTACAAACTTTTTTACAAGATTATCAAATTATTTTATTGAGTGACACATGGCTTTCTCCAATAGAAGATATTGTTTTTGAAGGTTATGCCTGTTACAACCTTGCTCGTAATTCAAATATTAGTGCAAATAATGGTCATAACTCAGGTGGGCTTGCAGTGTTGATCAGTGATGAATATAGTACAGGTGGTATTGATATACTTCCACAATCTCATGACTTTTTCGTCTGGATAAAATTAAGTTCCACTTATTTTAATATTGAAGAAGATTTATTTATATGTTTTATCTATTTGCCATTTAAAGGCTCTGTGTATGAATCTGCGACAGGGCCAAATAATATTGACATACTAGAAATATCAATAGCTCATTATCAAACCTTGGGGAAGACAATAATTTGTGGTGATATGAATGCCCGAATAGCTAATCTTACTGATAGTAACATAGATATACTTGGTAGTAATGGTGATTTACCAGTAGATATGTTTAGCATTAATGAGTCAATGCTTCCACAAGAAAATGGAAACAAAATTGATGATCTTTTCAGAACACGTAACTCTATGGATAAAAATGTAAGGGCAATTTCGCAAACACACGGGAGAGAATTTTTATCATTATGTAAATCAGCAAACATGAAAATACTCAATATGCGTCTCTATAGTGACAAAGAAGTTGGAAAGTACACTTGTTATCGGAACTTCACTCATAATTGTGAATCAAACTCTGACCTTGGTAAATCTGTTATTGACTATGTAGTAATTCAACCTATTATAATTCCATTGATATCAGATTTTAAAGTACATGATAGAAGGGTAGAATCTGATCATGCCCCTTTGCATTTTTCACTTTCACTGACAAAATCAGGAAAATCACGTTTTAAAGCTAGTGTATCAGATCAAAGAAAGAATGCATTTAAGTCGTACAAATGGGAAGCGGCACAGACAAATGAATTCATCCAAAAACTTAGTGATCAAACTAGTAATGAATTGTTGACCACTTTCTATACTGAATAACGCAAATGCGAGTAGGTAGTTACCAGTTTCACCACCAGGTGGCTCGCTCGGGTTAGATAGCATGGCGGGTATAGTAGAAAGTTCCTTTTAACTTAAAGGGGCAATAAGGACTGTAGAGAAAATAGGAAAGTTTTTTCATTTTTTCTGAGCTATCAAGGCAACATTTGGTTTAACATCTTCTTTGACATACCTATTTTCTTAAAATATATGGATAAATGATCAATTTCAGCATTAAGAAGTATAAATTCAGTTCAAAGCTTCAAAAAGGGGACTTCCACTTTTATATTTTTAAGATCCACCATGTTTCAAGAGGAATATGAGCTAAAATAATGTTTATCTAGGGGGTTTCTTTGTAGATAATAAAAATAGATGTTAGTCTTGATGAAATATCAAAACTTAAATATATTTTGACACTGGTCCATGATCGTTGAATGGCCCCTCTGCACTAATTATTGCACCTTCAAATTACATCTGTTTTAGTGGTTCAATTTTCATATAGCCCTTATGTATCGAATAGTTATGCAAATTAAAGTATGTCCAGTAAAAGAAAATGTTATATGTCCAATTCAAGAAAAAGATATTTCACTTTTTGTGATTTTGTAATATGGGGTCTATGGGGAATCAACCCGAACTAGAAGTCACATTTTCAAAAAATATTAAATTTTTAAAGTTGATAAACAATTTTTGAAACCATATTCTTAGATGTATTTTTACATGTAGATTTCAAATATGACATCACTTTGACTGAATTTTGAATATTTAATGACGTAAATCAAGATCATTTCTACTCGCATCTAGTCTATTGGGCTGTTCTAATATTGGGACAGATGAACTATTAAGTAAACTTTTAAATGTAATACATCATGCTTGTGAGGGAACATTTAAACTTAAAGAATTAAAATCAAACAAATAGTGCAGTCAGTTATGACAATAAAACCCTTGAATTGCACTTGCTATATATAAAGCACAATTTTTTGACCTAAGTATCATTAATGCTTATATTTTTGATATCTAACAAAGTGGTGTTGAAAATTGGCCCCGGTTGAAAATAGCAGTCCTCGAAAAATTTGCATGTTTACATTGAGCCCCATGTTAATTTATCAATCTTCAAAAGACCCCCTGCAGTACAGTTCTATAGAAATAAAGCCCATATTCCCAGGATGTTACAATTTTCTGATTATCTTCAAAATAAGAAGGGTTAAATTTTTTCTTTTTCCTATTTCCAAAGATATTGGCGTTTGAATTTTGGAAATTCCCCATTGGCTGCCATTATAAACGGCTATCAATATGGCTTTGCTAAAGTGTCCTTTTCTCAAAAAGTCCACTGTGAAATTTTCTAATATCGCAGATTTCTATATTTGATATATTGATTTTAAAAAATTCAAACAGGTACATTTCTAAAAATTTCTTATTTTTGATATATTTAGTCATTAAAAACTATAAAAACCTATATTGAGCCCTATGTTAATTTATCAATCTTCAAAAGACCCCCTGCAGAACAGTTTTAGAGTAATAATGCTCATTCTCATAGTATGTTACAATTACATGATTATCTTCAAAATAAGAGGGGTTAATTTTTTTCTTTTACCTAATTCCAAAGATATTGAGGTTTGAATTTTGGAAATTCCCCATTGGCTGCCATTATAAACCGCTATCAATATGGCTTTGCTAAAGTGTCCTTTTCTCAAAAAGTCCACTGTGAAATTTTCTAATATTGCAGATTTCTATAGTTGATATATTGATTTAAAAAAATTCAAACAGGTTCATTTCTAAAAATTTCTTATTTTTGATATATTTAGTCATTAAAAACTATAAAAACCTATATTGAGCCCTATGTTAATTTATCAATCTTCAAAAGACCCCCTTCAGAACAGTTTTAGAGTAATAATGCTCATTATCCTAGTATGTTACAATTACATGATTATCTTCAAAATAAGAAGGGTTAAAATGTTTTCTTTTACCTAATTCCAAAGATATTGAGGTTTGAATTTTGGAAATTCCCCATTGGCTGCTATTATAAATGGCTATCGATATGGCTTTGCTAAAGTGTCCTTTTCTCAAAAAGTCCACTGTGAAATTTTCTAATATTGCAGATTTCTATAGTTGATATATTGATTTTAAAAAATTCAAACAGGTACATTTCTAAAAATTTCTTATTTTTGATATATTTAATCGTTAAAAACTGTAAAAACCTATATTGAGCCCTGTGTTAATTTATCAATCTTCAAAAGACCCCCTGCAGAACAGTTTTAGAGTAATAATGCTCATTCTCCTAGTATGTTACAATTACATGATTATCTTCAAAATAAGAGGGGTTATTTTTTTCTTTTACCTAATTCCAAAGATATTGATGTTTGAATTTTGGAAATTCCCCATTGGCTGCCATTATAAAACGGCTATCAGTGTGGCTTTGCTAAAGTGTCCTTTTCTCAAAAAGTTCACTGTGAAATTTTCTAATATTGCAGATTTCTATAGTTGATATACTGATTTTTAAAAATCATACAGGTACATTTCTAAAAATTTCTTACTTTTGATATATTTAGCCGTTAAAAACTGTAAAAACCTATATTGAGCCCCATGTTAATATATCAATTTTCAAAAGACCCCACGCAGAACAGTTTTAGAGTAATAATACCCATGCTCTCATTCTGTTACAATAACATGATTATCTTCAAAATAAGAAGGGTTAGAGTTTTTTCTTTTACCTAGTTCCAAAGATATTTGCCTTTGAATTTTTGAAAATACCCCTTGGCTTTTCTAAAGTGTCCTATTTTCAAAAAGCCCCTTATGGAATTTCCTAATATTGTAGATTTGTATGGTTAATATGTTGTTTTTTAAAAAAAATCGAACGGGTACCTTTCTGAAAAGTTCTTATTTTTAATATATTTAGCCATTTAGTTGAAGATTGATAAACTAACATGGGGCACAATATATTTATTTTTATTTTTTAATGGCTAAATATATTAAAAATAAAATAAATTCTGAAATGTGCCTGTTTGATTTTTTTAAATCAATATATTAATTATAGAAATCTATAATATTAGAAAATTCCATAGTGGACTTTTTTGAGAAAAGGACACTTTAGTAAAGCCACATTGATAGGCGTTTATAATGTCAGCCAAATTGGTGTTTTTTTTCAAAATTCAAACGTCTATATCTTTGGAACTAGGCAAAAGAAAAATGTAATCCTTTTTAAATTGAACAGAGTTGTGTTATTGTAACATCCTAGGAATATGGACTTATCACTTTTGAACTGCCCTGCAGGGGATCTTTTGAAAATTGATAAATTATCACTGGGCGCAATATAGTTTTTAATGACTAAATATATCAAAAATAAGAAATTTTAAGAAATGTACCTGTTTGATTTTTTTAAAATCAATATATCAACTATAGAAATCTGCAATATTAGAAAATTTCACAGTGGACTTTTTGAGAAAAGGACACTTTAGCAAAGCCATATTGATAGCCATTTATAATAGCAGCCAATCGGGAATTTCCAAAATTCAAACCTCAATATCTTTGGAATTAGGTAAAAGAAAAAAATTTAACCCTTCTTATTTTGAAGATAATCATGTTATTGTAATATACTAGGAGAATGAGCATTATTACTCTAAAAGTGTTCTGCAGGGAGTCTTTTGAAGATTGATAAATTAACATGGGGCTCAATATAGGTTTTTACAGTTTTTAACGGCTAAATATATCAAAAATAAGAAATTTTTAGAAATGTACCTGTTTGATTTTTTTAAAAACAATATATCAACTATAGAAATCTGCAATATTAGAAAATTTCACAGTGGACTTTTTGAGAAAAGGACACTTTAGCAAAGCCATATTGATAGCGGTTTATAATGGCAGCCAATGGCGAATTTCCAAAATTCAAACGTCAATATCTTTGGAATTAGGTAAAAGAAAAAAATTAACCCCTCTTATTTTGAAGATAATCATGTTATTGTAACATACTAGGAGAATGAGCATTATTACTCTAAAACTGTTCTGCAGGGGGTCTTTTGAAGATTGATAAATTAACATAGGGCTCAATATAGGTTTTTATAGTTTTTAACGGCTAAATATATCAAAAATAAGAAATTTTTAGAAATGTACCTGTTTGATTTTTTTTAAATCTATATATCAACTATAGAAATCTGCAATATTAAAAAATTTCACAGTGAACTTTTTGAGAAAAGGACACTTTAGCAAAGCCATATTGATAGCCATTTATAATGGCAGCCAATGGGGAATTTCCAAAATTCAAACGTCAATATCTTTGGAACTAGGTAAAAGAAAAAATTTAACCCTTCTTATTTTGAAGATAATCATGTTATTGTAACATAATAGGAGAATGGGCAATATTTTTCTAAAACTGTTCTGCAGGGGGTCTTTTGAAGATTGATAAATTAACATAGAGCTCAATGTAAATGAGCGAAATTTTCGAGGCCTGCTATTTTCAACTCGGGCCACTTTTCAACACCACTCCGTTAGATATCAAAAATATATTTATTAATGATACTTATTTCAAGAAAATGTTGCTTTATATATAGCAAGTGCAATTGAACAGCTAACTGACCCCACTAAAAAGCATTTCCTATAAATGCTTGGTTCACTGATGAATGTAAAATGTTGAAAAGAAAAGTTCATGATGCTATCAAAAATAAACTTGATGAAACTCATATTAACCAAATTATGAAAGAATACAATCAAACTAAACAGCGGGAAAAAAGAAGGTTTAAAGCAGGAATGTTAGAGAGTTTGGTAGTAAATAGGTCTAAATCTTCAACTGATTTTTGGAAATTTATTAATGCAATGCCAGGAAATATAATTAGAGATATATCAGTACCCCCTGAGGATTTATTAACCTATTTTCAAAATTTGGCAAAGCCTCCAAACATGGATTATTTTGATAATGATGCACTTCAAAAGATGAATGAATTTATTCAAGATAGCATTCAAAATAACTCTGATGACATTAATTTAAATCTTTGTTATAATATTATAGATGGCAGAATCAGTCAAATTGAGGTGTACAATGCTTTTAAAAAAGTAAATTCTCATAAATCAGCTGGCATTGATGGTATCCCATCGAACATAATTAAGAGTTGTGAAGTACTTATTCCAGATTTTACAGCACTTTTTAATGTTATTTTCGACAGCGGTGAATACCCACGTGACTGGAGCATTGGTATGCTAAGTGCTCTCTTTAAACAAGGAAGTCGTTTTAAAGCAGATAACTACAGGGGTATAAATGTATTAGCTTGTATTGGTAATATATTTGATTCTGTAATTCAAAATAGACTTGTTTTTAATGCACAGGTACAAAATTCTCAAGATCCTCTGCAAGGTGCATATAAAGAAAATAGCCGAACAATCGATAACATATTTATATTACAGACATTAGTTAACAAATCTAAACTGCTTAAAAAACCTCTTTTTACATGTATGGTTGACTTCAAGAAAGCGTTTGACTATATTGATAGGTCAGTCCTGTTATACAAACTCTGTAAGAGCGGTGTAAAGCCCAATAGCAAAATGTACAAAATCATTGACAGTATGTTCGTCAAATCTCAATCTTGTCTTAAGTTGAAAAATGGAGTATCAGACTATTTTAAAACAGATGTTGGAGTTTTACAAGGGAGTGTTCTCAGTACCTTCTTATTTAATCACTTTATAGATGACCTTGCACTATATTTACCAACGCACTGTGGAGTAATTTTAAATGATAAGAGGCTTAACCACCTTCTATGGGCAGATGACCTCATATTGATTTCAGAATCCAGTGAAGGATTGCAGACATTACTTGACGCACTTTTTTCTTTCTGTAAGACTAATAGGTTAATTGTCAATACAATGAAAACTAAAGCATTAATCTTCAATTCCAAAAGATCTTTCAAATTTGAATTTAATGAAAAAAGTATCGAATGTGTTAATGAATACAAATATTTAGGTCTCATTCTCACCAATAACAACAGTTTTGATATGAACACTAAATATCTTAAAGAACAAGAAAGGCTCTTTTTAAGATAAAACAGCAATATGAGAAGTTTAATGATGTGCCACCAGATGTAGCTCTTCATCTGTTTAATGCTTTGGTCAGTCCAATTTTATCTTATGCATGTGAAATATGGTATGATAAAAAACAAATGAAAGCAATTGAATCCATACATTTGTCTTTTTTAAAGTCAACATTAGGTGTCAAATCACAAACTGCAAGCCCTGCTGTGTATGGCGATCTAGGCAGGTACCCATTGTCAATCAAATTTGAGTGTTATATTATAAAATATTGGCTTAGACTTAGACTCCTAACATTTCCAGAATCAAGTGTATTAAACCAAGCCTATTTATATGATAGAGATATTCAAGAGTTAGGATTCAAAAGTTGGTCTAGCAAGGTCTATGATATACTCAGAAAATGTGATTTATTGGATTATTGGAATGACCAAAATATGAATACTGACAATCTAGTGAGCATGGTAGAAAAGAAGTTGAAGGTATTATTTGTAGAAAAATGGAAAAATGATTTGAACATTTATCCTATACTGAGAATGTATAAATTGTTCAAAAAAGATTTTAGAATTGAATTATATTTGAAATTAGATAATAAAAAGTATAGATTGGCGATAAGTAGATTTCGAATGAGTTCTCATCGATTGGCGATTGAGACTGGAAGACATGCAAAGCCAAAACCAAAACCTAGAGAGGAAAGATTATGCAATACCTGTAAACATATAGAGGATGAATGTCATTTCCTTTTAACTTGTACAAAGAATGATGAGCATAGACAATTATTGTACACTAAGGCTCGTGAAATTCTAAGTAACTTTGACCTCAATAGTGAAAATTTATTTGTCAATCTCATTTCAAGTAAAAACTTAACATTACAAAGACACATTGGAAAATTCATTTATCATTCATTTAAGAATTTGTAGTCAGAATGCAGGGTATGTGCACCACACTTTAAATGTAACCTTGTCCTTTCATCATGATGTATACTACCTTTATTTTGGGTTTTTGTATATCTCGTATATATTTTTGCACTTTTGCCTTAGTATTTGTAGTTTAGATATTTAGTTTTTTCATAGTTATGACTAATGTAATCATGTTATGATACAAGATGTCAATAAAAGTTATATATAAATGATTTAACAGCTACTTATCAAGGCATAAAAAATGTGTCACTGGATTTTGGATGACATTACTCTGAAAGATTAAATGATCATCTCTAATTGAAAGAGTGTAGATGAAGCTATTTTTAAGAAGCAAAATTATACTACATGTATTGCAAAGAGTACTGGACAATCAAAGAGTTATCAAAATTTAATTTTTAACTTTAATTATGAACGAGGCATTAACATGACAAAATGTCACCACTTAGTTGCTCACAATATTATTAGTTCATTCTTAAGTCAGTTTTGAATTTCTGAGAACTTGAAGATGATTTTGAAAAAAAATTGGTCAATTTGAAGCAAGTCGAAAATATACCTTTTTTGACCTTGAAAAGGTCATTGAAGGTCAAATCTCAAATTTAAAGTCAGATCTGAACTTCTGATAACATAGATGACTTTCAAAAAAATTGAAGTATTTGTTAAGTTATTGGAAGTTTTAGGAATTTGTTATAGATGCCAAACACCAACCACCAACCGCCCATCACCAACCGCTGATCAGCCTCCTGGAAATTTTATCCAAAGGTCTGTTCTGTGTGATGACATTCTTTGAAAATGGTACACATTCGTAACTCATTCCAAATGTAGCAACTACATACTTACCTTGGCCATCAGGGTATGTTGTGCCACAGTCAGATAGTGAGCTAGACCCCCCTGCTAACACAGCTTTATCATTGGGGCATTCAATGCAGGATGTCTGGCCAGTCTGGTTCTGGTAGAAGTGACTTGGGCACAAGGTACAAGTCCCATTTGTAGAATAACCATCTTTGGAGTAGCTCCCAAGAGGACACTCACCTGAAATCAAATCAAGTAAATAGCTTTGTTTAATGCAACAGCTATACAATAATATGGAGGAACGGAGAGATGGACAGATGAACGGACAGACAGACGGATGTACCAAGGCCGAAAAAATGGCCCAGTCAATATCATTTAGAATCATTTTTGGTAACAAAATTTTCCAAAACTTCCAAAAAGTTTTCAACAAGGGTAAATGGGTAATTTTAGTAGCACATCTACAAAATATATAAAATGGATTATACATAAAACATCATTTTTATTTTTAAAACAAGCCCTTATACTCACCAAAGCAGCCTAAGATGCTAGAGGTAGCATCTTGTCTGGTTATGTGATTAAAGGGGCAGGTCCGGCACATTGTACTGTTGAGACTGTAGGAGTTGTAGGGGCAGGAGTGACAGGGTGGCAGTCTTGTATCAGACACTTTCCCAGGAGAACATTCAGCTAAAATTCAAACAGAGAATGTACTTAGTCACCTAATATGAGTGAACATTCAATAGCACTCAGTTTGTATATACAGTATTGCTACTGAATATAACTGATCATTTCAGTCTACAACAAGTTCAGAGGGTGATACTGCATAGCACATTTTCAAGAAAATCGATTGTACTTTCTGTGATATCAAATACAGGGTGGTCAAAAAAGAAGGTCTAAAGTTTTGCGGGTACCATAAAAGTCACTCAGTCTTAAATCTTGCAGAAGTTAAAACCATGCTCCATGGTTCTGGAGGCCGTTTCTTGAAAGTTTCGTTATCTTATCATTATTTTTATCGATTTGTTTGTTATCCATGGCTGATTTAACGAGAGGGTTAGGGGGTCTTGTAATATAACGATGTGGTATCTAAACAAATCGTAGGTCATTAAACACATTTTATAAGCTGATTAAACAAGATAATACTGCCTTTTATATAATATTTAATACAAATATCCCTGCATTACTGCATTATTTGGCATGTTCAGCGAAAATATTTGTTGAAAATCTTTCCAAAATAAGGATGAAACTGAGGGTTTGTAAATGGACTGGGTGTTTGTTTCACACCACCCGAGCAGTTGATCATTTGGAAATAATGTGACTCACAGTAAACTGTTCATAGTAAACTGTTCATCAGTTTGTTTGTTTCTGAATGGCAAAGTGTACAATATGCAATAAGGACACTTTTTCTGGGGACAATGTTTAATTTTACTTAAATTTGTGTGGAATATTTATATTCGCTAAATCAATTTTCCATTCGGAAAAACATTTACATATTTGTTACTGCGAATTAAGTTTTCAAAATAGCCAATGGATTAAATCACTTAATACTATCTGCATTAAATTACATATTCTATTGGCTAAATGATTTTTTGCGTAAATTGTTATAGTATTTCTAAAGAGTAACACATTTTATGTGCAATATTGAATTTCTATTTATACCAGTTCTTCAACTCGACAATGGGAAGAACTGCTCTACCTAAGTGACTAATATGTCATGATATGACATCTAAAAGAGTCAATAAAAGATATATATATATTTGAACCCTACCAAAATAAGTTTGTCTTTATTTACCAAATGATTTATTTTTCTGTAACTATTGGTTATGCATTTTACCGAAAGCTAATTTGCTATTTACCGAATGCAATAAAACAATATTCGCTAACTTTAAGTTGTTGTTCAATATTTTGTCACATGACCTCTAGTTTTGCAAAATGGAAGTGCGGCTATTCTACATCGTTTTCATTCTCTCTCTGATTTCAATGTTTATGGCGAATCCAGACGGTATTAGCGACGAAGATCCGCCCAATAGCATTGTAAGAGCCAATTTTTCTAATGGAAACATGCGCCCGAGGAGGTGCAAACATTCATGTTGATTTCAAAAATGGTTGATTTCAAAAATGGCGGACTTCAAATATATCACGTGACTGAAAGTCTCACAAGGAATCGAAAAAAAACGAAATTATCAAATGTGGCATTCGGTATTCACCAAATATAAATAATATATATACTGAATGTGTAAATAATTAATTGAATTATATGTGCGTTAGGGAAAACAAATTGATTCGCTGCATCGCACAAATACATGTGTAAATATCGAATGTTAATGCCAACACAAAGAAGTGAAACTATTTATAAATAAATTATAATATAAATTGTATAGATAAGATTATCATATTTGGTAAAATAAAAAACATTCAATAGATTTTTTTTATAGATTAACAATTTATTTCATCATATAAATATTCTCATACATAATAGCTTGCCAATCACCTTACTGGCATTATAGGCTAAGCTGAACAACATATTAAGTACAAATGTAATGTATGCGAGCATAAAGGCAAGATATGTAAAAAGGAGGGAAATGGGACAGGCTTGGGTTCATGTGTTATGATCTCAGTGAGGGAGTAGTGGGAATAGGTAATACTTGCATAGAGGGTCCCATAGAGAAATAAAACTATGATGTATAATGTTATGTGTTCTCTATCAAAAAGTTGGCAACAAGAGCAAAAAGTTCATTATTTTGTGCTAAGGATAGTATGTTTGATAGATCGGGTAAAGGTTTGGTAAATTTGTAAATTTGGTATGTATGGAAAACTTAATATACCGAATAAAGAAGCAATTTAAACACCATAGAGGGGCCAAGCCTATACACTATCATTCTTGCTCCTAAAAATCATTTTGCCGGTTTCACAAACATATTTAATTTTATGTGTACACAAATGAACAAATTAGATATACTTTCAAATTTTGCGTGAAAATAACAGGTCTGGTCGTTGAGTAAAACCAGAATAAAACAAAGCAGGTCACACAGTTGGGAACCTTCAGAGGAATGTATATCCTGACTTTCAAACAAAAATATTGATTTGGATTTGTAGTCTGGAACTTTGAGAAACTTAGATAGCACAGTTGTGTGACCTAGTTTGATGACCTTTGACCTTGAAAATTTTACATATTCAGAGCTCAGTAAGGTCTTTTGTGATTATAAGCTGACCAAAATTTACATCCAAAAATCAATTTGAAAAATCAGCTTTTTTGACCTTTCGAAGGTCACTGAAGGTCCTAAAACTAATGTCAGATTTGAACTCCTGGCAACTTGTAGATGATTTTCTATAAAATTTGGTCAAATTGAAGCAAGTTGAAAAATAACTTTTTTTTACTGTTTTTTTTACGTCAAATATCTCAAAAACAGTAAAAAATTGATGCTGACATATATTGAGCAATATGTAGGGAATGCTTAAATCTAGTAATGATGTAATTCATTGCAAGAAATGATGAAGTATAAGGCAAACTTTGAGAAACTTGTCAATCACAAAACCTGCCATTGACTTTATACATGAGAAAGTTTCCTGAAAATGACTAAGTCCTACTTTTTGTCAAATTTTATAGAGTAAACACCAAAAACTGTAATTCCAAGAGCTTTGAAATCTTCAGAGGACATAAGTTGCATATACAGCAACTACTACAACTTATTTGAAAGTTCTACTTCAACAAAGTGTCTAGTATTTACAGAAAATTCGACTTTTTGACGTCAAAATCAGCAATTTCTCAGAAACCAGGCGTACTTGGGAAATGGTGATGATAGGTCAAATAGGCATTATAGATATGCATAAAATGAATGTGAATATGACTCAATCCGAATAGCAGTTTTAATTTGTGCGGCCAATGTTGATGGACGGACTGACCAACGGACGGACGGATGGATGGACGGACCAACGGACGGACCAACAGACGGATGGACGCCTGGTCGATCCCATAGGCTCACTGTGTGAGCCAATAACCCCTGTCATAACTAATTTGGTGCCAAATATAATGATTTGGCACAAACTGAACGAGCCCGATAACGTGATGGTTCGAGAAACGGAATCTGCACATTTCGTTAATCAAGTCGTTAATTTCATGATTCGTTAATAATGAAACATTTTGAGAAACAGCCTTCTGGATAACTGCTGCAATATAAATGCTAAAGTAATTCACTGCTAAAAAAAATTTACAAATGCATAAAAAATACAAAATGCCCCTAGATATGCTGGATAGGGCAGTAAACATCTTCAACATTCACGTTGCTGTAGTAATCCAGAACTGTGGAGCATGGATTTACATGTAGAACATCATCCATAAATCAGGCATGTCTGTTTATGCCATCCAACATCTGCACGATTTAAGACTGAGTGACCTTTATGGTACCACCAAAAATTTAAGACCTTAATCTAAAATATGTGAGAATATCAGCCAGACCTCACTTTTTTGAACCACCCTGTACATATCTATGAAGAAGCCATGGTGATCAAGCCTTGTTCAATTTGCTAAAAAGTGAAAATTTTTGAAAAGTTGTCATATAACTTTTTGAAACTCTACAGGTATGTGTCGTAGGCTAGGATCAATAAATAAACCTTGAGATGAGACACCGCATTGAAAAAATTACTGGAAAAAATGACCACCCTTCAAAACCTCACTCAAACGAAGTGATACCTTTCTTTGCAACAATTCTCATATAAAGTCCCATATATACAGGCATCTGTCTCTTAAGGTGACCTAAAATGCTGCTTATTTTTTCGTAAAGCCACTCAGTAAAATTAAGATTTCTCTGCACCCTGATTTCAAATCAACATCATTCGAGTATCTATGTGTTCCTGACATGTTTGGGCATCCGGTAATGACAACGTCTACCCAATGTTTGCACGCAAAATTGACGTAATTCATGACTGAAATCGGGAAAAAAATATGTGATATTCTTTTAGAATTGTTTATAATAACTATTTACAAAAATGTTCCCGAGACACAAATCTATTTAGGTAAGGTTTGTTTTAAAGTTGAAAAGCCCCAATAAGACAATACAAACCCAGATAAAACCAAGAAGACTGCAGATTTCATGTAATGATTTACGTTCATGTAAACAAGTAAAGTACATATTGTGGGAAATTTAGGAATTCCCCACTTTGTGTTATTCTAATTAAAATGTAATTATCTTTGGTGAATTTAGAAGCTAATTGTTATTTGTAATTAACAAGTTAAGAGGGATTCTCCCAGGAGTTATTAATTACACTGGACCAAAAGGTAAGGGATATTTCCCCTAAAATTGGTCACGTGGGATCCCTGATTTACAATAGTTGAACCTTGGGCTTCGAGAAGAAGGCACACGAGGCTAATGGCGGCGATCGGCCCTGGGATTAGTCCAGGAACTTTGGAAGTTTAGTGGAATACAAATGGACGTCAGGAATAAAGGTAACTTACAGATGTTAGATGAATATTGTGTGCCACTATTGAGAGGTGTTTTGTGAATTGAGAAGTAGATTTATTGGACATTTTAGAGGGAAAAGCAAGAGAGAATTAGAACTGCATGTGGTGTGACTACCTGTAGATGACCTGAAGCCTGGAGTAAGGTATCGAGAATCAGGAAGACGCATGTGGTAAGATAGTCTTTTTCTATGGCTCGTATTCCCCGAGTCCTTTATGAAGTTATATTTATGATGTGTTGATCGTTTATGTAGTGAAAACGAGACATTTTGAAAGGTTGATGTATTATCATAGCCTGATCTGAGAATTCCTGTTCATTTGTCCATTTGTTTCCGAAAGTGTGTTATTATAGCCTCCCCGGTTAAGTTCTCCAGTCACAGTATCTACCAGTGAGCTGTGGGTATATACACTCATAGCAGAACTACCAGAGAGTGACTGAGGGTTGATTTCTGACAGATTTGCTAGGCACAGTCTTTGAATTATTGAGTGAATCCAGTATAGTAGTTTCTGTATTGTACTAACCTCAGTTTGAAAGTAACCTGACACGTCATTCATTAGTCTTCCAGTATCTAAAAGTGAGCTAGGAGTAATTACTCTGAGCGGAACTACCAGAGAGCAAACTACATGTAAGAGTGGGTAAATGAGGTTGAGGAGTAGCTTACTACGCAAGTTATTCTAGGAGTAATTGAGGAGTAACCTGGGAGCAGGAGGAGTAAGCCAAGCTTTATTTCATGAGTTATCTCGGAGTGACTCATGAGTAGAGTAAACCAGGAGTAATCTGAGAGCAGAAGGAGTAAACGAGGAGTAACCCTTGGAGTAATTAAGGAGCTACCTGAGATTAGGAGTAATTGTGAGAGTAATCAAGGAGTAATCGTATTAGCAGAAGAGGAGCAACTTGAGGAAATCAAGAGTAAATTGGAGTAAGCTGAAGAATAGCCAGGAGTATTATTAATGTTGATGTGAGGAGTAACCCAGAATATTAACCTTGTTTCTGAGGAGTAACCAGAGTAACGACCCTAGAAGAGACGAAGCAGCAGAGTGTATATGATTTTCTGGACATTGTGATTGATATTGGTTTATGAGTAATTTGGGGATGACAGACATTTGAGTTTTATTTTATTAAAGCATATGAGCAATAATAAGGACTTTGAGATTACTCTTTGAGTATAGGAGAATAAATAAAGACAATAGGCATACATCATTTGAGTAAATTGATATTTTATTGTAACCTTTCATTGTACAAATATATGTGTTTTTGTTGCCATTAGTTCTTGTCGTGTATGTTCTCTTAAGCCGCAGTACCACCAAACCAGGTCTGCGCCCACGTAGATAATCTGTGAGAATCCCATAATAAAAATAATTGTTTGTGACTGGACCTCCCCACACTACCACATTTTGGCCAGGTCCGACAATATAATCACCATATAAAACACTAGCCTACGTGACACTTAATAACATGTTCAAACTGAAATATAGATAATTTTCAACATAGCATTTGCCTCCGTGTTCTGTATGCCCCTCTACCTGCTTAATAAGGAAATGTATCTTCAAATAAAACCTTAGCCAAGTAGATTAGAGTCTCTGGAACACTTTTGTAATAGTTTTCACAGGCAATATTGTTTGTGAATCTCATATTTTGTATTCCCGATTTCAGTCATGAATTACGTCAATTTTGCATGCAAACTTTGCGTAGACGTTGTTATTCCCGGACACCCAAATGTGTCAGGAACACATAGATACTTGAATGATCTTGATTGGACATCAGGTTGCAGGGAAATCGTATTTTCCTGAGTGGCTTCACGAAAAAATAAAAAGGCTATACGCCTTGCTAATATACATGTTCTCCATGGTATCTGTCTCTTAACATATGTAGCCTAATACTTAATCTTTCTATTGCAGATTTTGTTTGGTTCTATAACATTGGGTATGAACGCTGTATTTCAAGTTTAACTGTGGCAAATGTATTTTTCGTCTGCTCGGAGTATGAGTATGCCAAATATCCCTTTGTGATTACGGAGATACAGATTAACAAGAAGCTTCAAATGAGGTATGATTTGTGACAGATATATTTATGTAGTGGCTGCACAATCGTGAAATGAAAAATAGAAAAAAGGCACAGACGTGAACAATATCGTACCTAAAACACAGCATTGTGGTCTTGTTGACCAAGAAAGCAAGATGGCCGCAGAAAAGTTAATCAGCTCTAGAACTTATCACTGTGTAACATATGTAACAAGTCTTGAAAGTGAAGATTTTAGGACGGAAAATCCAAAATGGCCACCTTAAAATTTACCCAGAATGCCCAAAAACTAATCAGTTCTTGACGTTGATATGTAGAAACATCCCTGAAAATTTCAACTGAATCCCTAAAATGGTTTGGCTGAAAACCTGTAGACAAGTCTTGAAAGTGAAGATTTTAGGACGGAAAATCCAAAATGGCCACCTTAAAATATACCCAGAATGCCCAAAAACTAATCAGTTCTTGACGTTGATATGTAGAAACATCCATGAAAATTTCAGATGAATCCCTCAAATGGTTTGGCTGAAAACCTGTAGACAAGTCTTGAAAGTGAAGATTTTAGGACGGAAAATCCAAAATGGCCACCTTAAAATTTACCCAGAATGCCCAAATACTAATCAGTTCTTGACGTTGATATGTAGAAACATCTGATACTGATACTACTACACATACGATCGTGCCGGCATCTGTGTCTATAACTAATGGAATAGATTCTCTTCATATATTAAAAATAATGATTTCATTTAGCTTATATCCTATCAGACCACATAAAATACACAGCACTTCATTTTATTTTCTGCAATAGAGCTTATCAGCATTACAACTGAATTAAAATCAACTGTTACAGTCACAGGGAAGACTGGCTCAATCATTGTTTCTTTGAGTGTTAGCCTTAGTTTGGCATATTGGGCGTTGCTTCACTCATGACTACTGTGGTTGTGATCATACATGTAGATCTTTTTTGTTGTGTTTTGTGTTACTCCTTGGTCAATCAAATTGTGTTTGTGCCAACTTATGATTCAGTAGGTGATGTGGATTCAGGAAAAGTAATCACAATATAGAATATCAATGTCTGAATGAATGGAAACAATTAGTAGTTGGGAATGGAAAAATATTTTTTGCATTATCAATCAGATTCAATTAAAAATAAGAATGAGTATTTTCATCACCCACCTATACATTCCTGACTTGAAGTGCTTCCTAGACCATGAGTCCATTGCCCATCTGGACAAGACATGCATTCTGATTGGCCAGTAAGGTTCTGGAATGTCCCAAGAGGACACTGGGTACAAACTGTCCCATTACCGCCATTATAATAACCAACTGGACATGGCACTGAAAGTATACCCACAAATGATTGATAAAAGTGTGTCTGCTGTAAATGGTTTGTTAAAGTTCACTCTAAAAAACCAGAATTAAACATTCATATTTATTACATGTACATTAAATACATTATAGAAACCACCCATTCTGAAATATCCTTTGATTTTTCAATGGAATAAGATTTGAATTCTAGTTGAACATGAGGTCATTCCTTATCACATAGTCCCCGCCCACTTAGTTGCCCTGTCAACCGTCACACATTACATATTTGTCATGCTAGATAAACTATAGTCATGCACAAAAATGTGAGTGTATGATATTACGTGAGTGTCACACAAATCATGAATTATTTTGAGAATAAAATCAAGCATATGATGAAGTTCAAATTAACTACATTAATTTTTGATTAACTTCCCCAGTTGCCCATCAGACATTAGCCATAAAATTCTATACATGGTATTGAAGTTATCAAAAATTACATTTCTTCATGAAAAATTAGTGGCCACTTTGAGATTCAGCAGCCATCTCGAAAATTTCTTCGAAGTGAACCAATTCCATCAACTAGTATATAAGTACTTTGTAAACTTACAGCAAAGACGTGTGTTATTCTCATCTCTGATCAACAGGTTGCCTGGGCACTCAAAGCCAACGTCAATCATGTTTTGATGAGTACCAGTTATAAAAGGACAGTCTGCAACCTGAATCTCATTCACCCCAGAAAAAAAATCCACAAGTCTTGAGTCATAGTTTCGTATACTCAGATCTTCCATTGCTGAGAGGCATTCAGTGTATGGTTGCAGGGAATATTGGAGAGGTGTGTATTTCTGGACTATCCTATATATGAAGTGAACCTAAAAAATAAAGCAAACATATTTGTGAGTTAGCTGTTAGCATCCCTACCCCCGTGTTGCTATAGCAACCATTTTAATGCTTTACTTTTGCTTTGCAACTTCCCTGTCTCAAAGTCGAAATTATTTTATCATCTCTATGAGTGCTTTTCCTGGAGGTAATACATTGATCTAACACATGCACCTGTTTATAATTATGAGGTGGCAGATGAGACCTCAAAATGATGACTGGACCATGGATGACAACCCTAAACCTGGGAGGCCAAACGCCTCACTTTGTTACGGTGGAAGAAATTGCTAAGAGCCTAACAGGACAGGGTGAGAATTAAGGCATCCAAAGTACATTACATCTAAAGGCCTATATTATGAGAAAATGTGAAATGGGGGACACTTTACAATATACATCCATTAAATCTAGGATGTGCTCCTTGTGATTTGGTATCTTAAAATATGTTTTTAGCATACTTCTTATAGCTACACAAAATGGTATTTGTTGATTAATTATTTCATATTTTAATTTTTTTAAATTTTTTTTGACGTGACAAAAAACCTGCCCCATCCTACCCAAACTCACCAACTTGATTTTATTATAGTATCAACATAGTATCATCAATCGAAATTAAACTTTGTAGAATAATCAAAATATCTTTAAGGAATTATCACTGAAAATTTCATGGAAAATATCAAGTATTGATAAAGTAAGAGCATATAGTGCATTACTCCTGGGACAACTCTTGTATATGACAAAAAATAAAAATAAAAAGGTTTTAGACTAAATCAATTGAACAACTCACTTGATTCTTTAGTGGAACTGGTAATAGCCAATATGGCCCACTTGTGGGTTGACCTTCCAAACTGTCAACTTGGAAAAATGTCAAATCAACTGTGTAACCCCCATCGTCAGCTTTGCACAGTGTCTCAAAGGATGTCTTTGGGTCAGTTAAATTATTCAATCTTAAAAATAGATTCATAAATGATACCAGCAGTAATTAAGTAATAAAATAAGACAATGTTTTATATTTTCGAGGTTATAAGAAATTTCAAAGCATAGGATTTATCTCTGTAAATATTGTTTATCAATGTTTGAATTCTTTGGATATTAACACATAAATGAAATTCTTAAATACATTTTGATTTAGACAGACAGTATTGTTATAGTGTTTCATGGATTGATTTCATAATGATATTTTGTATTGCAAATTTAATTTGGAAATTACTGTAATATTTGCATATTGCACACAGGATGGGACCAGAAGATTTTTATATTTTTATAAACATTTTCATCACAACTTTGCAAGTATTAGTGAGACCTAGAGTCATTAACATAAAATAATAAATTTTCTCACGTCCAGATTTGAAACTGATCCCCACAACCAACAATCCCCAATAGAGGACAAAAATTTATTTTTTTGTGAATTAGCACCTTCAAACAGAGGTGAATGTCATCTGCATGGAGTAGCTATAACACAGGGACATAGAGGACACATTTTCAATGCCACCCCTTGTTATAGTTATTACCTATTTAGCAATTCATTGTAGGAAATATTGGCACAAGTATCGTTGATGCTTTCTGATGTTGTTTGATATTTGAGTCGATATTCAATGTTGTATGAAGGTGTCACAACAGAGGCTGAAATCAATCATAAAACACTGACAATCTTTGCGTTAAAGAACATTAAATAATGTTGGCCATCAAAACAGAAACCATTGCAAAACATGGACAGTACATACAATATTCAAGAAAATGTTTTATCTAGCAAACATCTCAAGTCGTAATAATGATAATAACTTGTGATAAAATAACAGTTAACTTTACTTGTATTACATTACATACTTTTACCATGGGGAGTAAGTCATCCCCTCTCCATTCTACCCTATTATAAACAGTTTATAATAGGGTAGAATGGAGAGGGGATGACTTACTCTCCGTGACATTAACATTGCGTGTACATGAACACTTACTGACACAACCAGGTGGTACCACCTTTGGTATCCATGATGACCCATTACATGTGTATGTTGTTGTTTGGTTGATATCATAGAAAGTGTATCCAGGATTACAGCTTATAGTGCAATTCCAGCCATTGGAGCCAGTAGCCACACATGTCTTAACACCATTTGCAGGGGCAGTTAACAGGTCAGGATGACATGGGGATGCTGAAAGATGCATAAATAGTGATGCCTGACTTTTTTGGATCATACTTTTCTGCCTCCACCAACCTACCTACCAACCAATGAAGGGTCAGATTTTTTTCAATAACTCTTGTATAACTTTTGCCAGTGATACCACTATTCAACCCATATAATTCGGAGTTTATCATTTATTCAATGGTGGGTTGCATGTACCTTGGACATACTTTACACGAATAAGCTTTTGATGATTTTGATTTTGATGATATTTTGATTTTTGAGGAAATCAATTGATCAATCTGAACAACTATACCTTATAATGCTTGGTTCTTAGATTCATTAAAAACTAAAAACAAGCATTAACATGTAAAATATTGTCACCACCTGCCATTTGTTACATGCAGTGACCACCGAATGCCAACAGCTGTTCACAGAAAAGTTGGAGACTATAACAATCTGTCACAACTATTGGTGGTTACATAAAATGACATTGTCTATCTAGTTCTTTATAGAACCACAATGCACTATTTTACATTCTTCCAAGGCCCAACTTTTTTGTATTCCAGCCTTGGCTAGAGACTTGAGTAAGCTAATTACATGCCCTGTTTTGAATTCCAAAATGACAAACTAGAACATTTAGCAAGACATTCAGATTATAGACCAATTAGGCTCTTATCATCACTGACTTTAATTATTACCTGTTGCGACAACCTGAAAAGTACAGGAGGCATTTAATCCAGTGACATCAGTAGCAGTTGCAGTGACATCTATGGGTAGGGGAAGAGTTGTAGCATTTACAAAAGATGGCTCAAAGGTGATTCTAGTAGATCCATAGCTACTATTGACACTAGCCATCCGCTCAGTGAGGTTCACTGCATTTGGACCTGTGACATCTAGAAACATCCTATATGACTCTGGACACTGAATTGTAGGATTCATGAAGATTTCTGAAATCAGATATATTAGTAAAGCTATTCCAAAAGAAATTTTATTAAATGACTAGTCATTTTGGACATTACAAGTACATGATAGAAATATCCAGAAAGTAGAAGAATAGTATTTTCTCCTTTTGACAAAATCTATACTCATGATGTGACATAACGTCATGTCTAAAATTCTGGAGCAGAGGTCTTATGACCATAAGGCATTAGCATATTAGCTTCCGAAGATTATGATAATAATGTGCTAATGTTTTGACCAATCCTAATATTTTATATGTATTTCGTACTTTATTTCATAATTGAACTTTGTTATTCATTTTGTTGGAAACATAAGAATTCCTTTTATAATTAAGTTCTGTCATTGTTAATGCTTACCTTCTACAATAATACTAATGGAACAATTAGCAGAGTTCCCAGCATGATCTGTTGCCATGTAAACAACATCAATGTTCTCAACAATCAACTCATCACCATGGAAACCTAATGGGGTGATGGATACACTGGCAACCAGCCCTGAGTTGTCAGTTATCATTGGTGGAACAAAGAGGGAACTAATGTTGCCATATGGTGTTGTTTTGATAAGGGGCACAGTGCAGTTAACAACAGGAGCTTCAACATCTGAAATTAATAAATACAATTGAACTAAAATGTACATGTATATCATCATTCTCCTAGCACTTGTTCAGTCCAATCGTGCCTCTTTCCCTTATCTCATGCAGATTGTAAAAAATTTGGCCTACTTTTAAAAATATACATATTCGTGTTTTCTACCAATCAAATTTACCAAATTTTATGATATATTCATTTCTAAAGAAATAAAAATTAATTCCTGAGAAAAATATTAAGTGATTCGAAAGGAACTGTTGAAAATAAGTAAATACTTAGGATTTGTCATATTCTAAATTCAGAAACCTTTCAAAAATCAAATAGTCTTCGACAACTCAAGCAATCCAAGGAACAATCATCAGAATGACAAATTTATCATGCATATTTGCACACAAGATTTGCCCCATTCACCATTGTATATTCTTTCATTATAGCTCAAAATTGTACAGTTATTGCCTGAAAAGATAAACAAGTAGATGAACAGATGATGGGGATGGATGGATGAACTAGAAGGGACAGAGAGTGTAAATTGTTGCAAGCAATCATTTAAAAATTTTCTTAACAATCCTAATTTCATTTTCTGAAATCTTTTATATATTACTGATGAATCAGATATGTCATTAAGCTGACAGTCATAAAGATAAAACAGAAATTCTAGTGACCAGTTCATATGGTTAAAATAACAAAATAATGAAATGTAACCATGTGTCTACTTATCAGTTTGTTATATGTCATCCACCCTGCTAGGTTACATTGTGGAACTCAGCCAAACATGACACTGAAGGCAGTATTCTGAGGTTATAAAATCTAAATCTAAATAATTTCCCATTTGCAGCCCCTTAGAGATTTCCAGAATTGAACAAAGTAGCAAACGTTGCGATCTTTCAACTTTAGTTCGTTGTTTTTCACCACTTTATGTGTAGTGTTTTCATTTAGGAGGCGGTCTTATTTGAATGCATCATTTCAGGTCTTTATGAATCAATAAGCAGACTAAAAATTCAAATTTAGCAGTTTCGTTCGTTGCATACTGGGCCTGTTAGGCACGAAAGACAACTAGTCACATGATCAGACACGTGTTGCGTGATCAGTCACGTGAGCTTGCAAAATGGACAATCTAAATTTCCAAAAATTCTGCTAAGATCTATATCGATATGTTGTTGCCTTCATTGTCGTGTTTGGCTGCGTTCCACAATGTAACCTAGCAGGATGGATGACATAGAACAAACTGATAAGTAGACACATGGTTACATTTCATTATTTCATTATTTTAACCATATGAACAGGTCACTAGAATTTCTGTTTTATCTTTAGTTGCAGATCATTTTCAGAAATAATGAAAACATATTGAAAATATATTGAGAAATGAACTCAACTTACCAATGCAGGTTGGCACAAGGGGCATGCTGGCTATGTTTCTGTCCATTGTAATTCTTCTCCACTCCACAGATGTATTATCAGGGGTTGTGAAACACTGTAGGGGCTCAGGGGGATAAGGAGTGTAGCCTCTACGTTCACATGTGTAACTGACCACTTCTCCCTCCTCATAGGTTGTGGCTTGTTGTATACCATCAGGTGGGGTCCCAGGGTCTTGGCATGTCAAACCTTGGAAAAATTCAACATATTGTTAAAAATGTTAAATACACAATGGGCTTTCAACTAGTTGAAAAGTCAATTGTGTCTTAAGTCTGACTTCAGGTTCCAAGTGAAGATACCAAATATCTGAAAATGCCCTTGTGCTCCAGGTACAATTTAATGTTAAAACTACATGACTGTGTAATGTGTATGATTCACTTGTCAGGCCCGTAGCCAGGGGGGGTTCGCAGGGTTCGGACGAACCCCCCCCCCCTGGCCAAAAATTCTTTCAAAATCATGCAGTTTTTAACCATTTTGAGCACTTCTCAAGTGATTTTAGTCATATTTGGGCCAAAATTGTCAAATGTGAACCCCCCCTGGAAATTTTTGAAAACAGAACCCCCCCTTGGCAAATCCTGGCTACGGGCCTGCTTGTGAACACATGTACAGTTATGTATGTTAGGCCTGCTTCCAAAGTGTTAAAAGGGCACACTGCTTACCTTTACATCTTAATGTTCCATAGTCCCAAGATCCATGTTGTGTACAATGCACTCTATTGTCACCCAGTGAGCTGTTGCCCCGTAATGTATAAAGCTGTTTGCAAGTGACAGTGAAGCTACTCCCATAGAGAGTATTAGGGTAGGCATAGGGCTCACTCCCTGGTATACGGTCAGGTCTGCCACAGCTCACAACTACAATGTAGAAATACAATGTGCCATTGTGTCTTAACAGAGGACTGAAGGGAGTATATGGCAAATCATCCTCCAAAAAATGCCTTTGCACTGTCATAATGAGATACCATGCCATACATCCATATTCCAAAGTATTATCCTCCATGATCAAGGTGTACATTATCAAACAAATATCATGTTAATACATTTGATGTCCTTTCTGATGGTATTTTGTTTATGATTTCTCAGACAAGATGTTAAATACTAACATTGCATTAACAAAACTAACCTGGACACTCCAAGGAATTACCCTGTAGTTCATACTGTTTATTGAGTTTATTATACACACACTCGCGTGTGTGCAGAGTTGGAGTGGGCAGGCCTGTGGAACATGTCATATTCACTCCTTTCTCATAGAGAACATCTCCCTTCGGAGTCACAGAGGTAGGTGCATAGAGTGTGTGATTGAAGTTACTTGATTTACATGTTGCAGCTGAAAATAATAAAAAAAATCTAAACTCATACAATCAGTTTCGGATATAAACATATAGTTATATAAACATATAAATATATAAGCACAAATGCCAAAGGGAAGGTTGACTAAAAAAATTAAAGACGGTTATGTTTTGTCTTGTTATTAGTATGAAGATGGATTTTGGAATTTATTTAATTTTCCACAAAATGACCCCTTGAAGATGAAAGGCTTAATTAAACAACATTGTAACATTACCTGTGCATGTAGGTGGGGCATTATCCCACTCTGCATTAATACCACATGTGATAATGGTGACCTCTTGTGGCAGATACCCAATATCACACTGGTAAGACAGGGTATCTTCATAGTAGTACATCTGATTAGTGCTTAAAGCTACACCATAAGGTATTACTAATGAGGGGGTGAGACACTGGACACCTGGAATCAACATCATTATAAATAATTTCATATAATTAATTTATTTATTTATTTGTATTATACTAATAAGTACATGTACATGCATCATAATAAAATATATAACTAAGTACACTTTAATGTAACAATCAGTACAAACATAATTATTCTTGTGTTTTGTCTGCCCTAAATGTTACATCCATACATGTATGAGGAATATAAATTACAAGAACAAACTTAGTAATCAACTTACGAACACATGTGTGGTTAATATAGTAAACATCACCCTCTCGAAGACCATCCTCAGAGTTGGCCAGGTTGATACTACTGATCCCTGGGCTATCATACAATACATAACCATTGAAGCATGAACAGTAGTAGGAGCCTGGTATATTGTTGCATGTCTGGCTACATCCCATCTGAGCTATGGGATTCACCTGTGCACATTCATTGATGTCTGCAAGTAGATAATGTGAGTTCTTCTTCACATAAGTTGTTATTAATTGTGTTTTTGGAACCAGTTTCACAACCTCCAAAAAAGGAGACCATTTTGCTGATAAGGAATTAAAGTTCAACAATTTAAGATGTTTTTAAATATGGCAGACAAGTTGATATTAATCCCAGAAAAAATAATGCGAGAGACATTTAAGACATTGCTGGCAATTAAAATTCTTGAAAATATTTTTTGAATAACATTTAAATCTTATAAAAATGAAATACAGGTGATGCAGCCTGCATACATTACAGATATTTTTTTCATTTGACACATCAGATATAATTTCAATTTTAGAAAAATTAATTTAAATAGTGACCTCAGGAAGTTATCATATCATACCTGGATAAACGAAATATAAATTATTTTGCTCTATAAATCCTCTACCTGTACATGTGAAGTTGTCAGGTTCTAAGTTGTAGCCAGGTTTACAAGAACACGTGAAACTTCCCATTGTATTGCTACACTCATGTTGACAGTTGTCTAGGTTACCTGAACACTCATCAACATCTGGAACAATTGAAATACACATTTAGTCATGAAATCATTTTGAAATGCATCATATATTGTGATTTTTAAACAACCCAACATTTGATCTCAAACTTTTACTTGTACCTGGACATTAGTGAATATGAAGTTTTGGCAAACCAGATTCAATTCTTATGCTAGGCATAAGAGCAGATCTGTTATTATGCCCGGCATAAGAGTAATATATCCTAAATGCCTGTATAAGAATAAATCTTTCCTAATGTCTGGTCTGGTCTGTCTTAATTAGGTGTATTTTAAAACCATAGAGTAGAACAACTTGTAAATAGCATACCTATACCTGAAAATAGTGTCAAGCTCTGTTTTCACGCATTATTGATTAAATTCATTTCAATAGTATAGTTTCTACATAGCTGAATAAAGTTGAAATAATAGATGTCACCCCTGTCAGTCTTTATTTTTGCTTGGGCCAGACTGCCACAGCCTTCCATGTTATAAACTTGCAATAGTCACTTAATTTAATGATTTATGAAAAGTGTTGGTTGAATCTGTCTGAAACTCAAATGACATACAACGGGGTGATATTGTCAATGTACATATTGTGATTAATCATAAAATTTTGGGTTGTCAAACAAAGGTTTTAAAGAATCTTATCATTGCGTCAATGGGGATATGGCCCAAGTTTTTTTAAAAGTCATTGAAAATGATTTAATTGATTAAACTGCATAAATCAAAGTTATTTTTGTGGAAAACCTTTCACTTAATTCAAATATGCTATTAAAAAGAAAGAAAAGTATTAGTTGCTAGAAGTTAAAAGTGCAAATCTCTTAAAATATTATGAAAAACCAAGAATAAGGGAGAATTCAAAGAAGCTATATTGAAACTCCTCTATTGAATGAAAACACGTTCACAATTTGGCTGTAAAGTAAATGTAGTATTGAAACATTCATACCTTGGCATACAGGTAAATCAGTAAATGTTTGGTTCTCATTACAGATAGTCATATTGGTGGTTAGTATTTTGTATCCTGCATCACATTCTATGGTGACCTGGTCATTGTAATATATCCTCATACTGGTAGTGACTCGTCCATTCTCTATTTCTGGTTTACTACATTTGAGCCCTGTAACCAATCAGACATTTCTTACAGATACAGATAACATATTCTTTCATTAAACACATGTTTTTTCCCAATGATGTTTAATAGGAAACTGACTTCATTTTCAATCCCACGGATTAGTTAAAGAATCTGATTACTTTAGAACTTTTGATTTTACGATTCATTGTAATTTTTATTGGTAAGCCCCTTAAAAATATGCACAGGGTATCAAATGAGTCTAGCCAGTCTTAGGCTCAACAAGTAAATAGTTTGCTCAACAGGCGAGTGGCGAGGTAAGTCCATTCATATTTTATTCATACTTTTCAACATTTTTCATTCCAATTTCTACAAGGATAATGCATAAAGGTTCATGTGCAGTATGGCAAGTGATTTTAGACATAACCATATCTTTCACCATGAGTACTTCCTATCCATAAATACGATGGTTTTTATTATAACAATATGTTTTCTTTCAAGTTAAGTCCCCATGATAGTAAAATATCAATCCAATTCTCTGAAAAATTATGGTTTTGGACCCGACTATAGCATCTTCTAAAAAATGTTAAGACTTATTTTCTAAAAAGAGGATCTTGTTTTTCTCCTAAATTAACAAATTCTGAAAAGGGGATGGGTATTAAAATGCATTAAACGACATATGCCATGTTATTTTCCCATAGGGAAAACTCATGCTATCCATTGTTTTTAGCATAACTTTGGTCATTGAAAATTGATATCTTCAGAACTAGACTCTCAATACCATTCTATTTTTGAAGCAATTTTAGACATATTTTTTTAAAACCACTGTATTTATGCCCAGAAAGTACTCATGGTGAAAGATATGACTAAAATCACTTGCCATACTGCACATGGACCTTTACCTTTGTTTTCCAGTTAAAAATGACTGTGCCTTAAAAATGACTCCAATATTATCAAATCTGTTTCATTTCAGCCTGAGAACCAGAAACACCTATTTTTGGAACATCTAGTACACTTTGTAGATTTTACCAAAACTGACTTTGAACTGTGCATGTTAGTCTACCTACTTGAGCATGTTGGCAGGGCCTCGGACCACCCAGTTTGAGTACATAGGTTCAATGGAGCTCCCTCCATCTGAAAACCTGGTTGACACTCATACTTATACAGTGAGCCATATTCTGTCCCATCCCCAAATAACAGAGACTTCAGGGCATTGCTCACATTACTGATTACTGGACATGTAGAAGCTGGAAGACGAAGAAATGTTATTGAAGAAAATATGAATTCATTTAAAGACATGTAAACAAAAAGTGTCACCAATATTGATCTGTAATTATTTTGACATCATTTTGAAGAACCCTATTCTTTGGGGACTGAAATGCTAATGCAATGCTACTGACCAATCTCTGACCAATCAAAATTGAGTATTTAGATTTAAGTTCTAACACATGTAGTTCACCTTCACATGCAGGTGCTGTTGTCCAGGTGCCATTAGCCTGGCATGTTATAGATGGTGAGCCAACAAGGAAGTAAACACCAAAGCATCTATAGGTGGCAGTTAAATTGTATGTCACCCCAGTGGAGGTGTAAACATAGCCATGTTCTACCTTTGGAGGTGCCCCGCAATATGCACCTGGAAAATCAATAATAGAAGCATTAAATATTAACAAATTTAGGGAAAAGACCTAAAAGTAATACAAAACAAAAACACAGCAAGAAAAAGAAACATCTAAAAGCAGAACCAGTCATAAGGGAATGAGACCTACATGTATAATATTCCTAACAATGAGTCAACACATGAAACAGTTTGCAGGTGCAGCTTATGAAGTAAAATATCCAACAAATGAGTACATAGATGAGTTACTGTTTTACAGTTAGTCATCTCCTAATTGGGATATCTTGCATTAGGTACCCTTTTTAATGTGAATGATTATCTATGATATTTCATAATTGATGACATAATTATAGGATATCCTATGATTTTGAGGGATATCATTTTTATCTACGAGGTGATATTGATATGCATATATCAATATCGACGAGTAGATTAAAATGATATTCTGAAAAAGTCATAGAATGTTCTTATTATCCTACACTTACTAGTAGTGTATCATAGAAAAATAAATTTTATATCAAATAGTTCAATTTGGCAGGAAATCAACAAGCGGAGTATATCGTCACAATATCCTCCGCATATTGGTTTCCCGGAGTATATTGTCACGATATCCTCCGAATATTGGTTTTCCGGAGTATACCGTAGTGATATCCTCCAGTTATTCATTTTGCCAATAGATATCAAATTTATGTTTTGATGTTATTATACATATAGTACACTAAGTGTATGATAATTGATTATAACTCACCCATACAATTTGGATAATGGTGTATATCCCATACGCCTTTATAACGGCATTCCATAGACACTGATGTGGTCCCTATGTAATACTGCTGCTTGAAGACATGGCCCACACTACAGGTGATAGTAGAGTTGGACATATAGCTCTTGTAGCTACCAATGTTAGAGGCACTGGTGTTGATGATGGTGTCTGATGAAAAGCCTAATGCAATATCTGGGCAATCTGGAGCAGTATAAAAGTATAATTGCTTGTCAAACACTTGTTTGGAATAATTTTAATGTTGAACCCAATTAGAATAAATGTTTGATCTCACAATGAAAAACTTTCTTTTTATAATCATTTGTCAAAATGAGCAGATTTCAACAACTCATATAACCAGGCATGTTAGATAAAGCCTGTGTTTTCCTTCAATATTAAAACAGTGCACCATTCAGCACATATAAAAAGAAATACTTTTTGATTTAACTGTTATGAGATGAAATTGCTCCAGAATGTAGAATGACATTATAACAATATATCCTGCAACTGTCAGGACTTTCAGTTTCAAAATAAAAAGTTATGGTTGTTATGGTAACGGGAGTCGGGAGTAAGTGGAGCAACGTCACAACTGTGTTGTACAAATCTCTTTCCTGCTCATATGATCTTGGCACTCCACCATCTATTCCTATATTATATCAAATTATGTACCACAACAGCATAGGGATTAGTACTGTAACATTATTTGATCATTTCATATTACTTCTATCATTGAATATTCAGTATTTTCCCCATTATCTATACATTCTTGGTGCATCTTGACTGGCGATTCAAAGACCTGACAAAACCGCTTCTGTCCATCTCTCAGATTGCTGATAACATTGGCTTCCAGCTGAGTCTCATTTGTATATTGAACTTTTTATAAATATTGCCCTCAAATGGTCAATAAGGTAGAAGTCTTAAGAGGCTTTAACAGGTAAATATGGGGCATTGTAGGTTTAATGTCAAGACACTCCATTGTAAGATTTGTTTTTTGCTTTGTGAATTGGTGCATCGTGGATATGCGATATTGACTTTCCTACTAATGACCAGGGACCATTCTTCTAGGCACTTGTATAATATTTCTTTGATTATACTGGTTAGTGACATAACATAGTTCTGATATGCAATAACATCATTATATAAAAGAAAACACTATGGCAGCAATAATACAATGATGAACAAAACAAAAGATAGATAGAAGATACAACTAAAAAAACTGTTTCAAATGGTTGTCTTTTAGCAATTTTTCACATTTTAGCATTGTTCTGGAACTGCTCTGCATACAATGTACCTCTCATAACAACCGTAACTTGAACACATTTAGACTATATGTGATGAAAGTTGGTAGATATATTGTAATATTGTTCCTCTACAATCTGTGGCAATTTCATTTCAAAAAACCCAAATTTCTTAAAATAAGAGTATTTGTATCTTTACTTTCCGGACACCCTGTATATAGAGGGAAAGATATCATCTTTGGGGTTGCACTTTTTAAACTTACAAACACATTTTAAAACTTGTATACAACTGACATGGTTAGTCTCAATTAAGGATATACAAGGTGGCACAATAAGTCCATATTTTCACATATAATTGGTTATGGCATTCCCTAAGTAAATATTTAATAAAAAGTTGTAGCAAATAATATGGACATTTTTTTGGCCAACCATGTGAAAGTACCTCTGGAGAATGTATATGCATATCCATTAGCATTGTCAATGACATCTGTAGTCATCTGAACGGAGAATGATCCATTGTTATAAGTGGCTGCAAATGATGTGTTGACTCTACTTAACTCTCCTAGCAGAGTTGGAGACCCACCACTGGTATCAAACACCTGTGAACATAACATTGATTTATGATTCATTTACAATATTGAGGAAATGTGAAGGTGTTCTGTATTAGTGAGATACTGTAACCTTTAAAGTATTTTCACATTCTATTTAATTTGATAATGTTTACTGAGGTAAGGAGACTTGCCCTTAAAGAAAAAAGCCATGGTATCCCATGGTACGTCCATGGTAATCCATGGCTTCCATGGAAATTCATGGTTTTTCATGTTATTTTCCATGGAAATTCATGGACACCCATGGTAATCTTCCATGGATATTTACCATGATTTTCCATGGTAATCAGTGGCTTGGTAATTGTTTTTTCATGGATGTATCATGGCTTTTACCAGGACACATGGAGATCCAAGTTGGACTCACTGAGACTTATCATTGAGAAAAAAGGGTGGACATTTCATGTTTTTTAGGTTTAGCAGGAACATTTGTCAAATATTAAACTCAGCTTCCTTACAAATTAGAAAATATGTGAAAATTATGTAATTTTTCTAAAAAGAAATATGATAATGCAGTTAAAGTAACTTTCTATGATTTCAACTAAAAATTAAAACCCTTGGAAATATTAAATATGGTTTAAGTGCCATATATAAAAATTTATTTTAGAAATATTGTGGATCTAAATGAAAAAAAACAAAAATAAAGAATAAAAACATAATCCACCGGAGGGATTTGAACCCAGATCTTTTGGAATAAAAGTCTGTTTGAGCCCAAAGCTCTAACCACTACACCAAACTGCCAAAGCTTCATGAAGGAAGAAATTCTTTATCTATATAATCATGGACGAAAAAAGTCTTATTTACATGCTTAAATTTCTTAAAAATGATCAGCATTACTACTAATAATAACATTTTGCATGTCTGAGTAAGTATTTTGATCTACATTTAGGATAAATGTTGTTTTATTCAGTTTTCATTTTGGGTATGACTTCCTGTCAAAACAGTGTTAAAAATGCAGGGCTCAACAAAAATTTTCAATTAGAAAATGATATATATCCTTTGATCAGCTGTTTTTGGCACCTGAACTCATCCTACTAGAAAGGTAAGAGCATTTTCTTGAGACATATGGCTCGAAATCTCACATTTCTCCCTCTAAGTCTTAGAAAGATACTTTAATACAGCACAGAGTAGGCCACAAGAATTCAAAGAGAAATGTGTATTGGGCTTTTGTGCATGTCAAGACTAGATTGAGATTGAGTATTTTTTAGGCCAAACACTTCTAGCCTTTGGAAAAAATTTAGTCAAACTAGCCCTACCTCTGTTTTGTTTCAATACTTTTTTATTCTTTCTTTAATATTCAGTAATGAAAATTAATATGAAAATCAGAAATAATTTCAAAAATAAATAACTCTTTTTCTTAAATTACATGTCTTACTATTTAGAATGCAAATAAAAACCAAGTTTTTTTTTGAAGTTGAGGAAACAGCAATCAAAAGCCATGGAAGTTGGTTGATTGCAATTGAAAGCCATGCTTTTCCATTGTTATTTCTTTGATGTTTTAGAAAGTGCAATCAAAAGCCATGGTTTTCCATGGTTATTCTTTTGATCTTTTGAAAGTCCATGGTTTTCCATGGGCTATTTGTTTGGTCTTTTGGATGCAGAAAAAAGAATAATGCATAATGAACTTTTCCAAATTAAGTCTCATTTAACCTTTATGAGCACATTGTCTGAAAAATCCATAGAAAAGTATATACTTTTTAGAATTTTGACAAATTAAACACAAGCCTATGGCTGCAAACAGAAATGTAATGCCTAAGTGATCAAAAATCTATTTGTCTGTGTACTAAGATTATTATATATAATCCATTTAAAAAGAAGTCATGAAGGAGGGAGGGGGGTTAACTGCACCATTTGGCTTAAAACATATACCTTAAGTAATCCAAAATTGATTTGTTTTGAATAGGAATATAAAATCATTTGCATGATTTTTTAAAAAATATTTGGTTGTCATTGTTCTATGTGAATTAGGTTTCTTGACTCTCAGATTAGTGTTAAAATTTAATCTCTTTGCAACAGATAATATAGTTAATTTGCATAATTCTAAAATACATTACTCTCTAGTGCTTCCTCTTCAATAATTATAATTGTCTGTGAGTGTAGACAGTGCAAGTCAAAAATTCATTGTTGATCAAATAAAATTAAATAGGATTAAAAACTCCAAGTAAACATGTCTCACCGCTCTGCAATAAGGGAATCTAGAAAGCTGATTTTGTTTTTTTAAATTTGTGCCAAAGTTTCGTGATTGCAAATCCCAGCAAACAGATTATTAATTGTAATTGTGGGGTCAGATCATCAAGTCAATTATAAGTGAAATAGAAAGTTCTTTATCATATAACAATATGTACAGGATGAACTAAACATGATTCAGATTATGAAAATAAGGTGTATGGTTGTAGTTCAGGCCCGTAGCCAGCTTTTGCCAAGGGGTTGACTTTCTAAAAATTTGAGGGGACATCATATTCTTCTCTCCGTGATTAGTCTCAATCCAGCTTGGATTCATTCATTAAAACATAGATTCAATTTGGAAGATTTTGGTAGATACAAAACCTGCCAAAATTGTTAATTTTACAACTCCAAGTCATTTTATATATGTATTATGGTAAAAACATGGCATGTCCATGAAAAACCAATTACCAAACCACTAATTACCATGGAAGGTCATGGTAAATATCCATGGAAGATTACCATGGACGTCCATGAAATTCCATGGAAAATAACATGAAAAACCATGAATTTCCATGGAAAATCATGGATAACCATGGACGCACCATGGAATAGCATGGCTACCAGGGCTTTTTCTTAAGGGTAACCATATGAGATACAAGAACACAAATGTGTACAACATGTCCCCACCAATAGGTGATCCTATATACTGCAAATTATTTCTTGAATACCGAACACAAATCAGTTGAAAATACTAGATTTTTAGACAAAAAAACAAAATTTACCTGGACTGCCCAAAAACTAAGTACTTTGAGATTTTCATACAAAAAATCATTCCTGAAAATTTGAAATCGATCTGTAAATCTGGTAAATATGTTACGGCTATGGATCCATTTAGCTAAAAAACGTTTTGCCAAACCTCTCTATTAGTTATTCATTCGTATAACTTATTCCCCAAATATTACATGTTACTCAACCATACCCTAAATACACACCTTTATAAAGTCCCCTTCACCTAGGTTGACATAGTTAAAGTAGACAGTGCCTGGAATGAGGTCTAAAGTGTTAACTGTGATGTTGCTGGCATACTGACTTGGGTAGGGATTAGCACCTAAGCCATTGGAATGCACCTGCCCAGAGTAAACATCATTGGCTAGTTTCAGATCCTGGCCTGCAAAAAAAGAAAATCAAATTTTGAATTGGATGATTTCTTCCTAAAAGTCATGTGCAAAGTAACTAATCAAGTCATTAATCATATAAATTTGTGAAATATTGAGTGCCCTTTTTGTGTATTTGTTGTAAAAATAACAATATTAACAGTCAAAGAGTCAAATATTTACTCAACCAGGTGTTACAAAGTGGTTGCATGAAAACATGTCACCATTTTAAAAACATTTTAAGATGCCTCCATTTCAAAACATTAAAATTATTTTTTTGATAAACACATGATGGTCACAACAAATAATTCTGACAGTCAAAAAGGCAATGCTGTTTTTTGTGTACCTATTTTTGTTTGATAAACCTTTTTATATAGTGAAAACTACATAGCAAAGTTCCTTTTACCAACTACATGTATTTTGCTTACTGTTAGAATACTTCAGCTGGAAGCCAGCAGCTTTAAGGTGAGATCTGGTATAAAATCTAACCAGAACACTCCCTCCACTAGACTGCACTAGTACAGGGTCAAGGGTTTCACTATAAGAGGCCAGGACTCTAGAATCTCTCTTGTTACCATCTAATATCTCTAGGGTATCCCCAGATAAGTGGTCTAAATCTAGGGATAGCATCTATAAAACATGCATAGATATGTAAATTATCCCGGGGGAGATTATGTACTGAATAATATAATGTAATAATTTGGAAGAAGTGCGAATAGGAAGCGATGATCAGAATCTCTATATAGGATGGTAAGGGGAGGCATCAAAAGTTCAACGTCGGATTGGAAACTAAATAAATCTATTTCTGTGTAAAATTCATCACTCTGGTAATATATTAATAATAACTTAAGTTCATTTACTTCAGAGTAAAATGTTTTATTTGACAGTCGACATTTCGCTAATCATTCAACTAGCTTTATCAAGATTACATTCAAAATAGAAGTACACAGTTATATTATTTATGACGTAATAATTGAACAATACAATACCCAGGTAACAATAAAAGTCATAGACTCTCTAATACTATTTCTATATGACGTCATACTAATAAGATGAAATACATGGCAACAGTATCCATACAAGCACTTGAATTCTAATCCAAAACTTCAATTGTTCCACTTACAATTTGGTGAATATATTCAGAGCATTTCATAAGCTAATTCTTTTTAGGAATGTTATCACAAGCTCCACAAATGTTGTGCATGGCCACAACATTTCTGCTTGTCTTGTGTTTAGCCCTTGTGTGACTCCCTCCTTTATACTAATGCCACCCCTAACTGTACCCTGGGAATTGTACGTACCTCTAGAGATATATAACTGTCAACACCAGGTTGGACTGTGATATACCACTCACAGTCTAATCCCCCAACATAGACTCCTCCTTCACTAGGTGAAGACAGTTCTATGGAGGTCTCATTTGCCGTAAGTGCTCCACCACAATTATATGGCTCTGAAAATGTCCATTAAATAATTTACAATTTGCTTCTGGATGCATGGTTCATAAAGATTTTGCCCATAACATTATCTGAATTGCCTGTAACAGTCCTTGATGTTTAAGTATTTTAAACACTTTTGGCTTTCAAAGATTCTTCAAAATATCTATTCAATAAATGCTGATGGTTACAACTACGTTTACCAAGGTAAAAAATATTTCCATATGGTACAGTATAGTTTTCATAGTAACTCACTACTAGTCCAAGTGAAGACAAATCCCGAACCCTGCACTGAGGCATCAGCATTAAATGTTACCATAGCAAAGTTGTTTTTGCTTATAAACTCCATCTGCTGTCCCATAATGCTTCCTGATAATTCAGCCACCATTTTCGATTTAGCTAAAGCACTGCCACCTATCCAGACATTTACAATATCAGATAGATATTCGGTGTCAAAGTTGCTTTCATCAAACTAGAAAATAAACCAAAATTTAACTGCTTGTTGTCTACATGTACTTTATATATCAATAAACCAGATATGGTCATATCAATGAAAATCGCCTAATTCGCAGCTCCAAGTGAATTTTTGGAAAGAACAACAATATGGAACTTATTTAATGTGTAAATGTGTATTCGAAACTAAATGAATGTTCTTACATGAATAGTTACTTTAGTTCCAGGGGGTCCCTCAAGGATCCACTGACAGTTAGCAAATGCTTTATATGATGACGATGTCACATTTACTGTACCATTAGCCCCAGTCAGATAGTGGTGACACAGTTCCGCTATAAAATGTAGTGTACACACATCCAAATATGTTTTAAATAATAACATGAAATTCCCTCAGAATAGACACAATTTGAGAAGATGGAGATTCTTTTGATTTACATCTTATATATTTTAAGGATGGGGTTATCTATACAAACTTAAACAAAAACATGTTACTTGTACACTACTGAAAATCAAACTTACGACAAACACTTTCATCTGATTGGTCCTCACAATCTCCAATGATATCACAAGTGTAGTTTGTGAAAACAAGGTCACCATTGCCACAACGTTGATAACCTGTAATAAGATAAAAGCTAAATTCTAATGAGAAATGGCTGAATTCATAGGAAATACATGTGACTATAGTTTTTTCTTCATTTTTTGAAACCATGTAATTTTGATGTTAAGAGAATATTTGACAGGTGAAAAATATAAAAACCACATAACTTGATATTGACCAAATAGATAGATCAAGAAAAACATACAAATAGATAAATTACAGACAATTGGAGGGCAAAATCAGCACAAAGTCCCCCTATTTTGACTTCTACAATGTCTTGTTGTCTTTGTTTTATTTGGTCACCTTGCATCTCAGCAAGCCTCTCACACATGAATGGTAGTTTCTCATTACAAAACGTATAAGTCCAAGGATAAGTCCCATCAACCAGTCTCGTTTGTTTGAGTGCTACACACTCCCCCAGTGTAGAATCCGGTTGTCCTGGTGCCCAGAATCCTTCAAGAACTGATGCTGATGTGCCATCACTCCACATAACATCACTCCCCTCAAGATCATTTATGGATATCTGTCCTTTGAAGCCTGCAAATACAAAAAAATCACATAAAGGTTTTATAAGTAATGTGAAGGAATATTTTATTATGGACAAACGGGTTTGGCAGAGGCGGTAAGTGGAAAAAAATCATCAAAATCATTAGTTTTTAGATATTATCAAAATTTCCTTAATCTGTCCTTGGAATCATAATGACACTAATAATAATTCTGAAATGTGTGAACAGTGAGCTCTCAGAAGTGGGATAAGAGTTCTTTAAATGTAATGATATTGCTTCTTTAAGATTGTTGGGATGTTGAGGTGAACCCTCATGACCAGTTGTACTTTTCAATACTCACTTTCCTTACTGTGCTTTAATATTTTTGTGTTTTCCACTTTTGCACTAAGCCTGGGCTTATATATTTAAAAAATTGTAACACATTTGATATCCTAAAATGTAAACTATAAAGTAGATTCAAATAAAACATTAAAAATGTACCTGTCCAGATTGCTGTGTCATTAAGGCTCCACTCAAATGCTGATCCAATCCCCTCATTTTCTAAGATGCCATGAATATGAACAAGTTCTGCATCATAGCTGCATTAAACAAAATTGTATTAACAGTATCAGAAAAGAATATAATATAATACAATACAAGAACACAAATGTGTACAAAATGTCCCCACCTATGGGTGATCCAGTCAAATGGTTATCCTATAAATGAGTAGACAAGACTTTACTGACACAATTTGAAGATGGAAAATCCAAAATGGCCACCTTAAAATTTACCCAGAATGCAAAAGAATTAGTCAGTTCTAGATTTTTATACTAAGAACCACCCCTGAAAATTTGAAATTGATCCGTCATACAGTTAACCAGAAAACATGTAAACAAAACTTTATAGACAAGATTTGAGGACAGAAAATCCAAAATGGCTGCCTTGACATTTATCCAGAATGCAAAAAAACTCATCTGTACTCATACTAAGAATCATCCCTGAAAATTTGAAATTGATCTACCAAACGGTTCACCTGGAAATGTGTAGACAAGACTTTACAGAGAAGATTTTAGAATGGATAATCCAAAATGGCTGCCTTGACATTTACCCAGAATGCTCAAAAACTAATCAGATCTAGATTTTCATACTAAGAATCATCCCTGAAAATTTGAAATTGATCCACCATACGGTTCACCTGAAAACGCGTAGACAAGACTTTACAGACAAGATTTTAGGACGGAAAATCCAAAATGGCTGCCTTGACATTTACCCAGAATGCCCAAAAACTAATCAGATCTAGATTTTCATACTTAGCATCATCCCTGAAAATTTGAAATTGATCTACCAAACAGTTCACCTGAAAACGTGTAGACAAGACTTTACTGACAAGATTTTAGGACGGAAAAATCCAAAATGGCAGACAATAAAAAAGTGATTATGAGTTTTTGCTGATTTCTTTTTACAAAATTATCACATATAACTACTGTTAACAATAACAAAGGCTTTTACAACAAAGTACACCTGAAATTATTTATAAAGCTACTAAATAGTTAAAGTATGAAAACTGAAAAACACCATTCAATATGATACAAAGTATTATCGCGCGCTAACTTTTCTTTAAACATTCAAAATGGCTGACATGACTGAGCTAACAGGTCCAAAACCTAATCAGATCTAGAATGAAGTGAGCTGAACAAGATGTTAAAGTTTTAAAAGCAACGGTGAAGCCGTTTTTCTTGAAGTTTGCAGACAAGGATTTTAGCATTTGACTTCAAAATGGCCGACAGGAAGTAGGTATCGAGCTTATTTTTTTCATCCACATCTATATGCACTCATGAGTTATCCCTGAAAATTTGAAGGTGATATCTGTAGCGGTTTTGGAGAAAACTTCCGGACGTACGGACAGACGGACAGACAGACGGACGGACGGATGGACGGACGGATGGACGGACGGACACGCCTAGGCCGACAATATGGCCCCACACTATGTGATGGGGACATAATAATATAGTGATAGCCTTGTCGTTCACATACCACATCTACAAAAACATGGACATTTAAAGGCCCCATATGAAGTTAAAACCACTTTAGCTTATATTGTAGTCTTACCCAATATTATCAAAATGTGATATGTGAAACTTTTTGTTAAATTTCAAAAAGTGTTTTTTAACGACTTTGTTCAAAAACTTAATTCTAGAGCTCACACATATCTTTTAAAGATCGATAATTCACATGAATGCATAGTATTGAGTCTATTGACATTAAAGAAATTTGAAATTTTCAAAAAATGTTGCACCCTTGTGACATCATTGTGATGTCATTTAGGGTGCAACATTTTTTTTAATATGCACAAAACTTCTAAGTGGTAATCAACCACAACTTCGTTTGTATAACTTAAATATTGAGAGGTCTAAAAACATGTTGTATATGCTATTTTGTTCCAACAAGGTTCGGAAAGACATTTTATTTCATTCTCAAGAATTGATAGAAAGGAGCAAAAACAATTGCATAACTCTTGCCAGGTAAATCAATTGTGAACTTACTTCCTACAGGTGGTCAATGCATCATTCCACCTTAGCTGCTCCTCGAAGAGCTTGTAACATTGAGTACTTCCACTAAACCAACCTGAAAACATATCAAGATGAATGAATGAACAAAGAAGACACTTTACCATCTGTAGTAATGGTGAAATAGACAGCATAGAACATAGCATGTTCAGATTGTAATGAGATCTAGGTTTTGTCCAAAATGCCTTATTTATGGGTAGAAGAATGGAGCATTCTACTGAAAACTTGTTTCTATTATACATCAAAAATCTAATTAATCTATGCAAATGAGAATAATTAAAAAAATACAAATGATAATGGAAAAATAGTACCGTGGGTACTGGGCTCACATGGTGTTGCTCAAGAGTGAATGATGGCTAAAATGGCCGAAAAAAATGGATGTAATTTTTGCCGATTTTTAGTAGCAAAATTATTTCATACAACTACTCTTTAGAGTGACATGGCTTTTTTACAATGCAGGACACCTGAATTTATTTGTAAAGCTAGGAAATGGGCCACAAGTGAATTTCGCAAGACAAAAATGGCGACCATTTTGAAATTAGGTGAGTTTTTGAATAACTTAAAATGGGAATCCTATCAACACAGGTTTTAAAGCAAATGGTCCAAAGGTGAATTTCGCGACACAAAAATGGTGGCAGACAGACGACAGATGGAAGAACGGACAGACAGACGGACAAGTTAGTGATTGCAATAGCTCACCATTTGAGCTAATAAAATTACATTTAAGTTCAAAATAAGTAAAATTGTTAAATGCTGAGCAGGATAAATGGAGGAAAAATGGAAATGTCTCAACTAGCAAACAGCAACTCCAAGTAGTATCAAATCCCACCGAACAAAACATGTTTTGATTAGTTGTGGCCATCTCAAAAATTTGTAACAGCATATAGAATTTGAATCCGGTATTTGAGCTATCACAGATTGTTTTTCTACAAAAAATGACCGCCTGAAAATCAGCTGCCATCTTGAAAATTCCTTCTCGGCCAGAGCTCATATACCTACATGTAACATAATATAAGTGTTTTCTTTTAAATGTAGTCTAGATATCATTTTAAAAATTTCTGTTAAACCGCATCATATACCCACTAGGGTGTCTAGCGGCTTGTTTTTTATAGTGTATATTACATAAGGATTATGAAATAAATAAATTGAATTGAATTGAAGCTCCTGTGTCCCTACAACAGCATATAAAATTTGAACCAAATCCGTCCACTAGTATTTGATTTGTAATAGATCATATTTTTTATATAGATTATATTTGGTAGCTATCTTGAAAATGTCTTCTGAATCATAACTTCTTTGTCTCTTGGCATCAGCATATAAATTTAAACCAAATCCATTCACGGATATTTGAGTTGTAAATTATATTTTTTATGAAAAATGGCCACCATTTTAAAATTCAGTGGCCATCTTGAAAATCTCTTTTCAGCAGAGCTCCTTTGTCCCTAGGCATCAGTATATAAATTTTGAACTAAATCCGTTGACTAGTATTCGAGTTATCAAACATTACATATTTTTAAGAAAAATGGTGGCTATTTTGATCGAGTGGCCATATTCAAGATTCCCTCTCGAGCAGAGGTCCTACATCCATAAGGCATAAGCCTATGAAATGTGAATCAAATCCATCAACTGGTATCCGAGTTACCACCCAGACAAACGAACGGATGGCTTTCCTATATCCTTTGATCGGTGGGATAATAACTTAATATATATTCAGTACCACTTTAGAATTCCTATTCAATATAGTGAAAACTGTTGTGAAGTATTTTCTTGCGGCTGGCTGCTGTGTATTGCATTGTATTTTTATAAAAAAATTATGCAAAGAAAAAAATTGTATCTATTAAGTGTGAAAAAATACCTACAAAAAACATTTACTTGATACTTAAAATCACATTACAGCATTATGACATCTACATTTACAACACTCACATTATACAACCTACCTTCTGGGCAATTGTGAATGTATTCTGTCTTAATATGATATTGTACGCTATACCCGGATACAGATATCTGAAACAAATTGAACCATCATCATCACTGTTATGAAGTATGTTTTGCCATCCCAATGGATTCTGTCTGTTCCACATCATCTGAGACTGAATACCCTCTCTTGTATGAATCCTATACTAGTACCTACTGAATATGGTATATATTAATGGTTGCATGGTATTTGTGATATGGGTGAATATACCATACTCAACTGCGGTATATGGCATACTCTGCAGGTGAGTATGGCATATTCTGCATAGAATATGCAATATATTGATTTTGTGTGTTAGTTGATATATATTCAATACACTGTACTGTTGACTCAGTAATCATTATAAAAATTTATAAACATTTACCCTTCTCTTCAATTGATGAAATTGACAATTACATACTACCATATCGTCAATTTGTGTGTATGCCATATACTTAGGTGAATCTGTCATACACTGCAAGTGAATATGCCATATTTGTAGTGGAATATGACATATATTTGTATCTTGTTTACTGCATGACACCTTCAACTATTTTTGATATCCGCAGTATTGGATTTCATTCTTTATTTACTCTTCAGCATGTATTGTAATTGTAGTGTGAATGAAATGTCCCATGATCTTATGGTCTTGGATTGTGGTGGTAATGGTTCTTAAGTGGTAGGAGGAGGGCAGTATCACACATTGTGTGCTTACACCTTATATCATGGTTTGGCACATATTTGGCATTTGTTTTCCTTTCACTTTGTATTTCCTTTGCAATTTAAAGCAGTCAAATAACAATCCTTTGATCAGAATTAAATCTTTTGATTCACTAGTCTCAGGATTTCTTGCTTCTATATCCCAGTACTGGTATATATTAGACTATTTAGTGTTAAGTGCAATAAGCCTGTGCTTTCTGGTAATTCTAGGTCTATCCGCAATGATATTTTTTCAGAATTATCATGACAAGGAAGCATCAAAATATAAGAGGTTACAGACTTTATTATAATGCCAATTCACAAGCAATCCAAGATATACAAATGTCATTCTTGTGCAATATGAATATATTTTTCTGTGAATACATACCTAGCGAAGCATTTGTATGGAAGTCGATGGAGCTGAAGGACGGCTATATATTCCTGTATAGCCGCCGAACTTTTATAACGTAATACATGTAATAACCCTACTCGCAAGCTCGGGTTCGCAAGCTCGGGTTCGCAAGCTCGGGCTATATTGACGTCAGACTTCAGGCATATATTCAATGATAGGGACATAATGGCTGAATATAGATATGGGTTTGTAGAAAAAACCGGGTACTGGGTAGTATATCCTCCATGCTGGGTTCAAACTTGGTACCCGGTCGAAAAAACCAGGTACCTCAAAAAAAGAAAAATATGAATATATAACATCATTAGAAAACATGTAAGATTTGTTTTGAATTTACAAAAATGTATACCAGTGAAAGACGGACAGATGGCTTCTCTATATCCCCCTCGTGATAATGAACACCTACCATAAAATATCACAAATTCAAATTCAAAAATTTGTTGGTTCCACACCACTTGAGCATAATATCTAAACCAAGTGTTTCCTGCAATTACTGTCTACAAAGGTTGTACAGAGTAACAGTTTTTACATGAGGCAGGTCTGGTGGGGGAGGGGTACTCTTCAGAAGATAAAGTAGAGATTTCAAAAGTTACCAATTCAACATCACATTCTCGAGACATTTTCAACTAAAAACACACTTCTTCCACATAAAATTATAGTCAGAAGGCACAACCAATTAATTTAAACTAATGATAAATATATAAATTACTTAAAGTGGGAATGAGATACAGGCTAATATATAAAACAATTATGACACAATGTCACCACCTAGTTGCTCAATGCTAACAATACTATGAGTTCAATCTTAAGTCAGATAAGAACTTCTGGGAACTTGTGAATGATTTTGAAAGAAATTGGTCATTTTGAAACAACTTGAAAAAAGACCTTTTTGACCTTATTTTGACCTTGGGAAGGTTAAATCTAAAGTCGGATTTAAACTTCTGAAAACTAGTACCCTCTGTATCAAAAGTCTTTTCCTATTAAGGAAAGCTTCAAAGAACTTTAGTAAATGACCAGTAAACTTAAAAATATGTACTGAAAAATGTACTAGTTTTGTTTCAGTACAAATTTAAGTATATTTTTGTACTGAAAAATGCACTGAATTTTTTTCAGTATATTTTTCAGTACAAATTCATGTACTGAAAAATATACTGAATTTTAAGTACAAATTTAAGTATAAATATGTACTGAAAAATGTACTGAATTTTAAGGACAAATTTAAGTGCAAAAATATACTGAAAAATGCACTGAAAATTTAAGGATAAATTTAAGTACAAATATAGACTGAAAAATGTACTGAAATTAAGTGCAAAAGTCAGTATAAAAATGTACTGAAAAATATACTGAAATTTAAGGATAATTTTAAGTATAAATATATGCAATGAGAAATATTTGTGCCCAATAATGGAAATAAGAGAAAACGTAAATGTAAGGCATACTTTATAAACTCTAAATCCCTCAAAAAGTTCTTAGAATGGTGAAAAAGTGCATGATTTTAAAAGAATTTTTGGCCGGGGGGGGGGGGGTTTGCTTGGACCCCTGAACCCCCCCCCCCCCAACAGGAATGCTATTACATTATGAAATTATTTTGGATGCTTCTTTTACAGCAGCCTTTAACCAAACTTAAAAGAGTCTCTCTGTAATCAGGTTTGTTTTGAACTGTCAAAATATTTTGTTTTGTTAGTGGATTAATAAAGTTTCTTTAGACACATCCTTTAAAGCAGACTCTAATCAAACTGGAGAGGCTAGGTTTACTGTAATCAAGTGATTTCCTTTTTAGAAGTTATGTTTATGGATTTATTAAAAACGGCCTAAATCAATCAAAAAGTTCTTAGAATGGTGAAAAAGTGCATGATTTTAAAAGAATTTTTGGCCGGGGGGGGGGGGGGGGTTCGCTTGGACCCCTGACCCCCCCCCCCCCAGGAATGCTATTACATTATGGAATTATTTTGGATGCTCCCTTTACAGCAGACTTTAACCAAACTTAAAAGAGTCTCTCTGTAATCAGGTTTGTTTTGCCTTGTCAAAATATTTTGTTTTGTTAATGGATTAATAAAGTTTCTTTAGACACATCCTTTAAAGCAGACTCTAATCAAACTGGAGAGGCTAGGTTTACTGTAATCAAGTGTTTTCCTTTTAATAAGTTATGTTTTTGGATTTAATTATTTAAGACGCATCCTGTAATAATATCTGATTGCATTTTCTCCATCAATAAATTTCTTTTTAGCCCGATCAACCCTATCAAATATAATGCATATATAAGGGTTATGTACTGGAAGGTTTTGGATACCCATATTTCCTGAGGGATAAACCCTTTATTTAAAACTGATCATACATAACATGTGTATTCCATACCTTTTGAGGTTTCTAGATACATTCTACCTTATTAAGTTCTAAAATTCAAAAACATTAAAAGTACACATTTTCTCAGTCTTAAAAATAAGTTTTTCATGAGATTTTCACTCATATTGCTTGAGCAAATTAATTAATTGATATCAAAATTAAAATATATAACATGAACATAGAACCTCATTTGTTTGAGTATAGCAAAATCCATGGTATAGATGTCAAAGTCAGGGAGATGTCGTAATTCAAAATCTAAGTATATTTTTCAGTATAAATTTACACTTAAATATGCCCTTAAATTTCAGTATATTTTTCAGTACATATTTGCACTTAAAATCACACTTAAATTTCAGTATATTTTTAAGTACATATTTGCACTTAAAATCACACTTAAAATTCAGTATATTTTTCAGTATAAATATATACTGAAAAATGTACTTAAAATTTCAGTACATTTTTCAGTACATATTTATACTGAAATTTGCACTGAAATTTTAAGTATATTTTTCAGTACATATTTATACTGAAAAATATACTTAAAAATTCAGTACATTTTTCAGTACATATTTGTACTGAAAACGCTCCTTTCAGTACAAATGCTCTGCCCTAGTGTATGTTATAGACTTTACAAATGATCCTGTTCATGAGAGTTGTATATTTCATAGAATAAAGGTGTCACTGAAAACTGTATAATAACAATGCAAAAGTCCTTACACTTGGGTCTTAGAACAGTATTGCCTAACTGTTCATTGTTATGCCATATTTCCTTAATATTTACCCCTTTCCTGCCCAATGACATCAATAAGTATAATTTTGTGACTAATGTGTCAATATGATTTTCTCAGGGGTTTATCTTCTAAATATTCTTGATGTACTTTTGGTATTTAATTCAAAAGAATCTATCATATTTCCATTTTATTGCAATAATTCTGAATCATAATGCACCGAACATTGATATATTAAGGATAGCAGTGCTTATTGTGACAACATATTTCTGAATTCCTCAAATAATTTTGGTCAGGAAAGAGTTAAGTGGAGTACAACATGGTCCAGGGCTGTTAGTAAAATGTATGAGGACATTCAGAGTACATTTTTTGTATATTTAATAACACATTCTGCTCATAATTAGCATTTTATATATAAAGACTTTTGTCTGCATACTTTTACAGAGCAACCTGATTTTGGTCAGTTTGGCAATCTTAGGAAAGTTTGACGTCACAAACTTGGAAAAAGTCACATTGGTATTTTTGGTATATGCTATGTTCTGTATGTGATATTTTGAGTAAAAATCAATCAATTGTCTCAAAAGTTTCACAGAGGGTGTATTATATGCCTCGAATTATGCGTGGAAAGTTTCATTAAGTTTACTTGCCTTATACAAAAGTTATTTAAGGATTTTCTCAATAGGAAAAGACTTTTGATACAGAGGGTAGATGATTTTGAAAAAATGTTTAAAAAAGACCCTTTTGACCGTGTTTTGACCTTGCGTAGCTCAATGAATGTTAAGTCTTAAATCTAAAGTCAGATATGAACTTCTGAGAACTAGTAGAAGATTTTGAAAAATGGTCAATTTGAAGCAAGTTTAAAAAAGAGCCATTTGACCTTTTTTGACCTTGAGAAGGCCATTGAAGGTAAAATTTCAAATCTAAGGTCAGATTTGAACTTCTGAGAACTTGAAGGTGATAAAGAATTTGGTAAACTTGAAGGAAGTTGAACAAATGCGCTTTTGACCTTTTTTGACCTTGAGAAGGTCATTGAATGTCAAATTTCAAATCCAAAGTGAGATGTGAACTAAAAGTAGATGATTTTGGAAAAAATTGAAGTGTCAGTCTATAAACAGTATTTATTGTTATTGGAAGTTGTAAGAATTTCTTACAGACACCAACTGCCACCCATCACTCAATAACAAACAAACGCCTTCACAAAAAACAGAGACCATAACAAATTGTCACCACATATGTCACCAAATATGTAGCTTTCATTTATAAGAGATTTGGCGATTCTGATCTAGTTTTACTCACCCCATTGTAAATAGTTCCACTGTTCATGTTGGTACCAATGACTAGAAAAGATAAAGAATAGTTTAATCGAAAGATAGTCAATACAAAAAAAATGAGAAAATCAAGGGCAATGCACCGCTCCTTGAACAACTGCTCCTTGAACACATTAACAGATAATTTGCTCACATTAACATTTACGAGAGATACTGCCTCAAGATCTTATCAGTACACAAAACTGATCAAAAATATAAAAATTTCATAGAACAAGCATTACCTAAATCTGTCTGTACAAGGCAGCAAATCATTAGCACTACATACAGCCAGAAACCATGGTGTTGTTGCAGCATTGCTAAAATCAGTAATACAATTATTAACATCCAGAGTTTAGTCTAATGTAAAATAGTTCAATAAAGCACTGGCATAACTGATGGTCTAGTGATTCAATAAGACACACCTAACATTGCCTAGTATAACTGATGGTATAATGATTCAATAAGACACACCTAAAAGTGCCTAGTACAACTGTCGTCTAATGATTCAATAAAACGCACCTAACATTGCCTAGTATAACTGATGGTCTAATGATTCAATAAGACACACCTAAAATTTCCTAGTATAACTGATGGTCTAATGATTCAATAAGACACATCTAACATTGCCTGACATAACTGATGGTCTAATGATTCAATAAGACACACCCAACATTTCCTAGTATAACTGATGGTCTCATGATTCAATAAGACACACCTAACATTTCCTTGTATAACTGATGGTCTAATGATTCAATAAGACACATCTAACATTGCCTAGTATAACTGATGGTCTAATGATTCAATAAGACGTATCTAACATTTCCTAGTATAACTGATGGTCTAATGATTCAATAAAACACATCTAACATTGCCTAGTATAACTGATGGTCTAATAATTCAATAAGACACTTCTAACATTTCCTAGTTTAACTGATGGTCTAATGATTCAATAAAACACATCTAACATTGCCTAGTATAACTGATGGTCTAATAATTCAATAAGACACTTCTAACATTTCCTAGTATAACTGATGGTCTAATGATTCAATAAGACACACCTAACATTTCCTAGTTTAACTGATGGTCTAATGATTCAATAAAACACATCTAACATTGCCTAGTATAACTGATGGTCTAATAATTCAATAAGACACTTCTAACATTTCCTAGTATAACTGATGGTCTAATGATTCAATAAGACACACCTAACATTTCCTAGTTTAACTGATGGTCTAATGATTCAATAAAACACATCTAACATTGCCTAGTATAACTGATGGTCTAATAATTCAATAAGACACTTCTAACATTTCCTAGTATAACTGATGGTCTAATGATTCAATTGGACAGATCTTACATTGCCTAGTATAACTGATGGTCTAATGATTCAATAAGACACTTCTAACATTGCCTAGTATAACTGATGGTCTAATGATTCAATAAGACACACCTAACATTTCCTAGTTTAACTGATGGTCTAATGATTCAATAAAACACATCTAACATTGCCTAGTATAACTGATGGTCTAATAATTCAATAAGACACTTCTAACATTTCCTAGTATAACTGATGGTCTAATGATTCAATTGGACAGATCTTACATTGCCTAGTATAACTGATGGTCTAATGATTCAATAAGACACTTCTAACATTGCCTAGTATAACTGATGGTCTAATGATTCAATAAGACACACCTAAAAATGCCTAGCATAACTGATAGTCCAATGATTCAATAGGACACATCTTACATTGCCTAACATAATTGATGGCCTAATGATTCAATAAGACTCACCTTGCATTGCCTAGTACACTGATGGTCTAATGATTCAATAAGACACTTCTAACATTTCCTAGTATAACTGATGGTCTTATGATTCAATTGGACAGATCTTACATTGCCTAGTATAACTGATGGTCTAATGATTCAATAAGACACTTCTAACATTGCCTAGTATAACTGATGGTCTAATGATTCAATAAGACACACCTAAAAATGCCTAGCATAACTGATAGTCCAATGATTCAATAGGACACATCTTACATTGCCTAACATAATTGATGGCCTAATGATTCAATAAGACTCACCTTGCATTGCCTAGTACACTGATGGTCTAATGATTCAATAAGACACACCTAACATTTCCTAGTTTAACTGATGGTCTAATGATTCAATAAGACACAACTAACATTGCCTAGTATAACTGATGGTCTAATGATTCAATAAGACACATCTAACATTTCCTAGTATAACTGATGGTCTAATGATTCAATTGGACAGATCTTACATTGCCTAGTATAACTGATGGTCTAATGATTCAATAAGACACTTCTAACATTGCCTAATATAACTGATGGTCTAATGATTCAATAAGACACACCTAAAAATGCCTAGCATAACTGATAGTCTAATGATTCAACCAGAACAACGGCAACGCCAAAGCGTAGCGATACCCATAGAACAGAAATGGCTGGCATTTTTACAAACAAAATATATAGCAAATATCATAAAATAACACCCATAAGAAAGGCCATCATTTTCAAAATGGTAATTCACTAGCCAAGTTATCATCAGAAGAAGTAATATGCTTTTAAGTAGCCACATAAAAAATTTTTAAAAAATTGCACAAACATACATGTAAATGCTGGCCATTTTTTAAAATGGCCGCCTACTACCCAAAATGTCATAAGACAATATGCAATCCTTACAAGTATTCACATATCAGATATAAACAAAATCGCTCTATAATTTTTTGAATTAAAAATAAAAAATGTAAAATAACACACATAAAAATGGTGGCCATTTTTCAAAATGGCCGACTACTCCCCAAAGTTTTATTAGATAATGTGCCATGCTTAAAGTATTCACATATCAAATATGAACAAAATCTCTCCAATACCTTTGAGTTGAAGTAAAAAATGTAAAAATGACAGCCATTTTTTAAAATGGCCACCTACTACACGAAGTGTCATGAGACAGTGTGCAAGGCTCATAAGTATTCACATATCAAATATGAACAAAATCGCTCCGCTACTTTTCAAGTTAAAGTAAAAAACATAAAAAATGGTAACCATTTTTCAAAATGGCCGCCTACTACCCAAAATGTCATTAGACATTTGGCCATGCTTAAAGTATTCACATACCAAATATGAACAAAATCGCTCTACTACTTTTTGACTTAGAGTAAAAAATGTTAAATAACACACGTAAAAATGGAGGCCTACTACCCAAAATGTCATTAGACATTTGGCCATGCTTAAAGTATTCACATACCAAATATGAACAAAATCGCTGCACTACTTTTCAAGTTACAGCAAAAATCGTAAAATGACGTGCAAGGGCAGCCATTTTTCAAGATGGCTGCCATGTATTTCTTCTGTATTTACATTTCTAGCTTAATCAATGTCCTATATAACTTTTTTACATTTAAAACATATTGCTATTACAGTTTTATATGCAGTACCTAAATTACTGTAAAATCGGCACTAAAATGGCCACCATTTTTAAATGAGCTGCCATTTTGAAAATCGGTTTTCGAGCAGAACTTCTACCCCCATTGGGTATATGTGTACAAAATATGAACAAAATCGGGCCAACGGTATTTGAGTTATTGCCTGGACAGATGTACGTACGAACGGACAGAGGCATTCCCTATAGTATAACTGATGGTCTAATGATTCAATAAGACACACCTAAAAGTGCCTAGCATAACTGATGGTCTAATGATTCAATAAGACACATCGAACAGTTTTTAGTATAACTGTTGGTCTAATGATTCAATAAGACACATGTAACAGTTCCTAGTATAACCGATGGTCTAATGATTCAATAAGGCACATCTAACAGTTTCTAGTATAACTGATGATCATAAGACACATCTAACATTGCCTAGTAGATCTGATGGAACTTCCTCTGACAAGCAGACATCTTATTTGAAGTTTAAATGAAATCAATACACACTTTCATACAATAAACACAAAATTAGGTTTATATAGTGTAAAATAAAAATACATCACTTTATCTGAGATAAACTACTTATTACAAGAAAAAAAGGATATATTTTTTCTAAATAAAACAATAATCCAGTTATTATAAACTTACCTATGTAAGATGATGATTAAATTCCTATGAAAATCTCTGTTATATCATGGAACCAATAAGTATATATCCACCTTTTGATCAGATAATATTTCATAATTATTAATCCATTTCACTAGTCTACTCTGATATGGGTGTGGAGGTTCAGTAACAGATCATGACCAGTGCCAACACAACTCAGAGAGAGTTTAAACCAAGGGCGTATTTGGCAATTTTACTATTTTCTAAAGAATGCTTAAGCTCTTTTGATATTATTTACATGAATTTGAATGGACAACACTGGTTCTGGTTCCAAATGGAACAATGAATGTCATTCCGACTTGTGATTTATATAAGGGCTTATTTGGTTAATCCATTCAAAGTACACAGAAAGCTGATTCTTAGAGTTATATGTAGGTTGTATGTAAAGTGTATGCTTGTAAACAATATGAGAGCATATTATATCATTCAATGATATAACATTGATAAAAAATTCCATTTAGCATTATTTTTTTGTTTCTTACACCTTTGAAACAGGGGGGAGGCAAGCCAATACAGAGTGCTCTTATAAAAATTTACTCTCTGTAAAGAAAAATAAATAGTAACGTTGGTACTGGGGTCACATGGTGTTGCTCGAGAGTGAATGATGGCTAAAATGGCCAAAAAACGGATGTACTTTTTGATGATTTTTTTGTGACAAAATTATTTCATACAACTACTCTTTAGAGTGACATGGCTTTTTACAACGAGGACACCTGAAATTATTTGTAAAGCTAGGAAATGGGCCACAAGTGAATTTCCCAAGACAAAAATGGCGACCATTTTAAAATTAGGCAGGCTTTTGAATCAGGAGTCATAAGGGAATTTTCTGTATTGATGTTGAACAAAAATAATTTAAAACAGGAATCCTATCGACAAAGGTTTTAAGGCAAATGGTCCAAAAGTGGATTTTGTGAGACATATGGACAAATCAATCTAAAATAAAAACAAGACACACAGTGATAAATATCGCACTTTGAAGAGCAAACTGGCCACCATGCAATTTACCCAGCATGGCCAAAACCTAATCAGACCTTGGCACTAGTCTGGTAAACATTTCAAGTTGACAAGGTTAGCGGTTTTCCTGCAATTTTGATGACAAGAATTTATTTGTAGTCTTGAACTTTGGGAAAATTTAGATAACATTGTTTGTGACCTAATTTGATGACCCAGCTTCGACCTTGAAAATTTCACTTTTTCAGACCTCAGTAGGTCTTTTGTAATTAAGCTGACCTAAATTTAAATCCAAAATATCAATTTAGAAAATCAAATTTTTGACCTTTCAAGGTCACTGAAGGTGAATGAAAGGTCAGATTTGAACTTCTGAGAACTTGCAGATGTTTAAAAAAAAAGAAAACGTAGTTTACCCAGCATGCCCTAGACCTAATCAGATCTTGGCACTAGTCTGCTATTGCATGTGTAAAAATTTCAAGTTGAACAGGTTAGCGGTTTTCTTGGAATTTTGATGACAAGAATTGATTTATAGTCTCAAACTTTGAGAAACTTGGATAACATCATTTGTGACCTAGTTTAATGATCTTGACCTTCGACCTTGAAAATTTCACTTTTTCAGACCTCAGTAGGTGTTTTGTAATTAAGCTGACCTAAATTTAAATCCAAAATATCAATTTAGAAAATCAACTTTTTTGACCTTTTCAAGGTCGCTGAAGGTGAATGAAAGGTCAAATCTGAAATCTAAGGTCAGATTTGAACTTCTGAGAACTTGTAGATGTTTTTAAAAGAAAAATTTGGTCAAATTGGAGCAAGTTGAAAAATTCAAAATGGCCACCAAATTGAAAAATTCAAAATGGCCACCATGTAATTCAGCCAGCATACCCAAAACCTAATCAGATCTTGGCAATAGTCTGCTCTTGCATCTGTAAAAATTTCAAGTTGAACGGATAAGTGGTTTTCCTGGAATTTTGATGACAAGATTTGTTGAAAAATTCAAAATGGCCACCACATAGTTTACCCAGCATGCCCTCAACCTAATCAGATCTTGGCACTAGTCTGATATTGCATGTGTAAAAAATTCAAGTTGAACAGGTTAGCGGTTTTCTTGGAATTTTGATGACAAGAATTGATTTGTAGTCTCAAACTTTGAGAAACTTGGATAACATCATTTGTGACCTAGTTTAATGACCTTGACCTTCGACCTTGAAAATTTCACTTTTTCAGACCTCAGTAGGTGTTTTGTAATTAAGCTGACCTAAATTTAAATCCAAAATATCAATTTAGAAAATCAACTTTTTTGACCTTTTCAAGGTCACTGAAGGTGAATGAAAGGTCAAATCTGAAATCTAAGGTCAGATTTGAACTTCTTAGAACTTGTAGATGTTTTTAAAAGAAAAATTTGGTCAATTTGGAGCAAGTTGAAAAATATAAAAATGGCCACCAAATTGAAAAATTCAAAATGGCCACCATGTAATTCAGCCAGCATACCCAAAACCTAATCAGATCTTGGCAATAGTCTGCTCTTGCATCTGTTGACAGAGGTTTCAATTGTTTACAGATGGACAGACAGATGGACAAGTGAGTGATTGCAATAGACACCATGTGAGCTAAAAATGCCCCCAGCTCATTCATAACCATTATGACATTTAAAATGGTATCTAGTGAGGAGTTAATTATGCATAGTGTTCAGGTGCATTCAGGTGTTATTGAGGTCATAGTGACCTTGCAAAGGTCAAGTCAGTGCATATCTGAAAATTAACGATTCTTGTGTGTAAAGTTGTTAAGGACAATTTTGACCTTAACCTTTGATTTTCAAAAGGATGTCAGGCATTCATTTTTTTCATTTTTATTATTCTATTTGGTTCCATTGACTTAATATGTGGATATCATCATGTATCGACTTGAATTTTGAAGGAGGTTGCACCAATTTTGAAAATACTACGATCGCACCCCCTCAACTGGCTTAAAGCTGGCTACACCCCTGCCATGTCTACACCCCTGCCATATATACTCTTTGTTTTATGTATATTCCCAATAAAACGTGAGTCAATGAAAACACCATATAATTATCTGAGATGTAGCGGACATCAACAATGAATATTTTGATATATCCTCTATTACAAGAAGATACATGGTCAATGAAATATGTAAAAATTGATCATCAATGGGAAATCTATTGATACAAAATAATCTTGAAAATACTCTTCTCAATCAAATTATCACTTCTACTGAAAGCATCACCATTAACAATGTTAATTGTTGATTCAAAAAGTATTTAATGTTAACAATTAGGAAAAATTTGTACTTCATCAATCTGTTATCATATTTGCACCCAGCAGTGCATTTGATCTGAGGAGGAGATCTGAGGAGCAGACAATACTGCAATGCTGTAGTGTGATTCTAATTATTTGTTTACTAGTTCAGTAAAATCAATCAAAGCAGATTGAGTACTGTAGTATGGATTTTGCAAAACACTGGCACATGTCCAGCATGACACAATTGACACTTTGACCATAGCTATTTTGATATTTATGTGGTAATCAACACTGGTTGTATTGATTGAACTAGTTAAGAAATGAGGAATGCTATATTAATGCCTTTCGACACCTCGTCCACCTAGTTGGCAAATCTCACAAATCTTTTGTAAGATATAAAGGATTATTTTGATATAAGACTTTTGGGTGCTCGCCAAAATGAAGGAAGTCACTCTTTCTAAAGGCTTTTATTTGATAATATTCTTGTCTATAATGATTGATTCAAATTAAAATGTATTTCCATTGAGGAATACATGTCACTAACAAAACATTAATTGTTGTATCCCCAACACTAATCAATTTATTGTTAATTGACCTTATTTCTAAAATGCCATTGATTCAAAGCATTTCTTTCTATAAAAACACTTATTCTATTTTTTTGATAAATAAATCACCATATCCCCATTAAACTTTGTACATTGGGATAATATAATTGGTATTTCCAGCCACACATAAAATTCACTTTTTCATTCTCAGATTGTCTCTATTGGTGTCTCAAACTCGTTCTGATAACCATATGGCTCCCTTACACCCAACCTTTATAGCCTGACTAAGTCCATCATAGAAAGGTGCCTGGAAATAAAGAATGCAGAGAGTAAGTCAGAATGTCATGTTTTAGATGTTATATAAGGTTACACATGAACACTTTGAGCTATATAAAATGTTGTTTCGATAGGTCATTCTTTTTAAGTTCCCATGTAAAGTTTGAAAATATGTTTTTATCATTCATTTTTTACTATTTGTCATGACTATGACTAAAAGTCATTTTAAGAGATTTTTGAAAATATATTGTCCCCTAGAAACATTGACTATATCAAGGTGGTATTTGATGATGTCTGGGCACTTTAAAAATGTCTGAGACAATACATGAAATTCAGAATTTTTTCAATTGTTTTGTGGGGGATGTGAGGGGGGTGGCCAACTCTCATATAAGATTTTACCATTTTAAAATGATATTTGGTGCTTCTGGGTACTTCTAAAGTGTATGAGTCAATAAAAAAAGAAAAACAATCACAATTTTTTTCAAATTTTGGAGGGTGTCAGAGGGGGAGTTGGGGTTGGGGTGCCAGAGGGAGGGAAAGTGTTTGTCCCCCATATCTGTCTCCAGAAACATTGACTATATCAAAGTGCTATTTATTTCTTCCCTATAAAATTTTACAATTTTAAAATGCTAGAGTAATTAGAGGGTTTCTGGGCACTCTCAACGTGTAAGAGTAAATAAAGTTTTTTTAGTCCCCCAGAAATATTGATTATATAAAGGGTCTGAGACTACACATATGAATTCAGAACTTTCCCATTGTTTTGTGGGGGTGTGAGGTAGTATGTATCCAACAGACTGACTAGAAGTCAGTCTGTTATGATGTACTACTTTCCTGTGGAAATTGCAGTGAAATTCTTTGCACAAAATTATCAATTAGTGGAACCATTTGTTCAATAAAATAAACATTACAAAATTTCAATTAAATAGTAAGGAACAATTAAACTGCAATAAAAAGTAACACAGCATATTGTCAAGTGGAAATAAAGCTAGTTGAAGTAACAAATGTGCAAATTAATTTTACCCAATCAGCCATTTTGAATAGCACTTCCTATGTAAACAAATATTTAGGAATACCATACTTTAACATAGGTGCCTTATAGTCTGAATATAATTCAGACTGAATAGGATATAGTCTAGGGTGTGAGGGATGGCACAAGAGGGGTGGCCCACTCCCCTGAGAAAGTTTTACAATTTTAAGATGCTATTTGGGGCTTTCTTGGCACTTTCAAAGTATACGAGTCAATAAAAAAAAAAATTTTGTGGGGGTGTCAAATTGGGTGCACTCGCACCCATGGCACCCACTCATCTGACAGCCCTGACATGGAAATTCCAGTGTGACAAGATCGCAAATTTCAAGAGCAAAGATCTATTGCACGAGGGGAAAGTCTACCGGCCTATATACAACCTACCGCTGAGTAAGACACGCTTATACCGCGAATCCAATGTTTGGTAAACTACATCTCATAGGAAAATGGACAATAAAGGTAATATAAGGCCACTATAAATTCCCTTGGATGGTTAAAATCGTCACTTAGATGTTCTAGCAGGAAGAATTAGGCAAGTACTTTTGTTGAAATATATTTTCTATGTCCAAATTAAGAGATAAGTAAAACGTATGATGGTTTTTGATTTGTTTTTCTCATTATAATATATAGCCATACATAAGATATACTTTGGCCGGTAAATGTATATCATAATATATTAAGTCTCAAATTATTAGGTCAAAATAGCACTTTTGAACAGCAAAATCTTCACATAAACGCTGTCCTTAAAGATACGATGTCATCAGACATCGGACCCGATGTGACAGATGAGTAATATTATACAAATCCGAAAATATCTTGAGTAAAGGATCTCAGAATCCAAACATTAGTTGAGTAGAATCTGTTGAGATCCGATGATATCGTCCAGTTTATGACAGGCTATTGATGAAATGGTGATAGGGCTACATTTGGGAGTTTCTGAACCTTGATTTTATTGCCTTTATTAGAAGGGTTCCTCGATATTAATACTATTGTAACATTTTGAACCAGACTGACACAGTAGAAACAGCTATCAACACTGGAGGATAGAAATGGCGTAGAATTGCATTTAAATCAATTATTATCCATATCTATAGATAAAAATGAAAATGTTCCACATTGAATGGTAACAATATAATTTGAAGAATACATATGAACTTTTCTCAACATTGTTTTAGAAAAACCATCAGACACTTCTTTTGTTCTTGGTATCATATGTTCGGAATGAAATGAAACATCTATCTGAACCTCATTGGAACAAAACGACATAAACACAACATGTTAAGGTCTCTCAATATCATAATTGTGCAAAGGAAAGTATGGTTGATTTTAAAAAAGTATCTTTTTAATGAAATGAAAGTTTTATCTTGATTTTTATCTATTTTGGGGGTTTTGTTTTAATTTTTTGAATACTTTTTGTTAAATCAACCAAAATATCCTTTGTATAACTATAATATTGAGAGGTCTAAGAAAATGTTGTACATGCTATTTTGGTGCAACAAAAAAGACATTTTATTTCATTCTCAAGAATTGTCGAAAGGAAAAAAACAATTGCACTAAAAACGAAAAATGTTAACAAAAACAGTTATGTAAAATATATATAAATAATTTTTGCATTAAATATAGATTACCTAGTCAATCAGTCAATATTACGTAAAGGACAATATTTTTTTTACAGAATGTTTTCAATAATTAGTTCAAGAGAAAAACATTATGAATTCAGTTCAACATATAGATACCTATCCAAAGTGGTTTAAACTTTATATGGGGCCTTTACAGCAGAATGAGAGCATATGGCAGAATGGTGGCAAAATTTAAGCTAGGTGCATCTCTTTGGTACAAATGTGCTTACATCTTTTGCATTATGTTCTATTCCTGTGTCTTTGTGTTCAGATTCTTCATCACGAAATTTCTGGATCACCTAAAACAGGACGCAACATGCACTATCATTACAAATGCATGCGTGTAAGTGTATAACCAGAAATAGGTTATTAATACATCCTGATATCAAGAAGAGCACCCCATATGTTGACTATTTAGTGACAGTAGCATAAGCAAGTATAAACAAAAGTTCACCCTGGTAGAATTTTAACCCTTGGTACTGGCCTTCCTGTGGCTTACCTTAATAAGTTCCTTGTGTCTTTCAGGGTCATCTTCCAGCAGTTCACGTATTTGGCTGAAACAGTAGAAACATAAATACACTACATTTGTACTGAAAGGAATGTTTTCGGTACAAATATGTACTGAAAAATATACTGAATTTTTTAAGTACATATCTGTCCTGAAAAATATACTTAAAATTTCAGTTCAAATTTCAGAATAAATATTTACTGAAAAATGTACCGACATTTTTCAGTACATTTTCGAGTACATATTTATACTGAAAAATATACTTAATTTTCGGTACAAAATTAAGTACACTGAAAAATATACTGAAATTTATGTGTGCAAATACATAAGTGCAAATACATACTGGAAAATATACAGGGTGGTCCAAAAAAAGTGAACCTCTGCAACGGGCCATATTTCCCCTATTACCTTCAGGAATTTTCACATGTTCAAGAGGAAGGTTTAAAATTTTGTTGGAACTATACATTTTTCTTAGTCTTGAAATCTGAAGAAATTATAAGCCCTAACCATATATTGCTGAAAATGGATAAAATGTGATTTTCAACGTCCGCGATTCTTCAACCCATCAACAACCTTCCCCTGACAATTTTTTAGCTGCAGTCTTAAAGAGCTATTATTTTTTGACTTTGTTTGGTTTTGAATCACGCACATTATGGTGTAAAAACTAGCATCCTAAATCTGTTAGTTGCAAAGGTATTGTGATGCAAAGAAATGTTCTAAGTTTCCAAAGAATTTTTCCCAGCGAAATCGCAACATACCCCTATATGATCTTGAAATGTCAATATCTCCATTAATCTTGGACCAATTCTAGTGAATGATGGCTCAAGACATTGATTGAATATTAGATTTTCTTTTGATTTTCCAAAGATATTTGATGAAAGGCTTCTCAGACTCCTGGTCACATGAGGCAACTTTGCCCCCTCTATCCTTTTGTGTAGGGAACATGCCCCTTAACTGTTGAACAATTAAAACTGCTTCAAAATGATCAATGAAAGTGTGAAATGTGTTTTCTGCTCAAATAGTATCCCATTTGTCATATGGTAGGGTTTTAAACTTGTATCTCTAACTGAAAGCTGTTTTAAGAACACCTTACATGTTTCGGCAATTTCCATGAATTATGTTGGTAAAATTTTGCACAATCTAATTTTCAGGCATGTTCGTTTAAGTCTTGTAATTTATTAATAAGACATACGGTGAACAATATCGCACCCTTGAACAGAAGATAAAGAAGTGTTTATACACTAAAGTTTGTCAATATTATAGTAATTATGTAGAAAATTGTACTAATTTTGCACATATCAGGGATAACTGGTAGGGGGATTTCAACCTATGCTTGGATCAGGGATATGGGAATCTCAAAGGACAACTGAAATAGCTTTTCTCAATTTACAGCTAAAAAAATGCGGTTTTCTCCATTGTAAGCCCAACATAGAGTTCTTGCGATAGCCAATATAAAATAAATGTTAGATAACTGCTAACGGTCAGAGATAACGAAATAAAACTAACTGATCAATCAAATTGGCCCCCACGTGATTAGTAACGTCATATACAAAATATAGCTTTGGTTTATTGGTTCCTTAGTAAATCACAACGTCATGGCAACCATATGATTGTTGTGTAAACAAATAACTAAACATTTTGGCATTATGACGTCATGATCTAATGGACCAAAACGGACCACGTGGGGACCAGTGAGAAATCACGTGGGGGCCAATAACGTCACAACCAATTCAAATATTGCTTATTAAGCAGCAATAACGATCGTTAGAGTGAAATAATTTTCATACTACTGATGAGAAAACATGTCCAAATATATCTATCAAAAAATTATATTGATTCCTTTAGGTTAAAAATACCATTTCATAGGCTTTGTATAAAAAACCTCCTACCCACGTACCCTCGTACCCACGTACGTGGGTCCTGACCCAGTCTTTAAAGAGTTAAATCTTTAACATTTTTTAAACATTATTCTATCTCAATGTATGCTTAATTATGGATGAATTTATGTGCCCATATGCCTTTATTTCTAGATCGGACATCTGTCTCGTCATAAAATAAAGCCGGCATTGCATAATGTTCATTTGAGCTATTTGAGTGTTGTTTTTGATATATCGAAGCGATTTTTTGTTGATCGGGCAGTCTTACAGTGTACAACCAATCTATTGCTTGGCGCAAATTGGCCACATGGGGCATGTGTTGTAAAGTGCTGTAGTTTTTGACTCCATGAGCAGAATATGGTCAAACTTTCACAACAAAATTCACATTGAATGACCTGAATGATTCTGGATTGACGAAGTTATTCAACTTTTCATCGGTCCTGTTTTTTAACAACCTGTAGTTTCGATTTTTATCACATATACTTTTTATTCTTTCAAACGATATTACAAGTATTCATTGTTTGCACGACAGATTTGAACTATACGTGTAATTTGTCTTATGTCTTTTATCTAATTTAACATCAGAATTGGAGATACAAAGTGATAGAGTGATCAATTCACACAATCTCAAGGAATAATAAAGGCTGCATTTCTGTTTAACCGTGGCGCAATTGAATAACAAAATATTTGAAAAGTAGAAGGATTCGCTATATTCGTTTTTAATCGCTTTTTGGCACAATTTAAGGATAATTGTGCGCACTAGTTCAGTGAATCATTTAGATGGAATTAAAAGTTAGAGTTGCCAAACTTATGCAGGGGAGTGTAAGTTTGGTTTTGTAAACTTCGACATTATTCATGGCCGTTTGATCCATAATTAGGTAATATGAAGAGTAGAGTTTTATTTTGACAATGATTTGATGTAAAACTTGTTTGAATGATAAAAGTTCAGCTTTGTAGTTTCTAGCTTTTTGCGCGTAAAACGTGAATACAATGGACAACAACGACACCAAATCTTTGACTAACATACGTTAATAACGTATAATATTCGTAAGAATGAATTCTAATAACATTTGAAATAAACATCTAATAAAATGTGGTGAATTTAATTGGTTGGAAACTCTAAGAAATATATTTTTAAAAAGATGTCAACTTTTGGACAAGGGTAAACTTCCCGGGACATTTACAATTTGCATGAGGTAACAGGAGGCACGGATTGCACTGAACGAAGGCTAGGAGATTGCTAATCAGCACTGATGTGTTATACAGGTAAGACTGCCCGATCAACAAAAAACATTTCGACATATCAAAAACATAAATCAAATAGCTCAAAAATAATGAACATTTATGCAATTCTGGCTTTATTTTATGACGAGACAGATGTCCGATCTAGAAATAAAGGCATATGGGTACATAAATTCATCCATAATTAAGCATACATTGAGATAGAATAATGTTTAAAAAATGTTAAAGATTTAACTCTTTAAAGACTGGGTCAGGACCCACGTACGTGGGTACGAGGGTACGTGGGTAGGAGGTTTTTTATACAAAGCCCATTTCATATCTGCTTTAAGTATATTGATGTATAAATGGTGTCAAAATGCAAAATAGAGGTTGTAGATACTTTGTAGCTGCTGGAAGATTTGCACATGATCTTGTCATAAATGAGATATAGCCTTGAATGTTCACTAAACTATACCTACAAGTAGCAAGACTATTTCTGCAGAATGATGGTTTAGGAAGGACTATAATATTAGAAACATCCCAGAAAATTTCAAATGCATCCGTCAAACGGTTTGGCTGGAAACCTGTAGACAAGCCTCGACAGACAAGATTTTAGAACTGAAAATCCAAAATGGCCACCTTAACATTTATCAGACAAGATTTTAAATCGGAAAATCCAAAATGGCCACCTTAACATTTACCCAGAATGCCGAAAAACTAATGAGTTATAAACTTTCATAGGTAGAAACATCCCTGAAAATTTCAAATGAATCCCTCAAACGGTTTGGCTGGAAACCTGTAGACAAGCCTTCACAGACACGATTTAAGGATGAAAAATCCAAAATGGCCGCCTTAACATTTACCAAGAATGCCGAAAAACTAATCAGTTCTAAACTTTTATAGGTAGAAACATCCCTGAGAATTTCAAATGAATCCCTCGAACGGTTTGGCTGGAAACCTGTAGACAAGCCTTGACAGACAAGATTTTAGGACAGAATCCAAAATGACCACCTTAACATTTACCCAGAATGCCGAAAAACTAAACAGTTCTAAACTTTCATAGGTAGAAACATCCCTGAGAATTTCAAATGAATCCCTCAAACGGTTTGGCTGGAAACCTGTAGACACGCCATGACAGACAAGATTTTAGGACGGAAAATCCAAAATGGCCGCCTTAACATTTACCCAGAATGCTGAAAAACTAATCAGTTCTAAACTTTCATAGGTAGAAACATCCCTGAGAATTTCAAATGAATCCCTCAAACGGTTTGGCTGGAAACCTGTAGACAAGCCTTGAAAGACAAGATTCTAGGACGGAAAATCCAAAATGGCCGTCTTTACATTTACCAAGAATGCCGAAAAACTAATCAGTTCTAAACTTTCATAGGTAGAAACATCCCTGAGAATTTCAAATGAATCCCTCAAACGGTTTGGCTGGAAACCTGTAGACAAGCCTTGACAGACAAGATTCTAGGACGGAAAATCCAAAATGGCCACCTTAACATTTACCCAGAATGCCGAAAAACTAATCAGTTCTAAACTTTCATAGGTAGAAACATCCCTGAGAATTTCAAATGAATCCCTCAAACGGTTTGGCTGGAAACCTGTAGACAAGATTATTCGGGACGCCTGCCCGCCCAACCGCCCGCCTGCCCGGCAAACTGATTACGATATAGTACCTTAGGGTGCGATTAAAATTTAAGACTGAGAATAAATTATGGCATCAACAACCTTTAGACCTTTCTCTTCAACATATGCCAATATGAGGCAATTCATGCAAGTATTAAGAAAAATATAGCCTGTTGCAGGGGTTCAATTTTTGGACCACCCTGTACTTAAATTTTAAATAACATTTATTGTCAATTGAAAATCAAAAATCAAGGTTTATTTTTTAAACTATTTACTAAAATAATGGAGAATTTTTTTGAGTTCATAAGTTCAACATATT